GAACTTGAACTTGAAGTCGAACTTGAACTTGAAGTCGAACTTGAACTTGAAGTCGAACTTGAACTTGAAGTCGAACTTGAACTTGAAGTCGAACCCAACTCGGCTGTTCAGCTGTTCTTCAAAAACCTAGTTCGGTCGCCGAGGCTTTCAGTCGTTGTAGCACGGCGTCCTGGGATCGAGACAGAGACAGAGACCTGGACTCCGAGTCTGAGCCTGAGCCTGAGCCTGAGCGATCTAGTGTTCTGGAGATGGTGGTGGTGGAGATAGAGCCAGAGCCAGCACTAGCAATGACAGTCGAACATGGCAGGGACTGCATCATCTTCAGCACGAGAACTCGGATATTCTGGTACAGCGGGTCGAGGCTCTTCTTGCTGCTCTGGACTTGGACTTGTTCGGAATCAGTGGACTCGGACCTTGCGGCAGTATCGGCAGACTGGACTACTATCTCTCGTGACTCTTGATCGTGGTCGTGGTCGTGGTCGTGATAGTGATCCTGATCGTGATCGTGACCATGGTCGTGGTCGTGGTCGTGGTCGTGGTCGTGGTCATGGTCGTGGTCGTGGTCATGGTCGTGGTCGTGAATGGTCTCATGGTCCCGTCCAGATACTGGTACTGGGGCAGCTGGGGTGGTGGTAGTGGTAACAACAGGGATGTCGTGCTTAGACTTCAAGTTCGTCCCGTCATCATCCTCATCCTCATCCTCGCTCCCTGCCGACGAGTGTACCGCCACAATATCATGCAGTCGGTCCAGAACCTGGCTGTTGTTCCGCCCCAGAGCTGCCAGGATCCAGGGCCGTGCAATGGCAAGATTCGACAGCAGGGCAAGACCGAACCAGGCTTCTCCTTCGGCAGCCAGATTCGGTCCAGCTTCAGATGGGTTGGAGCTTCCAGGTTGTGGTTGTGGCTGGGTGATGATATAGGCGATTGCGTCGGCGATTGTAAAGTCCTCGTCGGATGGACTGACTGTGGTAGTGGTAGTGGTACTCGTACCTGAGCGGCCAGGCCGTAGTAGGGAGAGCAATGTGGCTTCGAGGTCATGTTGTTGCGCCGGGTCGGATTCTACTTGTGGGTTCATCGTTGTCTCCGATACAGACAGGGCTGTGGCTGGCCGGGTCGGAGTGAAAAGCGTCCTGACCACCTCAATGCAGAGTCTTCCGATTTCGACCTTGGTGCGTGTGTCGGTAGTAGGGTTCTTGACCAGCGTGATGGCGGCAGCCAGAACGCCAGGACTACTTGGTGCTGTAGAAGTGGTGGCGTTCTGATGCACGCTGGAGTTGGAAGAAAGGTCGCACAGATATCCTGCTCTCCCCTTGACCAGCAACCTGATCAGAGTCACCGTCTGACGCTGGATCTCAATGCCAGCTGCATCTGTCTCCCTCGCAGGCTGCAGTAATAGTTTCTGCGTGGTGGACATCATGCCAGCCTCGTGTAATGCATCTTGTCCGTCACGGCAAAGTGCGAGCCGAGTGCTGAGGTCAATGGCCGGGAGCAGAACGTCTGGTTCGGTAGAGAGGGCAACGAGACTCCTCACCGCGGATGCTATTGAACTCGATCTCACGAGGCGCTCCGCGCGGTCCGTCGAAGTAATGGCGTTGGCCAGTAAGACGCAGATGCACGCCCAAGGGCCAGCAGTGCGAGGCCGATTGCAATTCCGAGCCTGAGATGTGTCCTCACAAGAACCTCCACCTCCACCTCCATCTTGTTCGAGAGCGTTGATGCAGTCGCGGACCAGGGTCGACTCGGGTGGAAATTTGTCTCCGTATGTGTCCAACGTCGAGATCTCATAGACGATCTTGAGCACGGCTTTTCTGTACGGCGCCAGCGAGTCGTCGTCATCATCGTAATCGTCGTTATTCTCGTCCTCGTCCTCGTCCACAATGTACGGCAGATGAATGAATTTCCAAATTCCGCCATCGACGTCCATCAACGCCCCGTAGCAGCCTCGCTGAGAGAGAACATTCAAAACAGCTTGACAGATGGAGACGCAGCAGTCGGGCTCTTGAGCGATCTCGGTCCCCTGTGTCAGGAGCGAATATACCAGCGCTAGACTGGCCGTTTCCTGCAACTCCGCCGTCTCGTCCTCGGCAAGAGCAAGACTAGGAATGAGGTGATGGATGCCGTATAGAGCAACGCGGCTTGCCATCTCTACCAAATCAGCTAGCGTCTCTAGGCTGTTCTTTGCAGAGTCCTTCGTCCCAAGCAGGATCTCGACTGACGTAAGTCCATGATCATGATCTGCATCCCAAGACATGCCGAGTTTCTGTTCCGCAGCATTGAGGGCTGGTCCAGAGTCTGGCCCCTGACCTGTACTCATCTGCTGTAACGAGCGCCAGGGCTTTCCTTCGTTGTCGACGGCCGGTTCATCAAAGTCGACACAGACATTGTACAGAGTTGGGATCACCAGGTCGCATTCTCGCTTGTCCTTGGCCAGATTCATCATAGATCCTACACCGCCCCTATGGATGATGACACTTCGATTGATGTTATTGTCCGCACAACAATTGGCGATTATTCTAAGGGCAGACCGGATTTGCTCTCGATCCGACTCGTGCCATGGCCGGGCAACAATCCGCCGTGCGACCTCGAGGATGCAATCAGGGGGAACTTCGGCGATGACCTGGGCGCTGTGCTCTTGGGAGGTCGCTTTCTCTGGCAGACCAAACAACGGGCGCCAGAATGGAACTTCCCGGGTAGCCTCGGCCAGGAGGTTGCTGAGTTGAGGGAGAGAAACGTGCGAATGATGAGACAGGGTATCGAAATAGCCAGCCAAGACTCCCATGGCGTGCGTGACGCCTGTTGCCTCGTCGCTTGGGTTGTCGGCCGCGGCCCTCAGACTCCAAACTGCCCTTTCATGCTGTTTCTTGATCTCCAGGTCAAGAGGTGGATGCTGCAAAAGCTCGCTGCTAAGTCTCAACGAGGCTTGACTTGGGGTTAGGGACGACATGGTGGATTTCAATGGCAGTCCCGTAAGCCAACTGGAACAAGTGGTCTGTTCTTTGTCGACCGGAGGATCACCAGGACTCTCCTAGAGCGAGTCATATGGAACAACCTAGACGAGATGCAAATATGGCCAGACAAAGGTCATGGTGGAAAACGGTCTTCACAGGGAGCCACGCATAGCTCTAGACTCACTAGAGAGGACACGATCTGTGCCGGCAACCATGGAGCAATGTCGTGTAGTGACAAGAGACCAACAAAGAAAAGACGAGGAGATAGAGTAGGGCTAGGCTACTAGATTGTGGTTCAAATTGGCAAGGCTGTATAGGTACGACGCTGTGGCTGGCCGCTGTATGGAGGGAGTCGTCCTCTATTACTAACACGCCAAGCCAAGCCAATTACTAGTACTACGGCGGGTGCCAGAGTCACGACGCGTTGCGTTGCTGCGTCTCGACGTGAAATAGACATGAAATGTGAGATGTATCCTCTCCTCTCGTTTGGCCCTCAACACATCAATCCACCGTGCTTCAACTTCACTTCCCTGGTCTCCTTTGTTCATATAGAAGGTGTCATTGTGTTCACGGTTCAAGGTCTCGAACAGCCTCATCGCGAATCAATCACAATCATAATCATGGGTCGTGCAGCCCAGACTATATCCTTTGGCCTGCTGCTTTCTTCGGTAGGAAGCCATCGAGCCCTAGCCTTTGGTTAATATTCATGGGTGGTCAGAGCTAACCTACGGTGTCAGGCATATCTTCTACTCGTCCTCCCGCTCCTGACCGAAGATTCGCCTATTCCCTCGATTCTGCCGACCAAGATTCAAGTGGAGATCATCCCTGTTCTTCCCTTCTGGGCCCTGATTACGCTCGGCGCGTACCTACTAGGAAGGCTGGGACTCGGTGTCTTGCGATTCAACGACACCGAAGACGCGTACAAGGAACTCATGGGACAGATTGACGTGGCAAAGAAGAATCTGGACAAAAGAAGAGTTCACTGGGATTGAGGCTTCTTCGGGTGTGACGTGGACGTGGACGTGGAAGTGGATTGGATTGGACTGGACGCAGGAACATGATCAATACAACCTTCTTCTATGACTCACTCTGATGCGAGCTCGCTTCACTGCAACTCCCTGTCTCATGGGAAAGGCACTACAACCCGGACCTCGTCAGGCCGGTCGGTCTATTTGACACCATGTTCCGCGGCGAGCTGGTCATGTTCGTCAATGTCCGTCGCCTCCCAAGGATAGCAAATCCAGCAATCAGGCACCGTAACTGCTGCAAGATATCGGTTGTCATTGATCAGGTCGTCAGGAAGATGGCCCTTCTTTTCCTTGTCCTTGTTGTGCAAGACGAAGATGGAAAACCTTGTTGGCTCAGATCTGCCCTCATGTAGTCTGGCCTTTTCCACATCCTTCTGCAGCTCTTTGACGGCGTACTCGAGCGTAGTGCGAGTGTCGTCGACCTCGTCCACAATCAGGATGTTCTTGCCGATGAGATTTTTCATTTCCAGCGACGAGAAATCCAGCCATTGCGTCCGCGTGACTTTCGTGCCCGGTTCTTCCACCACGTCCGAGTCGGACAACTGCTCGTAGAGGGACAGCCCGATTGCTTGAATGGGAATGTTGGGAGCGCCAGGTTGCTTGAGAAACGATCTGCAGGTTGTGGTGTCAGTGTGGGATCCTTCAAGGTCAAGCTGGTTGTTCCTCTTCTCTCCTCTCCTCTCAAATGGTGTGAAGTTGGTTGGTTCTCTCCTCTCCTCTCAAATGGTGTGAAGTTGGTTGTTTCTCTTCTCTCCTCTCAAATGGTGTGCAGTGGTGGGAACGGAAGTTCTACCTACCTCAGGATCCGAGCAGGGACATAGCCGCCTCCACCAATGGCGATCATGAGGTTCGGTTTGAAATCGCCCAGGATCTTGGGCGCCGCATCCTGGCAGAGCTTGTGGATCTATTCACATTTCGCCAGGTTAGATACGAGTAGGTGCCAATGATAATAACGACCGGATGGTGGGAAGAGCGCTCCAACACAAGACACACGACACAAGACACACGACACAAGACACACGACACACGCCTCACATGTGACTGTGACTGCGACTGCGACTGTGACTGTGGGATCGGGATATCTAATCTTGCGGATCGCATACTGAGTACTGACCTGGTTGTACGTTACGTAGACCTTTTCGACCATTTTGACAACTAGACTGGCGATGGACGGTGAACGGTTCTGGAGAGGGTGTGCGCTGTCGCAGGATGTACGAGTATGGGAGACGGCAAAGCAAAGCCTTAGAGGACAAAGTGGAAGTCAAACTGGCAGTGGCAGTCAAACCTTCTTAAACAATAATGTCACATCTTCAAAGTCCAGTCACGCAGGTGAAGACACGGCGAGATCCGCCCTGGGGCCCTAAGGCCAGAAAAAAGTTCGCCGGGAGGAGGGGAGTGGGAGTGGGAGTCAGGCTTGGGCCGGGGGCGACGAGGCACGGCTTAGGGCACCAGTGCGGCTAGTATCACCATCTGGCATCTACGCATAAACTGGTCCCCTAGCCTTAAGCTTCCAAGGCTCAGAAGGCTCCTAAGGCCTCCAAGCCTCCTTAGCCCCTTCTAGTCTTGCTAACCCTCCCGTCGGCATACTTACCCCGCGAAATCTTAGCACTCCCTCCGATCGTACTTTCGTATCGAGATTCACAATACTCCGTACAGTACACATCGATGCTCAACCACCCTCCTCTGGTTCCATCGTGTATCGATCGCAAGGACAATTGCAAAGGCGCACGGCACGTTCGGTTGAAAAGACCGAGACTCGATTGGCTTCTCATCGGATAAGTCCATCCATCGGCTGAGGGTTAGATCATGCCTGCCCTCACCCCCTCGGGAGTCTTCTCATCCTCCATGTCATTCTCGCCAGTACAAGCTAACTAGTTCTGTTCACCGTTGCTTTCGGTGACCCCTCGGCCTCAAATATAGGCTCGCAAGAAACGCCTCAACAAAGCTGGCTCAACTGACATGCGAGCGAGATGGAACCATAGCAAGTAGCTGTTGCTAGCTGATATGCCTCAAGAAACCACAAAGATACGGCACCAGACGCCAACGCTAAAGAGACCGCAAAGTTACTGACCCCATGAGAAGGAGAAGCCCCTTGTGCTCTCAGTAATCTACCCCGGAAGCCGCCATTTTGTCATTGGTATCAAGGACGCTACCTTTTTGTCAGTCTGCAACATAGTCCACGGCACGACATGTACTTACGAATACTGCTTGATCAATGTGCCCTCACCACCTTTTGCTAGGTCAATGCTGAAGACGTAAAAGTTGCCCTCGTTCGTAACGACCATGACCTGTGGAGAATTGGGACTCATAGCCACCACGCTGCGTAGCTGACTCGGCGAAGTCCCGGAATTGGACTTCAAAAGCCGGACCCAAGCAAAGTCTCGCGACGGCTCCCACATTTCGGCTACACCTTTGGGGAGGTACCCGCCGACTGTCGTGGCAAGATTGATCCCTACGTGTTGGGACGTTCTTCGTAGCAGACCCATAAACGTCCCATTCGGTTTGCGGCTTGTCAGTGCTGTCGGAGATTCTGCTTCATCTTCATCGTCGGCCGGAAGATCGTATGCCGAATCGCTCCCTTGACTCAATCGCCGGGTGAAAGCGCCACTCGATTTAGTGGGTGAAGCCGCCTGCTCGCTCTCGTCGGTCGTTCGAGCCGTTTGTGGTCCCAGCTTGAAGATGTGGACGGTCTCGGTGGCCGAGGAAACGCATAATAGAGTGGATGTAATGTTGAAAGCCATGCTGTATATTCTCGCAGGCATGGAGCCCCTTCTAAACTGATATAGCTTGTGAGCATCCGGCACCGAGAATATTCGGATGATCGTCCCTTTGTCGGAGGCTGTCGCGAGGATTGTCCCTTCGTTGTTGAATGTCACACAAGACAGCGGGGAGCGATGTGCTTCCACAACATTGACGGCCTCCAATTTAACAGCATCGAACAGTAGGACTTCGCCAGACGTAGGAGCAATATGTGTGGCACTGGGGGGCGCGTGCGAGGGCGGAGCAGCGGAGGAACCTGCCGCCTTCTGTGGTAATGGGTAGGCTAAGTAGCAATTTTCGGAGGAAGGGGAAAGGGCACAGATGGCTAAAGAGGGAGTCAGTCAATCATGCAACGTACCCAAGTGGAACGTGTCTTGCCTGTAGGATTGGGAGAGGTCTCAATGGTGTAGAGCAGTCTCATGGTCTGGATATCGTAGAGATATATCTGATCTTCCAGCACAATAACCAGCCTTTTTCTGTTCAAGCGCACCGCCAGCACTGTAGTGGGAAAGGTAAGTTCGCAGATTATAGAGTCTCGCTAAACAACGTCAACCGAAGTCGTCCAGGGGCTTTGAGGTGCGCACTTTTGTGTTTTTAATCTGGAGCCTCCTAGGAGACAAGATCAAGGCGACAAGGGAGGTAGAAAAGAGCATCTCGAGAATGGCAATGTTGCCGGCTTCCCTGGATTCGTAACATTTTGCGAAGGGATCGGTGGTGAAAATACGAAACCCTCGGGAGGTGCCTGGGGGAGGTTAGCCAGATACCGAGGACGTCCTGAGGTAGCAGCATACCAACAGCCAGGTGGCTGTAGTCCTGGTTGAAAGTGACGAAATTCATAGCCATGTTAGGAGTGATCGGACAGCTTGCGGTCAAACTGCTACTGTACGGATATGCTGCGGGGATCCATGGAGGTGCTTTCTCCGTCCCTCGAAAGATCGGTGTAGCTGCAGGATACTGAGTGTTGACTCGGCTGCTTCGTTGGGATCCGGGAGGTTCAATGCGTGTGCTGCAAGAGTTGGTCAATTGCTGTCAATTGCAGCCCAACAATTCGCAGGTCGAGGGTGCTTGAGATCTGTTGCCGTTCGGGGTGGAAGGCCGCATGTGACGTTGGAGTAAGTAAATAGCAGGCATGGATACGTACTCCGTAGTAGTAGCACATTTTAGTAGATGGCTGGTTGTGGCTGAGGAGGCTGAGGCTGAGGCTGAGACCGACTTACCTAAGCAGGTTGCCTGCGCTGCGCTCCAGGCTGGCGCTGGCGCCTAAGGAGCAAGCCTACTCTGTACTCCGTATAGGGGGGTAATGCTGTAATTGGTGGGCAGATTCCTCCTCCTGATGTTCTTGTCGAATCCCTTCATTACCTCCCTCGTCCTTATGTCAAAAGCAAGCAGTGCCTGCAGATGATGTGAGTGCTCAGTATGGCGGACAAGATGGACTTGGAGGCAGACCCTCCTCGCGGCCTCAAAAGGTCTGCCGAAGAAGCAGGGTTGTCTCTACAAACTCCCCGTCGGATAAGGGCATGTCAAACCTGTCTTCCCTCCTGGTGGGTCACCGTGTTGCTAACTGGGAGAACAAGGCTCTTGATCAAGATGTCGTCAACAAAATCGCCGCCGGAGAAATCATTGTGGCTCCTATGCATGCCTTGAAAGAACTACTGGAGAATTCGGTCGATGCTGGTTCGACGGCCATTGAAGTGCTTGTCAAGGATGGCGGCCTCAAACTTCTCCAGATCACTGACAATGGCCATGGAATCGAAGTATGTCCACAGACATGAAAGCAACCCATTACGAGCCTGCTGACCCAAACCAGAAAGATGACTTGCCCATTCTCTGCGAAAGGTTTACTACTTCCAAGCTGAAGAGCTTCGAGGATCTCATGTCTATCGGCACTTACGGATTTCGGGGAGAAGCTTTGGCTAGCATTAGCCATATCGCCCATCTGAGAGTCACCACAAGGACTGCAACCTCGAGCTGTGCCTGGCAAGCTCACTATGCTGATGGCAAACTGACACCGGCAAAACCAGGTCAGAGTGCAGACCCTAAACCCTGCGCTGGTCGTCTCGGTACTCAGATCACCGTGGAGGACTTGTTCTATAACATCCCCAATCGTCGGCGAGCGTTTCGGTCCCCTTCGGAAGAATACGCCAAGATTCTCGATGTCATTACACGATATGCCGTCCACCGCGAAGGAGTAGCCTTCTCAGTTAAAAAGTACGGTGAATCTGGAGCCGGGTTTTCGGTGGCGGCTGCTGCAACCAAGACTGATCGAATCAAACAAGCCTATGGCGGAGGTGTGGCAAAGGAACTGATGGAGTTCGGGACCGAGGATGCCAAATGGGGGTTCAAAGCCTCGGGATATGCCACCAATGCAAACTATAGTGTCAAGCGGACGACTCTACTCCTGTTCATCAACAACCGATCCGTCGAGTCGTCGGCTGTCAAGAAAGCCATCGAGCAAACCTATCAGATGTTTCTGCCCAAAGGCGGACACCCATTTGTCTACCTTTGTCTTGACATTGATCCTACCAGAGTCGACGTCAATGTACATCCGACGAAGCGCGAGGTTCATTTCTTGAACGAGGACGAGATCATCGACCTCGTTTGTGCCAATATCCGCGAGAACCTGGCCAAGGTTGACACAAGCAGAACATTCAAGACGCAGACTCTACTGCCAGGGCTGGCCCCCATGACACCCATGAATAATAGAAGGGCCGTTGCAACAGCCGAGACGCCTGATGGCGATGAGAGTGCTGTTTCCAGAAGAGCGTCCACTACCAAAAAGCCGTACGAGAACAACCTGGTTCGCACCGACTCAAAGATGCGGAAGATTACATCCATGCTCCCTCCGGCTGTGACGAGAGGCGATACCCAAGACGAGTTGCCGTCCACCAACAACCTTCGATATACAAACACAGGGCGGGAGCCAGTTCAAGTGCGGCTGACATCGGTGAAGACTCTGAGGGCAGAAGTTCGAGAAGCCATGCACAACGGTCTCACCGAAGTGTTTGCCTCCCTGACGTATGTCGGTCTCGTGGACAGCAACCGGAGGCTGGCTGCCATGCAGTCTGGAGTGAAGTTGTACCTCGTAGACTACGGTCTGGCTTCAAAAGAGTTCTTCTACCAAGTCGGGCTCACCGACTTTGGCAATTTCGGCCTCGTCCAACTACAGCCACAGCCTAAGCTGCGAGACCTGCTGGACATTGCGGCACAGTATCAGATTGAAACAGCTCCTGACTGTGCGGATCTGGACCGGGGACAAGTCGTGCAGAAAGTCCACGACCAACTGATGGGCAAGAGGCAGATGCTCTCGGAATATTTCTCGCTCGAGATCTCCGATGAGGGTCTTGTAGAAGCTATCCCGCTGTTGCTGAAAGGCTATACGCCGTGTATGGCCAAATTGCCCACGTTCCTCTTGCGGCTAGGCCCGTTTGTGAACTGGACGCAGGAGGAACCATGTTTCCGTACGTTTCTACGAGAACTGGCCTCGTTCTATGTCCCAGAGCAGTTACCGTCGGGCAGACGCAGAGACGGCCCTCGCCCTTCCAAGCCCGATCTTGCGGACACGGCAATGGGAGGGACGGGAGGAGACGACCGCGATCAAGAGGATGAGGATGAAGTTGAAGTCGAAGTTGACCAGAACCAGAACCAGACTGTCGACGAAAGACGGAAAGAGCTGGACCACGCTCTAGAACACGTCCTTTTCCCAGCCTTCCGGTCCCGCCTTGTCGCCACGCAGGACATGTTGAAGGGCGTGGTCGAAGTGGCCAATCTGAAGGGGCTGTATCGTGTTTTTGAGAGATGTTGATGATGATGTTGATGATTGATTGTTTGGCAATGGCATGGCTTGTCTAGACTACTTGATGCTGATGCTGGTGCTGATACTGGTGCTGGTGCTGGTGCTGGTGCACAAGACTGCTAGATAAGCTATATGATATGCCTTTACGGAGTATACAGTTAGCTAAGCTATATATCATATGCCCAAGAGAGCCTTATACTCGTTACGCTTCTCGTAACTCTCTTTCTTACTCTCTCGTCTTAGTATTTATATTATAATAGCATAACACGTTTGTTTGTTACTCTATGCCACCGTGATAGTGGCCTTGTAACGAACGAGACTCGAGTTTACGATACCTTAATGAGACCAAGAAGTCTCGTTCGTTCCAAGACCACCTCAATTATTTATGTAGGGGAGCGGTGGGATTGAATTGCCGTACAGGATAGGATGGCTACCTACATGTACCTATACCTACCAGTGCCTACACTAGGTACCTATACTCTACACTCTACACCACACCACACCAACCCTGACAGACGCGTGGCTGTGCCCGTGGAATGGAAGGAATGCCATACTCTGTATCCGTATCTGGACATGCCCTTCCCTTCCCATCGTCTTATTTCTTATGCCGGCACGAGTGGTAGTATGCTATACTATATCGTGGGCTTCTACAAAACCGAAAAACAAAAAAACAAAACAAAAAAAAAAAACCTTAATCCTATTAAATAAAGGTTAAAATGTTCCATGTTTTCTATTAATGGGTCGCAGGGAGCGCATGCCATATAGTATACCTAGTATAGCCTAAACCAGCCTTCTGGCTTCTAGTTAAAGGACAAGGCTAGGAATACCTAACTTTAACAAATCCTCTATTATACTATCCCATCCCATCCCATCCGACATTCCAGAAACATCAACATCAACATCAACATCAACAGAACAGAAACAGAAACAGAAAACAGAGAACAGAGAACATCTCAATCCTCCATTATCCTATCTGATCCTATCCGATACAACGTGCTAGAAACAACAACATCAACAAAACACTATCCCGTCCCATTATACCCATACCAAACATCGCCCAAACCACTCCTACCACTCCCATCAGCATTGAGGAGAAACTCGGTCCCGACACCGCTGGCGAAATTGCCGAACCAAGCATACCGAGCCACCCACGGCTGCAGGTCCATCCAGGCCGAGGCGGCCTTCAAGAAGGCGACGACATCGGCGACGGGATAATCCGAGCGGTCCATGCCGAATTCGCTGACCCAGACAGGATAGCGCGACTGGCCTGTCTGGGTGTAGGCCTGGGTGAGGTAGTCCATGAAATACTGGATATTGTACGGGCTGGCGTACCAATGTAGGTTGACGAAATCGACCGTGAGGTTCAGTTGCGTCGCGTTGCCCAAGAACTGCGAGAGATACGACAGTCCCGAGCTGCCGGAATTGGTGACGGCGGGCGCGCCGATCAGCACGTGGCCGGAGAAGGGCTGGATGTAGTTGAGGTAGCCCTGCACGGTGCGCGACACACTCATGCACGCCGACTGGCCCGAGTAGCAGGCGTCGGGCTCGTTGAAGCCGAAGATGGCGTCGGTGCCGTACGAGGCGATCGACGTGTTGACGTTGCTCGCCCAGATCGAGGTCAGGGATGATGCGTCGTTGTACAAGAGTGGGATGAAGCGGAATTGTGCCGCTGGGTACGGCCCTACGTCGTCCGATGCGTTGGGGAGCGAGTAGTAGTTGTACGACCATCGAATGTATGGTGCTGGAGGAGGGTAGTAGACCAGCGTCGTCACATTGGTGTATGCGAGCCCGCGCTTGGCTGGGTAGATAGTAGGAGTGGGGGAGGAGGTGGAGGTAGTGGTGGTGGTGGTGGTGGTGGTGGTGGAGGGAGACGACGACGACGATGAAGGTGAAGATGTAGTAGAAGAAGTGGTGGTCGTCGTAGTGATGCTGCTGCTACTGCGACTCCTTGATACTGAGGTTGTGCTGCCTGAGGTCCCGGGGGTACTTGTACTTGTCGTTGTACCTGTAGTTGTAGCTGTACTCGTCGTTGTAGCTTGGGTGGAGGAGATCGCGTTGCTGCTGGATCCACTCGATGCTCGAGGTGTCGAAGAGAGTGAAGTCTGTGTGGTGACCGAGCTGGTCGTCGCAACGCCCGAGACGCTGGTCGGGACGGTCGAACGAGACGTCGGCGTGCTGGATGAAAAGGCAGATGACAAGGAAAGACTTGGGAAGCCAGTCGTGGTCCTGCTGGACGCAGCTGTCGATGAAGTGGTCCCAATTGTTGTCCCGCCCCCGGGACTCTGCACAGAAGATGCCGATGACGGAGCATCGCTGATTGTCGTCCCACTTCGAGTCGAGCTGGCTGAGCTATGAACACTGGTCAAGCTCGATCCTGATGAAGGAACACTATATGAACTGATAGACGAGGCCGCAACCGTCACGGTGGATCGCGTACTAGATGACACGAAGCTGATCGAGCTGGTAGATGTCAGAGCCGGCGAAGGTGACGCTAATATTGTCGTCGTCGTCGTCGTCGTCCTGGGCAATGTTGAACTCGAAAGTACGCTGTGAATAGCTGTACTTTCGGATGAAATCGTCGTCGAGGTTTCGCCACTTGGTAGATTGCTTGGACCCGCCAGTGTCGACGTCGGTGGACGCATACTCGCAGACGTGGTTGGTTCTTCACTCGCTGTCATGGGTGCGGTTTCGGTCGTACTCGAAGATGTGTCGCCGACGGTTGAACTTGTATCTGGAACATTAACGAAGCTAGGTGCCATGGTTACCGGCACCGTGCCGTCGGGAGGTAGACTGTCGCCGAAGAGAACATCGAGCTGACCATCAGGAAAAGCGACGAAAGTCGTATTCCCAAACCTCAATGTCATCCCGTCAAATATCCATCGGTACCCAGCTGCTTGAGGGGGGGCAAGCTGCACGAGCGGCGATGTTCCCGTATAGCTTTTGGTGCCAACATACGCCCCTCCACTGACAAGTTGTCCATCCGCAGTGAGGACGAAGACAGCCGCCTCGTCCTGATATGCATCTGGAGTTGCCTCGCCATCCACAAAGGTCAGAAACACGGTCGCGCGCCTGTGGAGCTTGCTGCCAACCCCGGTGACTTGAATGATGAACGGACTCGAGGTCGGCGGAATTGACATCGAAGTCGTCGGAGAAAAGGAGCTAGAAGTGGTCGTGCTGATGATGCTGGACGCCGATATCTGGCTGCTCGAACCAACAGAAGAAGCTGTTGGCTGAGCTCCGCTGGCTGTGCTCAACGTGCTGGAAACGGTCTCGGAGGCAGCGGTGTCATTGCCGTATATCACTGTAGATGTGAGATAGCAGGCGCCTGACACGGTCTGTTGGCCCGATTGTGCCACTGAACACGACACAAGGCTGTACACGGCCAACGCGAAACAACCAGACCCTAGACACTTCATCGTGGATAGTCGATTGCCAGCTTGGCCAGCTTTCCTCGTCTGCTCCTCTGCTGAGAAACTCTAGCCATCGCGTCCCCGGCATTGTGTACGAGATGCGTGAGATGTGGGCATTGTCTGGAATGTTGTGGAGGAATGCTGGCAAGGGGCCCCTGCGCTGCTCGACAAATCTAGACATGTTGTCAGTGGTCGCGAGGGGAGAAAAACAGGGTGAAACATGGGCAGAATCTTGTCAGAATCTTGTCAGGGTTTGATTGGGGTCAACTATGAACTCCTTTCCGAATGCGACCATCCGTGTTGCCTATAGTGTACAATCCCGCCATTGTCTTGCTTTTCCCACCATGGCCTGGAATATTGTACAAATACATTTTGAGCTGTTGCCGAGAATTGGAAAAAGACGCCGCCCATGCACATGCAGCTAGAGTCCCGGACTGGTGGTTGGGCTGACCCCGTTGGGATTGCCGGTGTTGAGGTATTCCAAGGGCACTTTGGGTACCTTCGGACTCAGTATTGCGCCCGGGACTGGATGGTTTCCTCCGGATTGGCGACGCAAACTCGAACGTGAGAAATCCTTGGATCTCTCCTTCTCCTTGTGGCTTTCACTCTTCCCGCCCGTGAGACGACGCATACCTCGTCGCATGCTCTGCAAACTGAATGCGCCTCCGCTCTCCGTAGCGGACGTGGGTGTGGTCTGATATTCCAGCGGCCCTGGGCCTGACATGACCTTGCTGTGACCAGGTGCAGCGACGCTCAGAGAAGGAAAAGGGCTGTTCTCGCCATCCGAAAGAATGGCTTCGTCGTATTGATCCGCGTAATCGTCCTGCAGTCGGAACGAGCTGCCTTGAGGCCCGGCCACAAATGCATTGAGAGTGGGTTGTGAGGCCGGAAACTGGTTGGCCGGCGACGTGATGGATCTGGCATGCAGCCCAGGTCTGGAATGACTGGCTGGAGTCAATACACTTGGTCCAGGTTGCTTTTTGGTCGAGCTGGGCATCGAGGGGCCTGGTCCTCCGAGTTCATCGATCGAAGAGAAAGATGATTGCGCTGTCCCACTGTAATTGGGCACGGTGAAGACAGGCTGAGGACGAGGGAGGGCACCGTGTAGAGGTCCGGGCTCAGTGAGTCCATCTTCCATGTTGGCCAGAGACGAGGTGCGCGCAAGGCTCTGACGGAGAATAGGGGCCGTGTGTTCATCGTAGAGGGCGGTGCTCTGCTCGGCGAGAGGAGGAATCGCCATGGTTGAAGCCCCAAAGTGGCTGCTCCCCGTCGGGGTCAGAACAGTGTCTCCGTCCAGGTCGTCGAAGAAATCATCCAGACTGTCCAGGGTATTCACCAGATCACTGACATTGGTGTCTGCTGCCGCCTCCATGGATCGGATCGTCTCGGCCCTACTCTGCGGTGGAATGTATGAGTCGGGGTACCCATCATCCCCTTGAAATTCCACCTCGGGAGCGGCAGTCTCTTGATCTTTCAGAGCATCGGACTCTCCGCACGTATAGAAAACAGCATGCACGTTGCGTCTGGTCATGCTCGAATAGATGGCCGGCACGGGAATCGACCAGCCCGACGCCAGCGGGATTCCGTACAGGCTCTCGGTCCGTTCATACTCTTTTCGAATCGCCTTTGCCGACCCCGAAGCCATACTCATGCGCATATGGTGCTTTTCCATGGGCGTGGTTGCCACCTCCATGATATAATCCAAGACCTCGAGAGCTTGAGGACATTGCTCAGTCTGCAAAAGTCTGAGAAGCGGGGAAATGAGATCCGGTCCGTGTGTGGTGATGGCGGGACTTTTCATGTTCACCAGAGGAATCAACACGCGCAAGATGTCCATCAGTTTCTCTCTGAACCAAGGAGCACTGTTCGTCAGCAGACCCATCATGAAGATCAAGCTTGGAGCATCGTAGGCTGGAAAATATGCCACCGAGAGGGCCTCAATGACAGCGGTCAGCATGTCCTGGCCGGTCGGGAACGCCTTGTTTGCAAAATGGAGAAGACACGTGGACAACAGACTGTGACCTTCGACATCCGCCACATCCGCCAGTCTTTGTGCGCATGCGATCGAGGGAACGTCGGCAGCGTCTAGATCAAAGCTCCTCAGAAAACCCGGCAGGTTAGCCCAAACACAATACAGCAGGCGAGTCTCATCCCCAACGAGCTGACAATTGGGAAGTACGGCCAGCTTGTGGAGGATGAGTAAGGTCTTGTCCAAGCTGTCAGCCGACTTGAGCCCCTTATAGAGCAAGGGTTGCAGGCCATTGAAACCACCCTCCCAGTTCGCAGGTTGACCCTTCATCATGGCGTCGGTAACGTCGGGGGCAGACAAGTCAAGCTTCTCGATGAATTTGTCCAGCATGCCCAACGTCTCGTAGAATTCTCTTTCGTGAATGGTGTTGAGACAGGCACAGGTGGTCCAGAAGAGTTGAGGGTAGCGGATGAGATTTTTGGGCTCCAAGGCTCCAATGACAACCTTGAGGGTCGTCAAGATCTCCATCGAGAAGGTCTGGTAGTCGGTGTGCTCATCGGCGATCGTGTTGGACAAGCGAGCAAGCATATCAGCAAGCATCCTGGCATCCAGGCTCACAGAGATACAGCGAAAAACCTGGAACGACCGGCAAGCCAGATGTCGAACCGGACAGATGGACGCCCAGTGGAGCGCCTCTTTCGCCCAGGTGTCACTGAAATTCTCGAATGCGAGGTCGAAGATGCCCACGATTTCTTCGGTCAGCACCGACATTGCTGGTGGGACCCGGCTGCCCCCGTCGTCCTCATCCTTTCTCGTGTTCTTGTTGTATGACCAGCTTACTCGAGGGTCATTGGTACGCACTGCCTCCACAAGGCTTTCGATCTGCAACTTGGAGCCGTACAGGGCTGCGGGATCAATCTTGGTCGTCACCAGCTCGTGAATAAGATGCACCAACATCTCTCGTGCTTGTTCCTGGACAGAGGTTGTATAATGATCCCAAAGAATGAGTAGCGCATGTATGAGCTTGATCGCCTCTTCTTTGGCAAGAGTCACGGGCGTGACCATCAAGTCAACCAGAAAAATCAAGGAGACCTGACCTAATGACAGGCCGACCTGTTTGTTTCCCATGGGCAGCAAGGAACCTAGATCAGCAACGTACGGTAGGTGTCTGGTATCGGGAACGGCGACATCAGCGTGCTTCGTGTCGTTGACCATGTTCTTGGGGGTCAGTTGCAGCATAAAGAACTCCAACACCCGAGAGCCGGCGGGGGTGGAGGACAGGTACACGACAATTTGCTTCGCGTACTCGACGAAGTTTTGCTCCCGCCGGTCCAGTGACAGATAGATGATGAAGTCGAGAATCAGCTGGACATTGCCGGCGTGCGGTCCCGTCGCCAGAGCCTGCCACAAAGCTTGCACCTCATTATGCATTGCGTTGCTAGAGCAAATGGTGATTTCAAACATGTTGGCCAGAATCATGTAGGAAATGGCAGTTGGCCCACCCGTGATAGGGTCAACCTGGAGTTCGAGTGTCTGCAGCCAAGGCAAGATCGCCACGACCATGTTGCGTTGGTGATCATTCCGGGCAGATTTGTAGTGGAGGGAAAATTCAGAGAAGATCATGAAGGCAATATCTGAGTTTGCATTTGCCAGTCGCTTCGAATATTCGAACTGCGCCCACTTGTACACGGCCCGGGTCTTGTCGGAAATGCTAATGTCGAATTCTTGCAGGTTGGAACTCTTCTGTTGCCGTTCGTCCAGGGTGCGCATGAGATGCGCCGATTTCATCCGGATTTCGCGGTTCTCGTTCCCCAGTGTGAAGACAATGAGGCTGAGGATCTTCCAGAACGGGAGGGGATAGCCGGGCTGTTGGACCAAGACCTCACAGACGACACCAAAGTAGCTTTCCAGCGCCATCGAAGACTCGGTCCGGTAGCACTGCTCTATGGCATGCTCGGCAAGACCGAGGTGTTCGGGGTTGTTGACCAGCAACAATTTGAGCGCTCGTCGGCCGATGGTGTGCATCTTGTGGTTATTGGTGGCGAAGATGGTATCAATCCATGAAAGCATCCGCTGCAAGTTGAACGACAGAACAGCATTGCTGTCGGTCTTGATGCTGACAGGGCCCGCACACAAGGTTGCCATTGCACTCAGGGCAGCCACCCGCAGATTGTTCTTCTCTTTCTCCGTAGCGGCGCTGGCATTCATGCGCTCTTGCATATCTCCGCCATGACCATGATGAGGGTCGAAAAGGTTTTGTTCCGCACTGTAACCGCACCAATCCTCCATCAAGGAGAACGCCGACTTTCGCGACTCGAAAGGCATCCAACGAGAAGGACTTTTGGTTCGGTTCACGCCCTCGAAGACTTCCTCCACCAGACCACAGAAATGATACCGCAGTTTCTGGAACCGCCAGTCGTTCTGCACGTCGGTGTCGCTTAAGAAGATGCGTAGATCCCGGGTGTAGTTGACGAGATTGGTCAGAATCCACTCATCGCCATAGATGTCCTCATGGCGGAGGAAAGTAGCCGTTAGCTTGTAAACGTGTGTCACTTCGGTCCGAAGTCGTTCAGTCTGCTGAGATCGGTGTGGGCTACTTGGCGACCGTTGGTGATTGATCCTTGCCTTTGCCTCATCATTGCACTTGATGACTGCATACTGAAGAGATTCAAGCAGAGTGCGATAGAGTTTGCGATTGATAGACGCAAGAGCGGACACCACAGCATCACGGATGGCGTCAGGGGCTGCTCCCAGCATCGGGATGATGGCAGAAAACAAGGCTCGAGCGGAGCTCAGCTTGTCTTGCGCCGGAGTGGCACCTTTGGAAGTCTTCCGAGCATGAGCAGCGTCGGCTAGCTGGCTCTGCGACTGTGCGCCTGGAGAACTGAGCGTGACACATGCCATGATCAGATATAACTTCCACTGCTCGAAAAACACTTCGGCGGACGTGGCCGAACTGCGCCCCTGGATCCGGTATTCGTACGCAGCTGGGTTTCCAAGAGTAGTCTCGGAAAACCCCTCAACATCGTTCTGCATCAGTACCAACCTGTCGGTCACCGTCCCCCGGCACAGGGCAATTGCGTTCGGGCATGCATCAAAAACAACACGGATCAGGTTGGGAAATGCTTTGTACCATAGTGTCGAATCGTATGACACTTCTGAGCTGCAGATCTCGATCAACGTGCTTTGCCCAGGGCTCCCTCGCTTGTCTTTCTGTAACCGGCTTCGCTCGGCGACATTGAGAGAGCCTTCCTGCAGATCCAAGATCTTGGATGATTGTCCCTCGAGCAGCTTAATGATCCGCGAGGGTTCATCCTGGCCAAGAACATTATCAAATTGAGTCACGAGGCGCAGGACTTTGATCGCGTAGGATCGTACTCGGCGAGACTGGGAACAAAGGAAAAATAGACCGTAGGCCTCAATCTCGTCCACATGGGGGATAACATTCGTGAGCTCCATTTGCAATGCCCGAGCAGAATTCGGCCCGGCACGGTCCCTTGCTTCTGGAGAATTGGCCACAGCCTTTTGTTTGAGCTGTTCCGTCCAAATCTGGAGGAGTTCAAGATACAACGTCAGTGTTGCCTCAATGTGGGCGGGTCCGAGACGGCCCTCGTCCGACATTGTGGAGTACTGGGTGTCGTAATGAAAGATGAAGCGTGGAAATGCAATCGCCACTGCTTGAGCGTGGCCCTGTCTCGCAATTGCCTTCAACGATTGTGTGGCCGAAGCCGCGATGTTGGGCTGTACATGGGCGGAACCTGTGCACAAGAGGTTGATCAAGGGGCTCAACGGTATATGGTCGGTAAAGCAGCGGGGAAGAGCTTGAATGGCGACATGCAGGAGTTCATAATAGAGTTGTTTCTGATCGGGTGCTGTCCCATCTTGGTTGCGAGCCAGGATCAAAGCATCCACAAGTGGCGTTTTCGGTGTCAAGTTCGTAGAGGAAAACTTTTCGTTCAGCGTGGCTTGGCCACCAAAAGTATTGTCACACAGTATCGTGATCTTACCTAGGATCTGGCAAAACTGCAAGTAGTACTGTCGGGCATTCTCGTCGAGTTTACCCGTATTGACGGGTACGAATGAGGGACTGTCGTCTTCCAAGGTCGTCCTTAACGAAGAGTCAATTCCCAAACTAGTTCTCATACTGATGGGTGAAGATGGTAGCCCTTCCAGGTTCTGGCTCTGCGTGCCGAAGACAGGGAATGGAGGACCCTCAGAATCTTCCTTCTCCAAGTCCGCCATTATGGCAAGGAAGGCTCGAATGCCAATCACCATTCGTTCAGGCTCCATATTCTCGATTTTCAGGTTTCGGCTTGACTGGAACAGGTCGTAATGCACCAAGGGGAAGATGACCGATCGGAAACACATATCCTGAGCTGCAAAGCCAATGATCCTGATGAGCTGCACCAGCGGTATAGACACAGACGGATCCGACACCACGTGCGTTTTCTTCCCCTGGGGAATGGCGATTCTAATGATCTCCTCCAGTCGCCGAAGTCTGACCTGAGAAGACTCCGTTATGCGTGCCAGATACGTCCACAGCAGCTGGCAGATGGCCTGCAAGGCTATACCGCGTGTCGATCTGTCCTTAAGTTTCGTAGCTAGAGTAGACATCATGGGGAACCACTGCTGTGAGAAGGTCTCGACCGGAGAAATGCAAAGAAGCAAGATCGACAGTGGAAACCCAATGTGCCAATGACGCACCTTGACCAACATATTTCCCAATCGAGAGTTTATGGCATCGATAAAGTCCTTCCATTTGGGAACACTCTGGAAGCACTCGGGATTGCTGGCTACGGCAGTAAGCAAGCGCTGGAACAGGTGGCAGTATGCTTGCTTGACTCGAGGTCCGTGGGCGTCCGAGAACAACGCGGCGAGAGTGTAGAGGAAATCAGCTACCTGAGACGCGGTCTCTCGGTTGGCGGCGATGTGCAGATGTCGCATACCCAGAAGAAGCAGTTCGAGGCGAGATTCAATGTCTCTGGCGGCGGTGGTCCCAGAACTTTTGGCGAATTCTTGCTGCCACGTTTTAAGCTGGTCAGTGAAGCGAGCTGTGACATGGATAAAATCAAGGCGACTCATATGACCTAACACCTCGCCGTAAATTCGGCAATTCGCCAGACGAATGCTTGATGTGAGAATCTGAGCAGGTTCCACTTCCCGGAGCTGAGTGAAGACGATGTCTTCTAGTTTGTTGGCCAGGTCTTGAGTTATGGCAGCCAGACTGCTCTGTTCGAAAATGGCAATCAGAACTCGACACAGAATGTAAACTGATATAGTTGCTCTGCGGTCTGCTAACAAGTACTCCTGCGTCAGACTATCTTCTGCCGACGAAGCATTGTCCGCGGTGACCTGAGGAAATCCAGGCTCTCCCGGGGCTTGCAGGGGCTCTGTATGACGGCGCGGTAGAGAGGCCGGCAGTGACAAGTTGGGTGCACCAACCTGCAGCCGCTGCTGGTAGACTTGTTTTTTCAGGGTTGCAGCGGTATCACCCTTGCCTTTCCGCCAAAGCATCAGGCTGTCCACCAGTGGTTTTGGACCTTGCCGGGAAATATGGCCAAGCGAAGATATCAACTGATCAAAGCCAGGGTCCACTCCAGGGGCACAAGTCTGTTCGACCGGCGCAGCAGAAGTGTCGAGGAGGGTGAGACAATGGTTGATTCTTTGGTCAGCACGCAGCACAAATGCGTGGAATAGATGATGTAGAGCGTATTCGCCAGGCGTTCGGGGTTCTGCCGGCTGGTGGACACTCGATGGATGATATGCATGGCCTCGCCTCGTCCTCGAATGCTCTTTTCGTCTCCGAGGCTGCGCTGGGACCGTCTCTGTTGAATTTCCAGGCCCATCTATCAGGGAGTCAATGGAATGACCTTGCGCATGTCCCTGAAACGGAGACACCGGGCTTGTGAAGGCGGAGGAGCCCTCGGAGGCTGAAAACTGGCCACGGCGGGTGGGTTGGTTAGGGTACCTCGCATAGTTGGGCGCACTGAGCAAGGAGTCGGGGGTGAGAGGACTGCCGGTCGCGGGAGAATTGAAGCTGGGATTTCGCGAATGTTGTAGTCCGTGGATGACAGAGGTCTGTCGATGATGACCATAATTGTTCGACGTCCGGCGCTGCAGGCCGGTGTCGATGGCGGGACCACCTTTTGAGCTCAAACCCGACTCTGTTCCGTGCGGTTGCGCAGAGCCCGCTCGCGATGGAGGCACGTAATTGGAGCCATATGCCTGAGTTGTAGGTTGTTGAGTTCTTCCTCTTGTCACAGATGTCTCCCTTGTATGAACAGAGGCACCCAGTTGTGGGCGCACATTGGGAGGGACTGCGGCAGGAGTGATTTGTTCGGGGCCGGGGCCATCGAGGGAGACGTTCTGATGGTCGTTGGAGGCAGATTGGGCATCTAGAAGTAGTGCGTAATCTGTCAGAATCCGTCCCTTGCTATGGCTATGGCGCTGAGGGATGGCAGTGTTGGTTGATTGCGCAGAGGGTGCGGATTACTCACGGTTAGGCAGCATGTTGTGCCGTCGATGGCGAATCCAAGAGGAATTGCAGGGCCTGCGTCATTGCTCCGTATCGAAAAGTAAGGTGCGCGACAGACGAGAGAAGACAGAAGACAGACGAGAGAGAGCGTGATGTTGAGGAGGTGGAAGTGGTAGATTTTAGTCGCCGTGGAATGAACGTGAACGGAACGGGACTGAATTGGGACAGGCGGACAAGGACAAAATTAATGGCACTGACTGGGAGGCACCGCCAATCACAAAGCTAGGACTCTCAATATTTACAGCCTGCCAGCAGACAATAATGAACGAGGGGCTTGATACAAGGGAGCAACATGATGTGATGTTCAGCGGTGGTGTAGGACGGATTGTCAAGTCATGGTCGGGGAGAGACCTGCGATATGGCTCGCGGTGTTCTACAGAGCGCCATTCGTTGTGAGCGTAGGCAGAGCCGTCGAATCAGGAAGACGGCCGCTGAACTATCTGGGTGACGAGGCCGTCATGGCTGCCACAGGCTTGCAGGCTTGCAGACTCCGGCGCCAAGGGACCATGGACACAGTTGACACACTGGGGGTGTGCGGAATTCCGTACACTGAAGCACACATGGTCGGGAAAGGTACCTAGGTACCTACCTTTTAGGTTGGTATGGGTACGAACACACTGGCACTCCCTACAGAAGCATCATGCGAGTGACGAGTGACGAGGAACGAGGAACGGTGTAGTCCTGCTTGTATGTGGCAGTATTTGTCTTTGAGCACCCATCCATTCTCTTTATCTGTCGTGTCCCAGACAGAAAGTCACTCGAGAGAACCCAGCCGTCTACTCGTAGGTCGAGGTCGAGGTCGTGAGGGAGACTAGGCTCCTTAGGACTTGGGAGCCCCATGTTCTAGATCGGTATAGGTAGGGCCCTGTAAGGGTAGGGGTAGGGGTGTCGGAATCTGTCTTTGGTGCCGGAGTGTGGGAACGATGCTCACACCGTATCTAGGTACTTATATGGGATATGGGATACGGTGTACGGATACTCCGTAGATGGTGTGTAGAGGATGCACAAGATGCACAGCGAAGGTCGGAGGTGGGATGTAAGGTTGCATGTGGCCGAATAGCTACCTGGTGAGTAGCTACCCCAGAGTTGGGGTGATCAGAAAGCGATAGACGGTAGGAGAAAGAAAAAGAAAACAGAACACGTAGGTGCGAATCTGTGCCCTGCGGAAGAGCGCACTCTGTCCTTCCGCTACATCCACCTTCGGGGTGATTCTGCCCCCATCACCTCATTTCTTCTGCCGCCTCCGGAAGCCGCAGCACATACGCTGTACCAGTGCACAGTACGGAGGAGTAGGCTGCCCATCATTTCCCCCACCACGGGTCGCTCGCTGTTGTCCTTGCCGAACTGCCCTGCTCTGCCCTGCTCTGCTCTCCATATCAATTGCCGGCCACCTATGGTGACTTGCCATCTTCGCCATCCTCGACTTTTGAAAGGACAGCCTCGGTGCCGCTCTGCTCTGCGTATGAACAACAAGGCCAACAAAGACCAAGAAGCGATTTGCCCTCGATCAAACTGCAACCCATCCCACCGCCTTCCTTCCTCGGGTGTTAAAACTTGAATGCTCCATCCACGAGCCTAGACGCTTAGCTCCTCCATCTCAGCGACCACTACGAGTACTCCGTACCTAGTACCAGAATCACCCCCGTCTCTTGGCCACCTCAGGCCACATAAGGCCTGCCCCTCCCAGAGACACCCCAATCTCCACGCTGTTCACTCTTGTCGCCATCAACAATCAATCTATTTTGTGTCTTCTCGCAGACAGCAGACAGACGCGGCTTGTCGGTCACTAGCTCCAAGGTCATTCCATTTGTACACTTCACCCCTTCTCAAGAGTCAACAGTCTGGTTCTGTGGCCACGGTCGGACTTGCCCACCATGGCTCAAGTCGATACTCTGGACATTGTTGTCCTCGTGCTCCTCTTGTTGGGCAGCGTCGCCTACTTTACGAAGGGGACATACTGGGCCGTACCCAAGGATCCCTATGCCACCTCCGCCCTCAATGGCACCGCCTCGAAGAAAGGATCACGAAATATTGTTGAGAAGATGGAGGAATTGGGAAAGAACTGTGTCATCTTCTACGGTTCTCAAACTGGCACCGCAGAGGATTACGCTTCCCGCCTGGCAAAAGAAGGTCATGCTCGATTTGGCCTGAACACCATGACTGCCGACCTGGAAGAGTATGACTACGAAAACCTTGACACCTTCCCCGAAGATAAAGTCGCGTTCTTCGTCATGGCCACCTACGGCGAGGGCGAGCCGACGGACAATGCCGTCGAATTTTGGGAGTTCATCAACGGCGACCCGCCTTCTTTTTCCGAGGGCGAGGAAGACAAGCCGTTGAAGAACCTGAAATATGTGACATTCGGCCTCGGCAACAATACCTACGAACACTACAACCTGATGGTCCGCAACTTGGATAAGCAATTGACCAAGCTCGGTGCGCAGAGGATCGGCACCGCTGGCGAGGGGGACGATGGAGCCGGCACCATGGAAGAAGACTTTTTGGGCTGGAAGGAACCCATGTGGGCTGCCCTGACCGAAGCGATGGGTCTGGAAGAACGGGAAGCTGTCTACGAGCCTGTCTTTAGCGTGGAGGAGAGAGAAGATCTTTCCCCCGACAGCGACACCGTCTACCTGGGCGAACCCAACAAGAACCACCTCGAAAACACCCAGAAAGGCCCGTACAATGCTCACAATCCGTTTATCGCGCCTATTGCCGAGTCTCGAGAATTATTTACCGTCAAGGACCGAAACTGTCTCCACATGGAAATCGACATCTCTGGTTCCGGCCTCACCTATACGACAGGCGACCATATTGCCGTCTGGCCCACCAACGCGGGCTTGGAAGTAGACCGACTTCTCAAGGTTTTTGGACTGTACGAGAAACGCGACAGGGTCATCAACTTGAAGGCCATCGACCCAACTGCCAAAGTCCCCTTTCCCACCCCCACCACCTACGACGCCGCCGTTCGCTATCATATGGAAATCTGCGCACCCGTTTCCCGTCAATTCATAGCCACTCTGGCTGCCTTCGCACCAACCGAGGAGGCCAAGAAGGAAATGGTTCGCTTGGGCTCTGACGCGGACTACTTTAAAGAAAAGGTCTCTTCGCACATGTTGAACATTGCTCAGGCAGTTGCTGCCGTGCATCCCGGCCCCTGGTCCGCTGTTCCTTTCTCTTGTCTGGTGGAAGGTATCAACAAGATACAACCGCGCTACTACTCTATTTCGTCGTCATCCCTCGTTCAGCCAAACAAGGTCTCCATTACCGCCGTGGTCGAATCCATCCGCATTCCTGGCGCTGGTCACGTGGTCAAGGGCGTCACCACCAACTATTTGCTGGCGTTGAAGCAGAAACAGAATGGCGATCCTGATCCTTCACCCCATGGTCTCACTTATGCCATTACCGGCCCTCGCAACAAGTACGATGGAATCCACGTCCCCGTCCATGTGCGTCACTCCAACTTCAAACTCCCGTCTAACTCTAGCAAACCGATCATCATGGTTGGGCCTGGCACTGGTGTGGCTCCGTTCCGAGGTTTTGTTCAAGAGCGGGCCGAACAGGCAAAGAAGGGTGAGGAGGTTGGGACGACGGTGCTGTTCTATGGCTGCCGGAGGCCAACCGAAGACTGGCTCTATAAGGATGAGTGGGAGGTAAGTCAAATGTGTTTGGTTCGAGATCATAAGCACCGTGGTTCTAACGGCGTTTCGCAGGAGTACAAGAAAGCCCTGGGGGACAAGCTGATCATCTTCAATGCCTTTTCTCGGGAGACCAAGCAGAAGGTCTACGTGCAACACCTGATTCAGCAGAACGGCAAACTGGTCAACGAACTCCTACAACAAAAGGCCAATTTCTACGTGTGCGGTGATGCTGCGCACATGGCCCGAGAAGTGAATGACATTCTGGCCCAGATCATCGCAGCCGAACGAGGAATAGACGAGCAGAAGGGCGAGCAGGTGGTGAAGAGCATGCGCAGCAGTGGCGCGTACCAGGAAGATGTGTGGTCATAAAGAGGTTTCCGATTCGAGTCATCACGTGGTATGTCTGAGGTGAAGCGCTGGAGTGTGCCCTCTCTTCTCTCTTCAGGCCTGGCCTCCGGCGATCGGTGGCCAAAGGGTGTCAGGGTGTCGGAGGCCCCGCACCGCGCAGGGCCCCAGCATTTATTCCGCGGACTGAGGCCGGAATCAATCCCTCGTCCCTCCGGGGCGTGGATTCTCGTGGAGGTTTCTCACATGACTGGACGTGGAGGGAGGGTGCACCTGGAGGGGATCGTCTGCCGGGGATTCCCGAAAGCGCAAGGTGTCTTGGTGTGTTGCAGCCTCAGAGGACACTGCGCAGGAAGAGTTGGGATTTTCCTGGGGGACTGGACCCGTGGCGTGGTGAACAATGTGGGGTGGTGGTGGTTGTCGAGTCGGTGTCCGAATCTGCCCGCAATAATTTGCCCGGACGGATTTACCCCTGTCTTTTGGGTCGACTCGACGCCGGGACAATTCCCGGGGACTGAGGAGGCCGACCTTGGGTTCCTGAGCCCTTTCGTGAACTTGGAACTTGGGCCCTGTACGGCAAAGTGGGGTATATCAATATCAACGTCAATATCATCATCACCCTCACCGACCACACTGGCGCACCTCCCTCATAAGTATCCCGGATGTCCAGTTTCACCTTCTGGACCCCACACACCATGGCAGCACCTTCACCCGCTGCCAGATGGGTTCGAGTTTCAGTCGGAGTTACTTTTGGGCAATTGGGTTGTTTGTTTCACAGTGTCGTTGTCGTCGTCACGAGCGGGTGCGCGTTGCCTATTCTGCTCGATGAGAGGATAGAGCCTTACACGGCCAAATGTATCGCCACGCAGGAAGAAGCCCAAAGGGGGACGGGGACTACACACAGGATACACATAGATTCCAGCTATTCTTATTTCTTGCCTCTCACTTTTGTTCAGCTTTTGTTCAACTTTTGTTCTTTTGGTCTGCTGCAAAAAACAACCAACACTCCTTTCAGAGCAGAGGATCCAGGCGAGGCGGCCGAAGATCTGAAGAAACACGCACACAGTCGCTGTAATTGGGAGGCCGTGAGAGTGCGCTGTTGAAACCCACCCGCTCCTCGCGTCACCGGCGCAAGCCATCTGCGTCCACTTGAACCCTTCCAACCTTCGCCCCGCCATCCCCTTGCTCTACCCTATCCCGCCATAACCACTAATACTGTGTCCGGGTTGGGGGGTCGGTTTACGCGTGTTTGATCACCTTCTCTAGAGCCGCGGTGGCACGAGTACAAGCGTCCTCAAGAGCGTAAATATCGGCGCGGCTCTCTGCCAGGAATTCCGTGTCCTCAACCCTGGTCCCTTCTGCTTGATCTGCTGCAGTCGATGTGGTGGCGTGCTGGAGCAGCGCCAACAGGAAGTTGGACGCCGTACTCAGCGATCTGACGTGGGCGGCGAGCCTCGGCTTCACATCGGTCGTGCTGCTGGGGGATGAGGATGGTAGGTGTGGAAGGATGACACAAAGCAGATTGAGCGTTGCGATGAAATAGGGAATATCTAGGAGGAACGATAACAGATCGTCCGAATCGTCCGCCTCGGGGTCAGTGTTGGATTGCTGGCCTGACGTGATCGGCTGCGGTGGAAACCTGGGCAAGTCCTGCGGGAATAGGAGGTCGAGAAGCGACGGCGTACGGCTATCTTTTGCATCATCCTTGTCCAAGTCTGCATGGCCATCGATAAGGGTCGACAGGTCAAGGCCCTCGGTTCGTGCAAGGGGTTGCTCAATCGAGGCTAGACCTGTGTCTTGGTGACGGATCGAATTCGCGAATTCATCCTTCAACCAGTCGACACCTACGGCTTTCAAGGCTCCTATTTGCTGTGGAGGCGCAAGAGGAATCGGATGCGGCTGTAGCGCCGACGTGCTCCGTGTCAGCCCTGTCTCTTCATCGATCCCTGGTTCTGGGTCGGGGTCGTCTTCGATTTCCGCCCAATTGGTGCTCAACGTGCTACCTCGCAACGTTTGGACGATCACTTCCAGTCGAACCTTAGGATCCGGGTATGCGTGCAAAAGCTTAGTGGCGATGTGGTGGGCTGAGTCACGCAGAGCCGGCCAGGGCGTAATGGTGAAAAGTTGAGTCAGTGTGCTCAACAACAGGAGAAATTTGGCAGGCGATGGTGGCGCGTCGGTGGCTGACGGGGAGTGTATCCGGCGGTAGAGAAGTGAGAGCAGCGCGTCCTGTAGCGCGGGAGAGGGGATCGAGGGCGTCGCTGAGAGAGGGAACGAGTGTGCAGTCAGTTTTGTCAGCTCCGTCGTAGTGAGAAGAGGTGGTAGAGATTCTGCGTTGACATAGGACTCGTAGGCGTACAAGAAAATGACGCCTGCCCTAGGAAACGGAATTTGGGATGGCGAGGTCGGATATTCCGAAGCTTCCTGCTCTTTGTCCAGTGAGGAGTCTTCGGTCTCGTCCTCGTCCTCATGCAGGAGCCTTTTGATCTCCGTTGCAGCGTGGATATTCATTCCCCTGCTTAACGCGCCGAATCTTGCTACCAGAGCGTCTCGCACCTTAAGTTCTTCTCTTTCCTGCCAGAGCTGGGACTCGGTGGGTCGTCCTGGGACTATTCGTTGAGGCTCAAGCTTCTCTCGTAGACGAGCTGTCCAGGACATGGATGATAATTCCTGGGACGAGAGAGATGACAGGTATTCATCCAGGACCTCGAGCAGGACTGCGTCGAGAAGGCGAGACGTGATAGTTCTCTCCTCTGGTGACGATGTGTTGATACCTGTCTGTTCTTCTTCCGCCCGGGCTTCTGGATCCGGCAACGGAGCCGATGTGGCGCCGCGGGTGCTGCTGTCTCGCGGAGGGAGAGGCGGACGTCTCTTGCCGGCAAGGGCTTCTAACATGGTGAGAAAAGACGCCGTGACGGCCGTAGTGATGGGTATTCTCCGGTAGGCGCCAAGCGCTGCGGGCAGCGATGTTGCGAGAAACCTACTTGGATATTGTGTCTTGATCCTAGGGTGAAGGATGCTCAGCATATTCAACAGTGCCTGCAGTTTCAGTGGTCTCGACGAAGCGGATGACTTTGCAGAGCGCGACCCGTCCTCCTGTTGGCCGACATCTTGCTGCTCCACCTGTTTTGGGGCCTCTGGAACACCTTCGAGGGTCATGGCGCCGAGATGAATTCGGGGCGCTTCGCCTGCAAACGTAGGCAGCTCGTCTTCGGCATCCGCCGGGTTCAGCTCATCGCTGTCTTCGTCAAGATCATCATCATCCCCGGCGTCACCCAACTTCTCCAGCTCCTCAGCTACACGGACAACCACCTCTCGAGGGTTGCCTCGCCGAGCAACGACTTCCAGGCAGTGGGTGGCTTCGTCCGGACAGTGGCTGAGTAGGGGCAAAACGAGTTTCAACAAGTCCCATCCAATCTCCTGTGCCAGTGTACCATCATCTTCACAAAGCAGCCTAGTTAATGTAGGAAGATTTTGCGGGGTTAGCTGGTACTCGAGTATGGTCAAGTAGGTGATGTAGTCCGTAACTGGGGGTAATGCGGCGAGGAGCGGGTCTTCCGCTGAATGGGGATCAGAAGCCATGGCGGTTCCAAGGCCTCAAGTGTCCAGTGCCCTGGGCACGCAATGAGTATCACGAGTAGCGGATGGCTCAACTGGGCCTCGAAGAGCAGGTCAGGAACACGGGGCCGGTGGCTCGAGGGTTCACGAAGCAGAGACACCTGGTAGCAACAGCCAAGCTAAGGGATAGAGGTGACTGGGATGGAGGAACCGGTCACATGGGCTGATGGCCATGTAATGGGAACATGGAGGATAATGGTGGTAGTGGTGGTGGTTGGTGGTGGTGGTTGGTGGTGGTGATTCTGGTGATTCTGGTGGTGTTGATGCTGTTGCTCGCATCGTCGTCATTGCCAGGCTTGGCATCTTTTGCCTGCGCTGCGGTGCACCGTCAAGGATCTGTCAGTCCTTGACCGGCGAGACGAGCGCAGCATGTATACCTCTAATTACAGGTAATATCGGGCCTACGAAGGCTTCAGATGTCCGTCAATGCCGTCTGACACCGAGGACGACTCCGAGTCTGTATAGCTCCCTCTGAGGGCAATTTGGAGTCACGTGCGGCAGAACAGTACGGCACAGAGTACAGAGTACGGAGTATGGAGGACGGAGTGTCCGTACAGTTTACACTGGAATTAGTACATTTTACTCCATGCAAGTTATATGTACTAACCTGTCCTCTGTACAGTCGTGTACAGACCGATCATCCTTCTTCTCAATCGCCGCAAGAAAACTCCTTCGCCCGACAAGGACCAACTGAACTGGCAGCATGGAGGACTGCCTGCGTCTGAGCACTTGTCAGCTAAACATGGGTACCACGCGACTGTTGCCCAAGGCTGAGCTCGTGGCTTACGAGGCGTCTCACTAGACAAAAATAGTGTCGCCATACCCTGTTGGCCGTGCCACATTCGTCCTTTAGATTGGGGTCGTGCTGGCTTGCGGTGGCTGACGATCCGCAACGCGACGGTGGGGTCATGAGATTTGCAAGGTACCATATTGAAACCAAGCCCTCGAAGGATTTAGCCACGATTCGTCATGTTTCATTGTCAGCAGCCTGCGATGCAGTAATGGGTAGAGCCTTGAGGGCCTTGAGGGCCGTGAAAAAGGTCAGCTCTCATCCTGTCCACCGTCGCCATGAGAAGGGAAACAGCGATTCAGTCCCCGGTTGTCGTTGCGGTTGGTTTCGCGGAGAATAATGGCGGATCGACCCTTTGGGCTTTCCTCGCTTGGTTTGTGGTACGCCAGCGCTCTTGTGGCGTCTGTCACCGGCAGCGAGATACCCGCGTTGAGGAAGCTGGCGCTGATCTGTCCTCCGAGAATTCAATAGTACTGGAGCCTGGCTGGCAGGTGGTGCGTCTCCGCTTCTTCCACTATCGAAAATAAAATCAGATCACGGTCAACAACAGAAAAGGAAGCGGATCTGCTTTTCCACGGCCAAACTGGGCCTACCGAGCGAGCTTTCAAGATTGCTGGTAGCTGAACCGGACGCCACAAGTTGACCCCTGAATTGCCCCAGGATGGCCAGTTCCGCCTTGGACGAACCACAACATAGTTCTGCCTGCCTACCACCTAGAGTATACACTTCCTCCGGGCTCTGTCCTACGAAGGCGCACGGAGATGTTGGGACCAGGGTCATTTCGGAGTAGGCCTAAGAAGGCCCACCACATACAATAAACAGAGGGCAGGACGGCACGCGACGGCCATTCGCCTGACAGCTGTCGTTCGAGATTATTTATGGAACACTTATTCCAGGGTAGAAACCGCATCTGACCAAGCGATGGGCAAACTCAATATCTTCTACGCAATGGAATAACGGAGCATGTCTGACAATAATCATGAACAATGCGCCCCTGGAGAAGGGCGGCCAGGGATTGATTGCTCTGACAAGCGAGAAACCAGCGTGGAATCGGCAAGCCAACGGGAGTCCACCCCGGCCTCGGATCGTCGAATATAGCCCGAGACCCTAGTCGGGCTGCGTGTTATACGTACAGACTCCAGAGCACTCTGTACATGTTACTGGTACTGGACCAGACCTGCCCATGATTTGCCGAAGACAGTCGCAAGGCTAGCCATAGCCAGCAGACCAAAGCCTTCTCGAGTCTGTCTGCAACTCTCCGTCGGGGGACAGAGTGGCCCAACAACTCCCAATGCAAGATAGAATCAGAACAGACTGTGGACAACAAAAGATCCAAATCAACCCCTTGCTCGCGCGTCGGCCACGCGGGGCACCTTTTGCCCGCCACTCATAGCAATAATGCAGCATGTTATTACGCTTGCACCGCTCCAGGCCGATGCCCGACGCCCGAGTTCGACTTGAATGGTTCGGCCGGCGATAGTGTCTGGATTTACGGAGTACATACTGTTGATGTAGGATTTGTGGGACTGCGAGTCCACCGTGAAGGTTCCCGGCTCGTCATCGGTCGCACAAGAGTGAACTATTTCTGGATGAAAATGCAGCCCGGCAGCCAACACCTGGAGATTGCGAGGACAACAAACCACGATATCCGACTGCTTGGGTGATGTCTCGCCCTCGCTCCTGGATGGTGCAAATGGCAGGACGTAGCTGTACCTACTACCCAGCACTCGAGAGGTCCTCCTCGCTTTGGAGATCGTGGTTGACAGGGGAGTCCTCGGCCTGCTCTCTTTTCGGCAGTCCTGGTCTATCTTGTTTCTCCAATGTCTCGCCTTGGTGGCGGGCTGTTCGCCAATGATAGGGCACCATCCCAGCTCCTTACCGGCCGGCCTCGTCAATCGCCTGTCCTAATAGAGACCCTGTCCGGCCAATGGCCCAAGCCTCCAGCCTTTTAGGCCGCGAGCAAGACGGGCCCTCCAGGTGTGGTGATTGGTAGGCCCCCAGCGGCCTGTGGGATCTACGCACACTGGCAGGGGGGTTGATGCAGACTCGACCCCAGCTGGACTAGGGCCGTCGCGACAGAAGCTTATGCCTGATTATTGCTCTTCGCTTGATGAGGTTGAGGAGTCCTGACGCTGCAGATGGCTCCCCTTACTCTTTTATGGCGTTCGTGGCTGGCACCATCTCGCCGCTGGGTCTGCCGAGACACCCACTATCTGGTGCTACCGCCCAACAAGGCAGACCATGTTGGCGAAAGCGGCGAAACCTCCTCCACACCAGGCTGCCAGTCGCTTGCGGCGGATCGACTGGTGTCTGTGGCATGTCGCAATGGACAGCGGGAGGCCAGGGCCAGCTGTCCGTCAGACGCAAAGGCTAACGCAATGCGCATACCGTTCAGCTGCTACACTCTGCCTGTCCATACCCATGTGGAGCTGGCCACCGGAACTATTGGGCCAACATGCTGGCTTTGGAGTGAAGCAGATCGTCGCTCTCCATCGCGAACGAACATGAGGAAATTTGGCTTGCAGCAGTCGACTTGCTGGTGTCCGCTTCGCCTGTCCATCTGCGTGTCCCCCAACATGGCCCTTGCATGCAGGCCGACGAACGAACGACCGCCCGGATATCGAGCTTGGTCCTCAGCTTGTTGATGACTTCGGATCAGAGGCGCCGAAAGGATCGACTGATCGAGTGCTCGAGCAAAGAAGCCTGCCTGCCGTTGCTGTCCCTTGCTTCAGCTTTCCGCAGAGCTCCTTCGTTCGCGAATATAGTTCCATCTTCCTGCTGGGTCGGTCGTCGTGTTGCTGTGCTTGCTGTCTCGCCGCTGCTGCTGCTGTCGCCTTGGTCTTTGGACAGGGCAGCTTCCTGTCTTTCCAGTCGCGCATTGCCTGTATAGACTTCGGCCGTGGGTTTGAGTTCACTCTTCCACCGTCGACGCCCTCCTCGCTCCGCCTCCAACAGAGGGTGGTTTTGTGTGGCCAATATCATATCGGTCGGGTGTGAAATCGGGGCCGAAAGGAAAACACCTTGTCCAGGTATGCAGCACGACTCGGGGTCGATATGTCGTACCCATCATCTGGTCTCAATCATTGGGCCCCAATGCACCTCACTGACATGTTCCCAAGCACTTGCACGGACGCCTAAATAAGCGTCGGGGGCCCAGTCGGGTACCTGGGCGAGGCACGATACTTACCGTGCGGGTGTTATGCGCATACCAGAGTCCAGACAACCTCTGAGCACGGACATCTTGAGGACGACCATCACTGACTTCCGGCCGGAGACGATCGAGAGCAAAGCCTGGTCTCTGTGATTGTTGTATCTGGAGGCTTGCTCCACTCCGAACAACCCTGATGCAGCGTTCACGCCCGCCTCACCTTCACCTTCCTCCCTTCTGCTCGTCGTTCAAGAACCACCGGTCCAGCATCGACACCTCCCGGTTCACCCTCGACCTCACTCTGCCGAAACCAGTCGCTGCGCCCGCTTGGGCTTCTCTTCCTACACCTCCCATGTCCGGTTCTCCCCCACCGGAGCCACCCATCGAACCTCCCCAGATTGCTGGTCGCCGAAGAAAGCGATCCCACACGCCTCCCGCCACGACCGCCGCCGCCGCCATCTCATCACCCGTCCCATCCTTGCAACAGACTACCCCCAGGTTAGGTGCGCAGTCAAGAGGTGGTGAGACCATAGCAGCGTTCCCGGGCCAGCCTGGTTCGTATGCACGCGCGTATCCGCCTCCAGCCTCGTATCAATCCTCGTCGAGTCTACCTAGCACCCCGGCCGGCGGCTCCGACCCCCGATATGCGCCGACGTCCATCTCCCCCCGGTCGGCACGGAAACCCAAGGCACATGTGGCTTCGGCGTGCGTCAACTGCAAAAAGAAGCACTTGAGATGCGACCACAGCCGTCCATGCCGCCGGTGTGTTGCGAGCGGGAAAGAGGTAGGGACCGGACCGCATCCGTCTCGATCTGGTGCGGTAGGCTGACATCTTTAGGGCACCTGTGTCGATGTAGAGCACAAGAAGCGAGGGCGGCCTCCCCTCAAGCCCGAGGATCCTTCGGCGCGGCGAGCATATGAATCTACAATGGCCCCCCTGGCGGGACCCCTCGGAGGTCCGATGAGAAGAATGCCCGGCTCGGACCCAGCTGCGTTTCAGTCTGCGGGGGGTCAACGAGGTTTCAGGCCTCTTCAAGCCTATGACCCATCTCGAGCATCATTGAGAGGGCCGCCATTCCAGTCAATCTACGCCCAACCGTCCATTTCCCCCAGCCCAGCCACTGCCTTGGGGACCTTTATTCCTCCCTCACGACAATACCCCCCTGGGCCTGCCTCCATGCCAGGACAGCCGCCATCACCCTACAGTCCTCGGCACTCCGAATCTGCGCTGAGATCCGTGGCGTCGTATGCGGGCGGCTACAACAGCTATCCGCCACCTCAAGGGCAGATGGGCCCTCTATCTCATGTGACTTACTCCAATCCTATCTTTCCACGGCACCCCGGCGAGCCCTTAGCACCTATGCAAGGCTCAACGAGTCTTCAGCTCCCGCCGATCCGACCTCCGCCTGCTGGGCCAATTGATCCCGCAATCACCCATCCACCACCACCCCTACCCCCACCCCATCAGCCCGTCCAGCAACCGCCGCGAAGGGAGCAGGACGGCAGGGGCGACGGAACCCAAGAACCTGACCCGAAACGACCGAAATGGGACATTCAGGGGATTCTGGGCCCGAGACATGAGTGAAGCAACCCCGTGGGGTGCTCTTGTTGGGCGAGCCCCGGGGCTTATGACCCTTGAATGGTGCATACTCATGACGCAACTTCATTTTGTTAAACGAACGAGCAATGACGGGCCTCCTTAGGCTTTATGGAAACGGTAGTTCTCATTCTCACCCACATGTACAACAAAATTTGCGGCAAGTACAAAAGGACTCCAGCGCTGGACGCAGGAGGAATGTCCGTCATGGATGGCTATCTGACGGGCGAGTGACGAGGCATGAAGAAGGGACAGGACGCAAACATTTCAGCGAGGACTCCATTCGACTTACAGTAGACACGATGTTGCGATGCCATGCTATGCCATGCCATGCCATGCGCCATTTTTCGGTCGTTCTTGCTTTTACAACACCGTCCAAGGCAGGATTCTGTTTGCACATATTTGGATACTTTTGCAGGGCCTCCGATACCCCTGGGCCTGCCTGCCTCATCTCTTTCTGTTTATGTTTTCGCCTCGCCTGTTGGCCCGAGGTCGAAATCCAAGGTTTATGGTTGAAACGTTCACGAGCATGGTCCACAGCACAAGCTGGAATGAAGCGGGATATAATATCTTGACGGAGAAGGAAAAGGCGGGAAGGAAGCGTGACCCGTCCTAGACGGCTTCGTCTAGACTTTGGTACGGGGGCAAAGCACGGAACAACAAGAAGATTGGGCCAGACAATCTTCAGGGTCCGAAGGGGAGGGAGGCCTCCCATATGCCCGCACGCATGCACGTACAGGACAGGACAGGACAGGACAAGACGTTACGCAAAACACGTACGACGGGAGACGTGGCCCCTAACGAGGGTCTTGCAAGGATGGAGCTGGCTTGTTTTGTATGTAGGAATAGAAGGGGGGGAGAGGGAAAAAACCCCATTCACCGCCCCCAGCGCGCGCTCATGGAAGAAGGGCGGATTTCTGTCTGGAGCAAACGAGGTCTGGGTCGGGAAAATACTGGAACTATTCTAATACCCATATCGCGAAAGCAATACGCAATACTACTACGCATCACCGCTGTACCATATCCTTCGTATTACTAGAGGATGATGGAATCAGTCTGGGACATTGGGGCGGCATCAAACGACCTACGGAGTACTGTAGTAGTAATTATGTAGGTACCTAGGTGCCTAGTAGTAGGAGAACTAATTCCGATAGAACTAATTATATGCATGGACATTGGATTGGTTTCACGCCACAGTCATATAATTAGCACTCACTCGTCTTAAGATCCGGAGTCGGTGTCAGTGTCAGTGCCAGCACCATTGTCATCGGCATCAATCAGCCTGTCGCAAGCAGACCCGACGCCAGGGCTTCCAGATCCTCGAGAGTCTGCGGCTGTTCGGCCCCCAACCTGGTATCCCTGCCAGCGCGGCGGCCCTTCTTTTTCCTGCCCTGGGCCTTCTGCGCATTTTCATTTTCGTCTTCGTCTGACGAAGCAGCGTCCTCAAACCATTTCCTCTGGCGTTTCGGTCGGGGCTCCAGCTCCGGCTCGTCGTGCTCGACAACGTCGTCTCCGTGCCGGCTGTCTTGATCGTCGTCGTATGGAACCAGCTGGACGGCGCGGCCGATCTCCGAGTCTTGACCATCGGCATCCAGCCCCAGCTCTCGCCGCTCTCGCTCCTTTCTCTTCTCCTTCTTCTCGCGTCTCTTGGCCCGCACAATCTCCTTGTCGACCTCGTCCATCTCACGGGCCCGCTCGCGCTCGCGCTCCAGGAACGCGCGCTTCTCGGCCTCGGCCGCCTCGGGCCCAAATGTGCTTTCGTCGACGTACGCCTTGCGGTCCTTGGGCGTGTCCGAGTCGCTGTCGAACGTCAGATGCGTCGCCCGCCCTTTGAACTTCAGCAGCTTCTTGCGCGACTTGAGCAGTTTCTCGCGCCGGTGTGAGTCGATCACCAGTGGCTCGGCCGCCGGGTTGTCTGAGAGGCGTAGAGTCTTGACGCCTCCTTCTCTGGCGGGTTGGCTGGATGAGCCGCGACGCGCTGAAGAAATCTCACCGTCGGCTTCGGGTTCAGACTCCGAACTCGAGTCTGTGCCGGCACTAGAAGAGGCGTGTCGATGTCTTGTACTCTGCTGGTCGAGGGCCGAGTCGCCGGCGTCGAAGCGTCGTTTGACCGAGAGAAATTCAGCATCATTGTCCTCGTCGACCCCGGCTGCAGCTCCCGCAGCACCGTTGGTTTGTGGGTCGTCGTCGTCGTCGTCGTCGTCTTCAATAAGTTTTGTATAGTGCTCTGAAAGCACATCTTGGTTGCGCCGCTCGAACATGCGGTCATATTTTGTCCTGACTTCGCCGGTTCGTGGCTTTCGGTTGGCGCGGTCACCCTCGTCACTGTCATCGTCATCGTCACTGCTCTCGCCCTCCAAGGCAGCCATCAGTTGCCGCGGCGCATTCTTCCTTGCCTTTGCATCCTCGCCCTTGATAAACTTGACCCTTGGCGCGCCGGGAAGACCCAGGCTGGCGGCGAAGGCTTCCAGGTCTAGCTTCTTCAAGTCGAACGTTTCTTTGTCCTTCTGGATGTGCACGCTGCGCACGTAGCTGACAAACGCCTTCTGTCCTAGGTACTTGAGTTCGGGGTCCTTGAAGCACATGTTTTGTAGCTGGGTGCGGATGGTTTGCTGCATCTTCTTCTGGCGCACGTTGATCTTCTCGGGCGTGACTTTCTTCTTCTGCAGGGCGTTCAGCATGCCCTCTTCCTCGCTGGGGTCTAGAAACAGCACCGCTCGTCCGTCACGCTCGTAACGTGCTGTCCGGCCCACGCGGTGGATATACGTGTCCGCATCTTCCGGACAATCGAGCTGGACAACCCAATCGACAGAGGGGAAGTCCAAGCCTCGCGCGGTAACATCAGTCGAGAATAGACATACATGTTGGCTGTTTGAGAATTTCGTGGTGATCTCGAGCCGGACCGTTTGTTTCTGTCGCCCGTGCAGGTGAAGCAGTGGGATACCGGGCTGCAGATGTCGGAACGCTTCGTACACGAAACGCACCTGCTTGCCGCTGCTCATGAAGACCAATATCTTTTTCTTGACGTTGGAGCGGATAAAGGACCACAACACGTCGAGCTTTTCGGGCAGCGGCGTCACGATGTAATTCTGCTGTAGGGTCGACGGCGTGGCGCTTTCGGCTGTTTCGTGAACAGAGACAAACTCGGGCTCGGACAGGCTCAGTCTGGCAAGGTCGGAGACTCGCTTGGTCTGCGTTGCACTGAACATCAGCGTCTGTCTCTCTCGCGGGAGGTGTTCGACGAGGGCGTCGATGGTGGCCTTGAACCCCATGTCCATGATCCGGTCGGCCTCGTCCAACACCAGGATTTGCAGATTGCCAATGTCGAGTTCGGCTGTCTGGTCCATATGCTGCAGCATCCTCCCGGGTGTGGCCACCAGGATGTTCATGCGCCCGAGTCGGTCCCGTTCTTCTTGTAGACTCTTGCCTCCGATCACCAGCCCAGCCGAGAAGGAATGGTTCCGACCGACTTTGCGCAAGACATCGAAGATCTGGATGGCCAGTTCTCGAGTCGGCGACAGGATGAGGGCCCCGAGGCCATCGTATCCCGTCCACCTCTTGCGATATAGATTTTCAAGCACCGGCACTAAGAAAGCCAGCGTCTTGCCGGATCCTGTCTTCGCGGCGCCGAGGATGTCGGAGCCTTGTAGTGCCAAAGGGATCGTCCGGCTTTGGATGGTGGTCAGGGTCTTGAAATGGGAAGCGGCAAGCCCATCCTGCGTGGCTGCTGACAGCGGTAAGTCTGTAAAGAGGTCCGGCGGTGTTGCAGACTTGGGATCGAGGTCGGCCACTCGCTTCGACAGTGCCTCCACGTCTTCCTCCTCTCTTTTGCGTTTGAGGATCCTGGGCCGCTGGTATGTCCTCTTCGGCCCTTGGGCTCCTCTGCGGCGGCCTGGGGGCGCCATGTTGTTCGATGGCAGAACCGGTGGATGTGTGGTGTACGTCTGAGAGTAGTTTCGGTGACAGAGAAGGGCCAAAAAATCTTTGATCCCGTGACTGCGGTCGGCTTATCGATAAGAGGCCTGGTTGGAGGGACATGCGCCGTCCATGTCTGTCGAACAACCAACCGCCATCTCTTCACCCCGGAGCCTGGCCACTTCAAGTCTGCATCTTAGGTCGCTTTCTGCAGGACGCTGGCTCCTGGATGTCAGTCCGTCTTTGGTGGGTTGGCAACTTGTCGAGCGGCAGCCTTGACTCGTCGTTGGTAAGCTACAGACCACGAGCCCACAATGGCTAATGATGAGTCCGATGCTCTTGACGTGCTTGAGAGAGAAGCAAAGGAATACGACAAGGTACGTAGGCGGTCTAATGTTGATCTTAAGACTTGCTGATGACCCATCTAGGACGCCGAGATCGATCGGATCCTGAAAGCCTTTAGACTCGATGCGTAAGTGTCACGACAAGCCTTTTCATGTCTAGCCTGCTGACCTGTTGCCAACAGCTACGCGGTGCTAGATCTCCAACCCGGTGTCCCTGACTCAGACATCAAAGTCATCTACCGCAAGAAGTCACTACTAATCCATCCGGACAAAACCAAGAATCCACAAGCCCCCGAAGCATTCGACCGTCTCAATAAAGCCCAGACGGCATTGCTTGATGAGAAGCAACGGCAACATCTCGACGAGTGCATTGCCGACGCCCGACACCTGCTCATACGCGAGCACAAATACACCGTCGATTCGGAGGAGTTGAAGACGGAAGAGTTCAAGCAGGAATGGAGGAGGAAGACGGTAGAGGTCCTGGTCGAAGCGGAGGCGCGAAGGAGGAGACAGATGAAGGCCAAGATGCAGGAAGAGGGCCGAGAACAGGCCAAAGAGGATGCCCAGATCGAAGAGAGGAAGCGAAAACGAGACCACGAGAAGCAGTGGGAAGATACCCGGGACAAGCGCATCGGCAGTTGGCGTGACTTCCAGAAAGGCGTCAAGAAAGGAGACGAGCAAAAGAAGAAGAAGAAAATGAAGGTGCTGGGGTGATGGGACTATACTACTGGACATGTAAGGATACGGCGTTCGGGATGGGGTTTGTGCCATGGTGCAGGCTCTGCTGATGGTGATGGTGGTAATCACATGGTCACTTTCGGGCTTCGACCTTGGACCTTCGGCCTTCTCAGGCGCCGTCATGTCACGTCGGGCGGACGGTCCCTGTGTCTGCGACGAAGGACATAGGAGGCCGTGAATAGAGGCCCTAAGGCTAAGGCTGCCCAGACACCCCAGACAGCCGAGAGTAGTGTTGTCGGGTTGTGCGGGAGCCGCCGACAGACAGACAGACATAGAACACAGGGACACAGGGACACAGGGACGACGAACGGTCCTCTCACATCGTACGGATACTCTGCCCGGCGTCCTTTGCAAGATGATTCCAGCTGCTTCGGTCCGCGACGGCGACGGCATCGGGCGTGAGGCAGAGGCCAGAGACAACTTGGCTGGCGGCTCGGTTGTGTGTCTCCCAACTTCCCCACACCTCGGAGTTTGAGAATCTCCCCAAGGCACCAGGGCACCTAGAAGAGGACGGCTATTCCGTACTACTAGTAGTGCCGTACGTAGCATGCGACCTTCAAGTTCTCTCGGTCGCAGTTACAGTTACTGCTCTGGAACCCTCCCTGCCCTCTGTCCGCCTATTCTCATGTCGTCGCCATGAACGCTACAGCTACATCGCTGCCGCCCAATGCCCCCGTCACCAACGGAGAAGCAGATGTATCGTCGTTGCAAAATGTCTGCGCCCTTCTCCACGCCCAGGTCGCCGACTTCCTGGCAGCTCCTCCGCCGGACGAGGTGACCGAGCGGACGCAAGAACAGACCAAGATTGCGCTGGAGGTGATAGCCAAGGCATTGCAGGACTATGAGTGAGCGGCACCCCAAGCAAGCCCGGGAGAAGGAGAAGGGCATCCCTCCCTCCCCTCCTACTGAGTGACATGGTCTGACATTATCTTGCCATATGGTTTCGCAGCAGGTTTGGCTCTCTGTCGATCTCGTACAATGGCGGCAAAGACTGTCTCGTCCTGCTCATTCTATACCTCGCCGTGCTCCATACGCACTTTACCCAACCCAAGAACCGGCGGAAAGACGAGCCAGAGCCACCGCGCTCGTTTCCTACCTACATTCCCGCCATCTACGCCAAACCGCCCGACCCGTTTCCCGCCGTGACCGAATTTGTCGAATACTCGTCAAGATTATACCATCTAGACCTGACACACATAGCCACCAACCCGGGACCCAGACCGCGCGAGAGATCTCACTCTAACCCTCCGCTGACCCACGGTCTCCCCTCGCTCACCGACCTCGACAGCATCAATGGCGACGATGGGCAAGATGCAGCGTCCAAACCGACCATCTCTTTCCGCGACGCCTTCGCCTTGTATTTGACCTCCCATCCGTCCATTCAGGCCATCTTCGTCGGCACTCGGCGTACCGACCCGCACGGCAGCCATCTCACGCACTTCGACCCGACGGACCACAACTGGCCGAAATTCATGCGCATCCATCCCATCATCGACTGGCGGCTGTCGGAGATCTGGTGTTTCTTGCGCTCGCCGCATCTCAAAGACCCGCTCACCGGCGGTCCTCTCAAATACTGTTCCATGTACGACGAAGGCTACACCAGTCTGGGAGGCGTCAATGATACGTTGAAGAATCCCAAGCTGAAGTGTGTGGAGGAGAACGGGGACGAGCGGTACAAGCCGGCATATGAAATGACCCAAGATGACGGGGAGAGACTTGGGCGGGAGTAAGGGGGCTTGTGTGTGTGGGTGTGGGCGTGGGTGGAGAGAGAGTGTGGACGGATGTTCAGAGTAAGTACATTTCGCACAAGTCGCAAACCGTTGCTTCTGGAGACGCCTGGAATGCGAGTCACGAGTCACGAGTCACGCCTCGTGCCCAATGCATTTCTCGTCGGGAGCAGCGTGTGGACGTCCTGTACGAGTATCAACCGTGGCATGCAGCCCTCACTGGGAGCACACATCGGGGGATGGGGATTGCATCGAATCTTAAGACGCCACCCATGCAGTGAGCATCGGCATTGGCATCGGCATTGGCATCGGCATCGGCATGCGCATTGGCATCAGCATCCGCATCCGCGTCGAGACAAGACCGCACGCAGACAGACAGACATACCATTGAAAATTGGTTCGAGTTCGACCAGGAGAACCCAGCGTTCCGTTCCGCCATAGACAAAAACAACCACAATCACTTGGGAGTGGAGCGATGATATACCCAACCTAGACGATTGGAGTGGAGGATGCAGCCTACACATACATACCTAACATACATACCTAACATACATACCTAACATACATACATACAGTTCCGAAGCACTCCCGTCGGAGGCTGGACGAAAGATAAAGCTGTGGCAGGCAGGCAGACAGGCAGCATCTGAAAAAATAGAAGGGTTGATACCGGCTCCTCATGTACGCTAGTATTCGTATGTGCATAAGATATCCCAAAGATAAATCCCTCAAGTATCCGTCGGACACTACTGCTACGTCCCTCTGTCTTCATACATCTGATCTCACGTTCACGCTCACACTCACGTCCGCAAGTCCGGCTCGGTCAGAGATTACTCAAGGACAGCCGGGGCCCTTGCTGGATCCGACACGCGTGTCTCCCCAAGAGTCCCATGCTGCAATGGTGCTGCGAGAATGAGAATGAATATGAGCATGAGCATGAGCATCGTAGCTGGCGGCTTCACATCTGCATCTGGTGTCCACAGTCTGGAGGCAGCATGTGGCCTTCACTCATGCCGCCATTGCACTCTTTCCACCGTACCGTTTGCCGGGAATGCTTGCATGACCGGTTGCTGAATCACGGTCTAGTTGGGCTATCCTCCGCTTCTCGATTGTCCCTAGACCACAAAGTGTACCTCGAGTGGTGAAATCGAATCGCGTGAGTGATATGCCCACTACCCGACAGTAACTTTGCTCTGAAAGCTGCAATCAACAGGTATTGGAGCTTCAATCCGTGAACACAGATATATCGGCACTCAAAGGTCCAATTTCACCCAATTTCGAGCAGCCATTTTGCGCGTTCGTACACATAGAAACTGGTGGCGGCCATGGGGATAATCTTGACATAACCGATTGAAAGGCCGACAAAGAAGCCTCGCCAGCCCCTTTCCAGCCATATCCTGCGAGCCGTCTCGAATATTCTCAATCTCCGACCATCTCCAACAGCCCCGCCGACCTGCATTCGACGTCGGATCACTTCGAATGGATAAGACGCAGTTTGGGACACCAGACCGGCCACGGCTCCCGAGACAAGCTCCGCCGGGGCGGTCAGCTGGCTGCGGGAATGGACTCTTGTGGAATTTGCTGCTTTGTCCGCAGGCGATGTTGGGCCAGTCGCCGCGGGCCGCAGAACGGTGTAGGGCGCAAGAATTGGATGTTGGAGCAGATCTCCCACCGTGTCGTGGGTTAAAAAGGACATGCCCGCATAGGGAAGCATTCCCAAGAGGGTGGGCGTAAAACCACGGTAGAAGTTGGCCAGACCCGATCTCGGCACGGCGGTCTGCACAACCTTGGCTGCAACTCCCGCAGGACCCTGGACCGACACAGGTTCCGGGCGGGCGGGTTGTTCATGGTATATTTGTTGGCATATTCGCGCCAAAGAGGACCGGGAGTCTCGTTTGGTCTCAAAAGCCAGTCGCACTCGTATGACTTCAAGGGGATAGGTAAAGAAGACCGAAGTGAGGCCGGCTAGGGATCCTGACAGGAAGCGACGGACGGGAGTCTCGTGGGCTTTGGAGGGGATCACGAATGCTCGTATCTGTTCGTAGGCCAGAAACTTAATCCCGGCGTATGGAAACACGCGGAGAAGAGTGGCCGAGTGGCCACGAAACAATCCTCGAAGGCCCTCTTGCTTGTTTATGTCTCTCATGGCGCCGACCACGCCGAACCAGCTGCCCGTGTATTTCGCGAACTGGGGGTTGGAGGCCTGGAAAAGAATCTTGACCCGGTCGAGAGGTCCGACCAAGGTTTTGGCCTATGGCACATGACTATGTCAGTACTGTCTGATGTCTGAAGGAGAAGGACAGAAAAGGGCGAGATGGGTGGTGTGTGGTGTGTGGTGGGCGAGGGCGACGAACCGCACATCCTGCCAACCCGCCTGCCAACCCACTGCGCAGGATATAATCGAGACTTCTCTTGTCCACTGGCCGGTTCTGTAATGTCACCGGGGCATCGTGCTTTGTACGTGTTGGTGTTGGTGGCGGCGCCAGTCGAGGGACTGGCTCCTCGAGCAGCCTCGAGCTCGAGGTCGAGGGGCCTCGGCTCTCCATCTCGGATGGTTGTGAGGGTTGGAGTGTTGCGGCTGCATGGCCTGGGGCAGGAATAGGCATTAACGACATGCACGCCGTCAGGTCAGGGCATGGCGAGGACGGGAACTCGGACAAGCAGAAAACAGCGAGGCATTGAAGATTGACAATGAGTAGTGGAAGGAGTGCAAGTGTGGTGAGGTGAGAGTGAGAGGTGAGAGGGAGCGATGATGATGGCGACGGCGGCGGTGATAAGCGGCGTCATGTCAGTCTTTCTCAAGCTTGGAGCGACGCCCGCGGTCGGCACGATCTCGGACTCCAATCGCCAGCCTGGCAATGCTACTTACTAATACTAAGGTACCCATAAGAATCAGGCACCCACAAGCCTACAAGAGGGGAGCTCTAGGCATTGCATCCCCAAACACCGCCTAATTCGCTCCTCGTATAGGGAGCCCCCCTTATTGTCTGCCCCCGGATCATGCACACATTCCGCCCCTAATAAGTAGGTGTCCCCCAATGATCCCAATGATCAATGCCGATGCCGAGGGCCGAAACCAATCGCTCCGCCCCCGCCAATAACACTCAGCAGGTACAGTAGCAAATAAAATAAAATTCTGATCGCCTCGAGCGCCGGATCCGAACCTCCTTCTCTCGATCGACTACCTAGTAGTACACAGCGTACTCCGTACTCGCGGTTATCCACGGAGAAAGAGGTGGGCCGCGGGGGCAAACACCGTACGCATACTCCGTACTCCGTACGTACTCTGTACATACAAGACCCCGTCTGAAGGAGGCACTCTTTCCAGTGGTCAAGATTAATGCCATGCTGGACACTAACAAATAATAATCCAGATTCTACATCTATTTGGACAGATCGCTGCTCCTTTTCTGGGAACCGACTCGACCTGGCCTGCTCCCGACATTAGAGGAGACTGGACTCAACGTCGTTCTTTGTGGAGGAGGAGAATGCATCTTTGGCGGCGATGAGGGTTGTTCTGCAGCCTCAGTACAGATGGGTTCCAATGTTGGGGTGTAGACAGGCCTCTGGACCGAGCTCCTAGTCGTTGAATGCGGGATTCTTGCTGGCTTTCCGGGGCTCCTGGACCGGGTGCGTGAAGCCACCGGTGACATTGTATCTGAAAAAGAACTCGCTTCCAGCCATGGCACATCTCTCTGTCGTCGTCGATACTGCTCTAAAGGCCGTAAAAAGGTCTTGATGCGCCGCCATGTCCATGCCAGGCTCTCCCGCAACGAGCAATCGTCTGTTTGGCGAGACTTTTCCGTCAAGGAGAAAATGATACTGTCCACCCCTGCCTGAAGACTCACCACGAGTGCTGTCACTAGATTCAACCAGAATACCGGGTGCTCAACGTAATAGTCATTGTAATTCAACGCGTGCTGTGCGAACGGAAAGCTCCACATGACAACGTAAACGGCTGGGTAGACGAACATATATCGTAGCTGCTTGCGAATGGCAATTCTTGTCTGTCTGAGCGGATCGTTGACGACGTCGGAAGTGGCCACCGGTTGTAACAGGTTGGGCGCGTGGCTGGGCATGGTAGCTGGAACTCTAGACGTTTTTCCGCTCTCCGCCCAGGAAGAGTTGGGTATGCCAGCCCTCACCGACCCGTCGCCAACAGGCGTCTGTGTGTCTCCAGACCAACTGCACCCACGGGCGGTGCAGGGCAGATTCTCTCCATCGGCATCAGCTGTAGGAACCCTACTTGGCAACGATTGTGTGGTGATAAATTCCACATAGTCCCAGGGTTCGAGTTGTCCGGATGGCGGTACTTGCTGGAACGACAGATCCTGGCTGCGTATCCTCATCTGTCGAGCAGAAACACCAGTCAAGTTCTTCTCCATGTCAATGGGTCTGGTGGAAGATTTGCGCCTCGAATCCCAACTGGAGCCGTGGGAGGTATCGCTGAGGTCAATGTTGCCAAAACCGCGGAATCTGATATGGACATAGACGTAGAGCCAGATATACATGACGACGATGACGCCGATGATCAGGTATCGCGGCACCCACGACAGAGCCAGGCGGTACCAGTAGGGTCGTTTGGGGAGGTAGCAAAACGTGCCAGCCGTGACATAGCCATGACCGCCCTTGATGAATGCCAAAGAGGCAGCTAGCAGCGGTGGCCCAAGCCAGAAAAGATAGATCCAGTTGCGACAGGAATAAAGTCCGCCCTCGCCTGAATTCATGTTGGGCCGCAGAACATAAACCATCGAATGGAGAGCGATGATGAGGATGGACATGTCGGCGGCTTCAATGCCAAATTCAAGCAGAAACCCGCTTGCCTGGCACCAGGTTGATGAGCTCTGGACGGGGCCTCGAGCGAAAACGACTATTGGAAAGACAAAATATAAGCCGGCTTTCAGGGTGTTGCTCAAGATCAGATGCATGACCAGCCGGTGCCGGAAACTTCGTCGTTTGATGATGAAGATTCTCAGCGCGTATAAGACGATGCAGAAGCTGAGAGACGAACATGTGAGCGTGGTAATGAGAATGGCTCGATTCTGTGAGCTACTGAGGGACCCGCCAGCGGATTTGGGGTGATGCGGCACCATGGTAGACGCGACAATCCTCTTCCATAATGTGGTCTCGAGAGAGGACGACTTGACGCTGATAGAGTCGAGTCGTAGTATTTGTGACATGGAGTAGACCGCCTTTTCATGTTAGAATGATCTTGACATGCCGCTTCAAGCAGCTGAACCACCGAAGGAAAGCTTTGACAAGCTGCGTACAGTCGGACGTCAACTCGGAGCCGATTGTCTTCGCAGAGGTCAAGAGAGAGTACCATATGATCCTAGAAGGGTTCCCGGCACCGTTCTGCAAAGACTGAGGGTGGGAAGAGGTAAAGAAAATGCAAGGGATGAATGGATGGCTCCGAGGGACAGACATAACATCATCGATGCAGGCCTCCTAAGCCGTCGGTATCTACCCACCTGGAAATATGTTTGGGGTGCATTGACGTGTCCTGTCATGGGACGGACGGACAAGGGATCAGTAGATCATGGATGAGTGAGAGTGAGAGTTTGGGTATAGAATGCGCAAGCCGGGATGCCAGCAGGTGGAATTTGTCTCCCTGCAGCATTTCACGATCCAGAACTCCATGACCTCAGTCCCGTTGTTGTTGCGCTGTATCGAAGTGGTTGGTGGTCTGTGAGCTGAGCAGATCCGACCGTGAGAACTGCCCGTGCTCGACGACCGGGACGAGGCCAGATTCCGATTCAGATCCAGCTCCAGGGGCAGTCAGCCTCGATCTAACCTGAAGAGGAAGTTCACTGGTCAGTGGTCAGTCTTCAGTCTTCACAGCCTCTCAAGAAAGAGACTTCTCATCAGTCCATTGCTGGCAATCTGCTCGTCTCCTGTCGCCCGCATGCCAGCTCCAGGCCCGTTGCATGCCCACACTTGCTTGATCCCGTCAGCGAGCAGAGTTGAACCATCTTCAATCCTGCCACGGCTACGGCCCCGGACTCGGGCTTGAGCCCAACATGGCGATCGTCCAAGTTCATCATGCCGCAGTCCGTGATCTACTGCAGCCATGCGCAACGTGTCGTTCTGCTCGACATCCCTGCATCTATTGAACAGGGTCAGCAGATCCCGTACACCATCAAAAGCACATCAGCTCTGTATGATCCCTACCCTAGCACGGAGCCAAAGGGTTCCAAGAGAGAGGCTGCCTTGTCCGCGACTCGCCTCGACGACCGAATATATCATCAGTCTGTCCAAGGGGATATCTCCTCAGCTTTGGCAGAAATCCAAGGCTACTTGCGGGAGCAAAGCGGTCATGCAGATTGGTGTCACCCCCGCCAGGCTCTGCTCTCGGAAGGTCATTTACAACTCTTTCCGCCAACCCCTTCCGGGATTTCGATGTCGCCGGCGAGCACTGATTCATCATCAGGACCTGTCGTTCTGTCGACCACCGAAATGCGAACCCGGTTCTCCTCTATCGACTGTCTGCGCGATGTTGCGGTGTGCAACCCCACCCAACAAAGGATGGTTGTTCTGGAAGCCAGAGGTGTTGGAGATTTCTTCATTCCACCCAGTGCTTCGTTCATTCTATCCACCCTAGAACGAGGCTTGGCTGGCTTTCGTTCCGCCTGCCAGACCCTCCTCGCAGCCCCCAAACAGTTCCATATGATTTTAATGGACCCGCCGTGGTCTAATCGATCGGCCCGCCGTTCTGGGGTATATCGAACCTCGGAATACCAAGTTCAAGATCCTTTCCTACAAGCCGTGGGTATTGTGAGCGAGTGTCTGGCTCCACAAGGACTGGTGGCGATCTGGATCACGAACAAGGTCTCTGTTCGTGGGAATGTGATAGAGGCTGTTCGACCCTTGAACCTTCACCTCCACGAAGAGTGGGTGTGGATCAAAACGACCATAGGAGGCGCCCCTGTCACTGCCCTGGATGGAGTGTGGCGTCGACCGTACGAGGTTCTCTTATTGTTTCGCGAAGGTCAGGCCTGCGATATCCCACAGCGAAGAATTGTGGCAGCGGTGCCTGATGTGCATTCTCGCAAGCCGTGTCTGAAGGGCCTGTTGGAGAAGCTCCTCCCTGTGCCGTACAACGCATTGGAGCTATTCGCGCGAAGCATGACTGCGGGATGGTGGTCGTGGGGGGATGAAGTGCTGAAGTTTCAGCATGAAAGTCAGTGGGTTGGAAGCGTCTAAAACATCAGACAATGGATAAGAACACTTTACTTGTCATCAACAATGTAGTGATGGTGTCGGTTCGTTGCGTACTGGTGCTCATGCAAGGCTGTGGTGCGTAGGCGAGGCTCTGGAGCGTCATAATGAGGCTTAGGCTTAGAGGCTTGAGCTTGTAAGGGCTTAGGCCCTAAGACTCTATGTAAGCCTACCTACCTAAGCATAAGATAATTACAGGCTTTTAGGCGCCTTAGGCCCCTGGCCACCCAATCGGCCCTCGGAAAACCTGGCGAATTAGGGACGCCGGGTGCCTGGCCATGGGCTTAACCACTGTGTAACGCCGGTTCAGGCAATGGCGTAGTAGCCTTGCCCTCCCCCGCCAAACTACAAACAATACCAACCTAACTTCGTAGAGATTGTTGCGCACTGTCCATACACATCTGCCTACCGTACTATTCCACCAGAGTACTGTTTACTCCCTTACCAAAGTCCCGCACTGGTCGATCCTGACCTGCTCCTGTCAGAGCTCTGACACGATCTCAAAATGTCACACGAACAGGTCGACGTACCCGTTACGAACAAGGCGTTTGTGCCACTCGGTACGTACCACATAGACATACGCTGGCAGCACATGGAAGGATCCAAAAGCCGTGAAAAACAGATTCGCACCATGTACATCTACTACGAGACAAGCTCAGCCATCCACTGACCAATGTTGGCTCTGTTGCGCAGAAAACAACCCGGAAGTCATGACCAGCCTGGTGCGCGAGCTGGGGCTGTCGCCAACCCTCCAATTCCACGATGTCTACTCTCTCACCGAGCCGAGCCTACTTGCGTTCCTGCCCCGACCGGCACTGGCACTGCTTCTCGTCTTCCCGGTCACCGAGACGTACGAGACATTCCGACGAGCCGAGGACGCCTCGCGCCAGGAGTACGAAGCCAGCGGGAGCGAGGACGAGGTGGTATGGTTCAAACAGACGATCCGCAACGCATGCGGCCTGATCGGACTCCTGCACAGCATCACGAATGGCGGGGCTCGTGACTACATCATTCCCGGTAGCGATCTGGACAAGCTGCTCAAGCAGGCCATCCCGATCAAGAACCCCGACGAGCGCGCCGACCTGCTGTACAACAGCCAGGCGTTGGAGGCGGCCCACGCGACGGCCGCGGCCAAGGGTGACACGAGCGCGCCAGATGCCGAAGCTAATGTCGATCTACATTTTGTTGCCTTTGTCAAGGACAAGAACGGAGATGTGTGGGAACTGGATGGGCGGAGAAAGGGTCCTATCAACAGAGGCCATCTGGACCCGGATGAGGATGTGTTGGGTGACAAAGGTCAGGAGTTGGGAGTCCAGGCCTTCCTGAAGAGAGAGGAAGAGGCTGGCGGGGGAGAGTTGCGCTTCAGTGTGGTCGCCCTGGGTCCCAGTCTGGAATGAATGTTGCCTTTGGTTCAGAGTAATATTTCCCCGGGGTGGATGGGATGGAGGACATTTGCCAGTATTGGGATGAATGGGATGGCATGGTCGGCATGGATGGAGGACATTTGCCAGGGTTGGGATGAATGCATGGCATGGCTGATGCGAGACGATGAGCCATTCATTACTAACTAATGTAGATTGACTTTGCTTGTTCTTTTGCATTGCATTGCATTACAGGCGTTGGTTCCGAGTTGAGCGTCAGCCCCCGCCCACGCACCATCATGATCATGGGCCCATGATGGACATGAGCATAGGGGCCTGAGTTCCTAGATTTGATTTCCTGGCCGAACAACAGAAACGGGAACAAACCCCACGTTTCAAGACGACGGGAGACGACGAGAGATGACGAGACGATGACGAGACGAGACGAGCTACAGGTTGTGAATGAGCATGAGCATAAGCATGAACGAGACATGATCTGTTATTAGGTAGTAGGTATACTGGCACGGCGCAGGCAAGGCTGAGCATTCTGGATTCAGTCAAGTCGTAGCGTAGCGTAGCGTTGCGTTGATAGCTATTGATTCATTAATAGCTTATGTATAGTACAATTCCTTTTTGATTTTGATTACGTTAACCTTGACCTTCATCTCGATGTTGATGTTGATGTTGACCACCAGTGACATTGATGTTGATGTTGACCTTGATCCTGATGCTAGTGCTGATGTTGATGTGACCTTGATCTTGATGTTGATGTTGATGTGGACAGTGGCCTTGATCTTGATGCTAATGCTGATATTTGATGTTGATGTTGACCTTGATCTGATGCTAATGCTGATGTTGACAGTGACCTTGATCTTGATGCTAATGCTGATGTTGACAGTGACCTTGATCTTGATGCTAATGCTGATGTTGGGTATCACCATCCAAATCCCAACCCCAACCCATGCTTCTACTGCTCATCCATGATTCTCCCCCGCACAGAGTCAGCCTCTGCATGGACTCTCTGGTGAGCCTCTGCATCGGCTCTCTGGTGGCGCCGGGCGTGACGAGTGTTGCGCGCATGCCACAGACCCTCCAGATCCATCTCGATCCTCTTCTCCTCGGTGAACATCTGCACCACGATGCGGGGCGAGTTGGGTCTGCTGCCGAACCCGACATACTCGGAGTCTGACGGGTTCTGATATTCTTCCTCCTGGTCATCCTCTTCTTTTTCGTCGGCTTCTTCCTCGTCGCCCTCAGCCTCAGCCTCAGCCTCAGCCTCACGTTGCACCTCGACCGAGGAGAGATCTTGATCAACTACCGCCACCGCTGCATCTTCACCTTGGCCAATTTGGTCTGGAAGAACGGCCTGGTCGACCGCGCCGACATTGACACAAATCCACCCTGTGGTGATGCCGTCATCGGCGTCCTTGGCTACCATGGTGTTTCCCACGCTCTGGGCGAGTTTCAGCTTTCGAGCCTTCCGGCGCAGTTTGAGCTTCAGCTCGTTGCGGCCCAGCAGCCCATCCGCGTACGGGCGCAACTTATACTCCTTGCGCACCCAGCGGCAGAAGCGGTCGGCCGAGACGTTGAGATGCTTGACGCTGCGCGCCGTGCCGATCACCATGATCAGATTGGCGCCCAGCGCCGGAGGAGGGTCGAGGTGGCGCAGGTCCAGCAGTACGAGATTGTCCAGGCCGATTTGTACCGACAGATGTTCAAGGATCGGCTGAAGAATCGCCGGCGGGTCCAATGGTAGAGGCGGGATCTCTTGGAGAGTAAGGAGCGGCGACACTGGGGCGGGTGGTGCCGGTTCTTCGACCTGGAGGTACCATGGTATGGGGGCTGAGGCGTCGGCGGAAGGTGGTTCAGACGATGCTGAAGGAGAAGGATCTGAGGCGTCGGCGGAAGCTGGTTCAGACAATGAAGGAGAAGGATCTTGCGCCGACGCCGACGCCGACGATTCTGTAGAGAACTCAATGGAAGACTGCGCCTGCGTCTGTGCAGACTCCTGAGGCCGCGCCGCGAGACTGCTGAACGGCCTTGTAGACAAAGAGCCCGAGCCCGAGCCCTGGCCCTGGACGAGGTGCGGCTTGCAAGGTGCAGGTGACGAGGACAATGGCAGTCGTTGCCTTGCTGTCACTCCTCGCGCCGCCGGGATCGAAACGCCGGCAACTAGCGACGTGAAGGCCTCGAGCACCGACACCCGACACGCCGTACACCTTGCCAGTGGTGATGGGTGCATTTTTGTTCTGTCTTTCTTGTTCCTGGCTTTTCCCTTTGCGTTTTGCGTTTTGTCTTTTGCCTTTTGCCTTTCGCCGTGTGCGTTTCTCCTTTTCGCTACCTTTTCCCTTTTCGCTATCTTTTTCCTTGCTGTCGTGTTCCCTTTTCCCTTTTCGCTATTTTTCCTTTCTGTCGTGTTCCTCGATCTCCAATCTAGGCCGGATAGTCAAGGCAGGTAGGTAACTAGGTCGAAAGTGTGTGCCAGAACCAGAAGACGGCGCAGACACGGTTCAGGATTCAGGATTCGTAGGGTACCACTGTAGTCGGGCCCAAGAAACGAGCGGCAGGCTGAGAATGAGAAGGAGAAGGAGAAGATGCGGTGATCAATGGTCTACTAGTAGTACTTGGACTTTGGACTTTGGACTTTTGGATGTTGGACTTTTGTCACGGCGTGCCGGAGAAATATGTCTCCGACCTCCGATCTCCGAATGCTTTTTCTCACCTCACGATTCGATTCCGCCGGCACCTCTAGGCTTCACCTCCCTCACCAAGGTACCTTCACTACATGTAATTAGTACCTATTGTTCACCTCCTTCTCCTTATGTCAATGGTTTGAAGGTTGAAATATTCTATATTCTCTATGAAAGGATAGTAGGGAGATCGTAGGCTATACTATATAGAATAGTATGCCTAAACCAGCCTCTCTGGTCAAAGGGCAAGGCTGGGAATGCCTAACTTTGACTCCTTCACCTCCTTCACCTCCTTCACCTCCTTCACCTCCTTCACCTCCTTCACCTCCTTCACCTCCTTCACCTCCTTCACCTCCTTCACCTCCTTCACCAAGGTACCTTTACTACATTCACCAAGATACCGTACCTTCACTACATGTAATTAATTCCCTATTGTTCACACCAAGAAAGGCACCAGGTAGTATTGATATTGATGTTGATGCTGATTGACTTCGATCACAGCACGAGCAGATCACTACTTACTATTCGCTGAAAGTACGACCTGGTTCCCATATGGCCATGGCACTGTGCTCGATCGAGCCTTGACCGCCCCCCCCAAGATGCTTTACTTCAGTCCACTTTCCGAGGAGATCTAGCACATCTATTCCGTACAGCCAGGTCTGCAAGATGCACAAAAGCGCACGGGTTCAGATTCAGAAACTCACCCGCTTCATCTCAGTTTGGCCTTCCTCCCAGCATTGCATTGCATTGCAGTGTAGCTCATCGCATGCAATGTAGCTCATCGCATTCCCGGCTTAATAATGCCAAAAGCCCATAAGCCACTGACTGTATCACAATACCCAAGTCAGGCGAGACTCGCCCTCACCGCTCCGTAGTCATCAGAACATCGCCCCCCGTCCCGCTGCCCGTCGACGACATGGCAAACCCAGCTCCTCGAGGACCGTCGCGGCTGTTGCTATTGCTACTGTCATTGCCAGAGCCACTGCCCTGTGACGGCGCCGGGTGTTGCTGCTGCTGCTGCTGCTCCGGCGCTACCGGATCATCGATCGTATCGCCGTCACTGTCCTTGCTGCCCTCGGCGTCCTCATCATCCTCCGTGGTGTCGTCGGTCGCGTTCTCTCGGATTTGCTGCTTTATCCAATCAAACACCTCGTGCTCGTGGATCTTCATCATCTGATTGAGCACCTCGCCATTCGATCGCACCAGTTTCCCGTATCGTTTCGACGGGTGGCCATCCTTCTTCCACAGGCTGTGCACCTGCGACACAAACACCAGACTGTTGTCCCGGTACCACTGGCTCACCCAGTGTGAGCCTGGATTGGCAATGGGACGGATCGGGTTGGTGGCGATGAAGCCGATGATGCCGAGGAGATTCGGGTAGACGTTTTCTACCATGTACAGTCTCGCATTAGCAAAGGAGGACCGATCTTGAACTGACCACATGGCAAACAAAAGACACACTCACCATTCTCGCTGACCAACTTCGCCACCGCATGAAACGCATGTCCCGCGCCCATGAGGAAGGTGCCGCCTCGGAAATCGTACGGCTCGACGTAATTCTCCCACAGATACGCGGCCAGCTTCTCGCCCTCTTTCCGCGCAATATCGGTCGCGGTCGATGCGTACTCGACCTCGGCATCATTGTACTCCGGGTTGTTCGGATCGGAGATGGTGATGAGCTCGGGGATGTTGACGTCGATGACCCCGAACCCATGCGACACTGCCCAGCGAATGTACGACTGTGCGCCGTCAACCTTGTGTTATGTGAGCATAGTCGGATGACGGCCAGAGAGGAATGACTGGGCCAATGGGGAGAGAGCGTGGACCTACCAACCAGGTATCGTGCGGCTTCTGCTGCGTTGTCATGCCGTCGCCAACTCCCAGCAGATCGGGCCTGGTTACGATCAGCTCGAGTCCCACATCAACTGGCACCAGCAGGGAATCAAAGATCAACGTACGAATCGTGGAATATGATCAAGAGATACTTCTTGCTCTCGTAATTCGGTCTGGACACGTCAGCTTCCGGGGCCGGTACCGCTGGTGTATGGACTGTCATGTCTCACGTGGCAAGGACCTGCTGGTCAAACGATTTCGAGACGTTGTCCCGGTAGATGTGCAGCTGGGTCAGCTTGTACTTATCGTATAGATGCGTTGCTTGCCACTGGCGGATGATATCTGGGGTCAAAACCATTAGAGCCATGCTCGATCCCGATCGATACCAGGGGGGAGGTTAGGCAGATGGGAAGAAGTGCACACACCATGTAGTCTCTCACCACCAAAGATTCCTCCCACAGGATCTGCACAACAGTCGTCAGAGGCCGCCCTTGAGTCCTACTGATCAGAAGCTCACCTTTGGGATAGATACTTTTCCAATACCTCGACTGGACATTCCGAACCTTATTGACCGTATCTACCGCGGAGGTCGTCGCAGCTGTGGCATGGAGTCGGTCCGGCGGCTCGCCCATGAGGGTGCGCGTGACGGCGAGGGCGGATCTTGAAATCGCACGGAAGTTGTAGCCTCCCTACTGCTGCGTCAGAGAAGGTGTGTTGCGGGACAGAGCAAGACACAAGACATGTCAGACCTCGAGACAGACTGCAATCTTCCCACCGGCAAGAGACTTGAGCATATGCGTCATATGTGCATAGCAAGGCGGGCTGACGAAACATCCCCCCAGCTCGTCTCCCGCTGCGGCGTCGAAACCTGAAGCGACTGGAGGAGATGAATGAGTACGGGGTCGGATCACATGAGAGTCAGATCATACCAATGACAAAGTCGGGGTCAAATTCCGTCGCGATGGGCATCACCACATGTTGAAATGCGTACATGTAGTCGCCGTCGCCCATCCCTTTGGTGGGCCAGGGAATGTTGACGTTTCTTTGAAATGATTCAGCTGGCTGGATACTTTGGTTGGGCACAAGGAAGTGACACTTACTTGCCCAAACCTGCCCCAGCACCACAATGGTGCATGTCTCCCTCAGTCCCTGACGGATAAAACAAGCCGTTCATGTGGACGTGAAGGGAAATGTACAGCACGTTCGGATTGTCGTAAAAGGCCTTTTGACAGCCATTGCCTACACATTGACTGTCAGTGAAGCCGAGGAGAATGGACAGAGCCAAGCCAGACCATGGTGGACGTCCCTAAAGAGGTGGTCAGAGAGCACCATTCACCGACGAGATACGAGACAGCAGCTCACCAGTCGACGATCAGGATTTTCCTACAACCCTCACCGAAGTCGTTCTGACACACCTTGGAAGCAATGGAGACGTTGTTGAACAGGCAAAAGCCCATTGTGCGATCGACTTCGGCATGATGCCCAGGGGGCCGGATGACGGCAATGGCGTTCTTCACCTGCCTCGACACCACCGCGCGACAAGTCTCGATGGCTGCCCCGGCTGAGAGCTTGGACGAAAAGAATGAGAGCGTGTTGAAATAGATCGAGTCCATCGCCGGATCCTCAGACAGATCGATGAGCTGGGCGTCCGACATTTCTGACACGTCCCGTTAGCGCTTCATTTCCATTTCCGCCGCCCAGCGAGCTGCTCACGCGGCCAGACTCACCAGCGGTACTCTGGACGAAATCATAATGCTCCGGAGTGTGGACGAGAAGACATTCTTCACGCGTGGCCTCGCGCGCATCAATGCGTTTGAGCGGGACCTCCACCATTGGCGGATACGTCTCATCATCCACGAGCCCAGCTTCACAGAGTTCCTTGTAGATATAGTAGATCCGTCTGGGATCCTCCGGGTGGACATTGTCTCCGGTGGTTGCAGCGATCTCCGCATGGTAGCGCATACGATCATCATAACATAACCCAGTCGGTAGTTGTGCGATCGGGAGACCGGGTGGCGCTTTGGGAACAGTGTCGTCGGCGTCGGACGACGTGTCGGACAACAGACTATCCTCGGAGTCCTCTTCATCGGTAGTCTCGATCTTGAGTCGATGGTCGATCTCCGCCGACATGTCAGGCGTCACGGTCTCCCTCATTGACGTGTCGCCAGAGAGCCGGGGTTCTCGAACTTCGGGAATGGGCGGATGGATCCGCGCCATGCCGCCTGTTCCTCGTTGCCAACGAGGACTCACTGCTTGGTTGCTTTGCTTCTGGGAGAAGTCACCCCTCTAGATTGGCTGCATAATGACAGCAAAGCCCAGGCCGGCAAATAGACTGATAACTCTTCTTATATGGCCAGCGATATCTGTCCGGGCTGACCGAGCGTCACCACGTCAGTCTGAGATCAATGTGAAGTAGGCATAGGAATGCTCTAGGCATAGGAATGCTGATGAGGCCTTGAGACGTGCTCAAGGGAAGCGCGCGGGTATCACCACCAACAACAGGGAGAAGTTCATCGATAACATACCTCCCGGTCAGACTTTCAAGTTGGCGGGTACTATCGCGTTTCGTCTGCGCTGAAGCTATGGCCACGTGAATAGATAACCACCGTAGATGATCCTTAGACACCGAGTCTTCGAGAGGCTGATTATGGGCGGATCTCGATTGAAGAGCTTGCTTGACCCTTTGCAAGCATAGAATGCATGCTTTCTTCCCGCGACGTGGATCCGCGCACTCTGCCATTGCCAGTGAGAGCCAGGGGACTGCCAAGATCTCTGCCACGTGACTGCGCGGGAAGGCTGAAGTCACGTGATATATTGGCGGCAAGCCGTTGAATGGTCCGCCGAACCATCTTGGTACAGCCACTCTGGGCGCTGACCACGTGACCCGTAGCTGGCTCTCGGCTGCCCCTCGCTCAGATCTGGCTCGGCCACAATTTATCTCTATCTCGACTCTGGGGATCTGGGGTCAGCAACGAGGCTGGGCGGTTCTGAAACTACTACTAAGGCTCGCATTTCTCTTTCGAACTACCACATGCAATATGTTATCCTAAGGATACGGCTACCCCTTAGGGCCGAATTCATGTTCGAAGGTTCGTTCTATGTTTCCACCTTGATTTTCGTCTGTTGCTCGTAGAGAATCCTGTCACACCCTCAATCCGAGCCCACGGACAAATTTTCGGTCCATATGGGAAGCCTCGGGGGACCGGACTCGGAGCTGTCACGATTTCGTCTAAGCATTGCCATCGACCTTGGCAATGTAGGCTGGAAGGTAGGTCAGTCACGATTCCGGAATCTCCCGATCGGATAAGGCACTCACCCAAGAGATCGAGAACACGTCGGGAGTAACCCCACTCGTTGTCGTACCACGACACAAGCTTGACAAAGTGGTCGTTGAGGGCGATACCAGCCTTCACGTCGAAGATGGACGAGTGCGGGTCGCCGTTCAGGTCGGTGGAGACGAGGTCATCTTCGGAGTATGCAAGAATGCCTACAAAGCATTAGTGAGTGATTCAGTTGGGAGCGACTGGAGAGGAGATTTCCACGTACCCTTAAGTTCACCCTCGGATGCCTCCTTGATCGCCTTCTTGATCTCGTCGTAGCTGGTGGGCTTCTCCAGCACGACGGTCAAGTCCACGACCGAGACGTTGGAGGTGGGAACACGCAGGGACATGCCAGTGAGTTTGCCGTTGAGCTCTGGAATGACCTTGCCGACAGCCTTGGCCGCACCAGTGCTGCTGGGGATGATGTTCTGGGCCGCAGTTCGGCCACCTCTCCAATCCTTGGCAGATGGTCCATCGACAGTCTTCTGGGTAGCAGTGTACGAGTGAACGGTGGTCATGAGGCCTTCCTTGATGCCGAACTTGTCGTTGATGACCTTGGCCAGCGGTGCCAGGCAGTTGGTAGTGCAGGAGGCGTTGGAGATGACGGGGGTATCCGACTTGTAGGTTTTGTGGTTGACACCCACGACGTACATGGGAGCATCTGCTGATGGGGCCGAGATGACGACCTTCTTCGCACCACCCTTCAAGTGGGCAGAAGCCTTCTCAGTGGTGGTGAAAACACCAGTAGACTCGACGATGTAGTAAGCCCCGGTCTCGGACCATGGGATCTCAGATGGGTCTCTCTTCGAGTAGAACTTGACTTCCTTGCCATTGACGACCAGAGCATCGCCCTTCACCTCGATTGTGCCCTTGAACTGACCGTGTGTCGAGTCATACTTGAGCATGTATGCCTACGCATGTTAACTTATTTCGGAGCCGCTGGAAGGGCATCGGGGGTACGTACGGCGTAGTGCGGCTCAATGAAAGGGTCATTGACGGCCACGACGTGGACATCGTCATGCTCAATGCTGTGGTGCCGTTAGGGAGACAGGTTCGGGGCGCGAGGGTAAGATCAGGCTGTACTCACGAGTTTCGGAACACCTAGGATGCGAGTTAGCCATGAAGACGACGACGACGACATGGGAGCTTGCTGCAACTTACGATTCTGCCAATACGGCCAAAGCCGTTGATTCCGACAAGGACAGGCATGATGAATTTGAGTAGATGAAGATTGCTGCAAGGAAAGGTTCAGGTCAGTCTGGGAACTTGGAGGGCAAGCGGACGTCAATGTATGTATTTTGTAGGGTAGGATGCGGGCGGAACAGACGTCACGTTAGACTCACGTAACTGAAGTTCTGATTGAGGTTTGGGGTCGATTGAGGAGCTGTGGAAGGCAATAAAGTGGTGTGATGGGAATGAGGCGGAAAGCTTTTTGTAGTAGTAGTAATACTGCTGCAGAGGAGCAACTGAATGGTGGGGCGAGGTGTTGACGTTGAGGGGCACTCCGTTCCCTCCAGACTGCGGTCTTGGCAGATGAGGACAGTCGACTCTCGAGCTGTGTAGTACTAGGTTGTAGCTAATCCACACCAGTTATCGTGAACGATAATTAAATGATGGTATTCCGGCCGACGACGAACCAGAACCAGATCCGGATGGCAATTGCCTCGGAATACAACGGGGGCTATTTACAGAGTACCAGGTAGTCGTGCTCTGTACGGAGGTGTTTAGGCTGGGTTTGGTCTTGGTCTTGAATCAAAAGGATGCTCTTGCTCTGGTTGCCTCAACTACTCCTGGTCTGATCTGATCTACCTTATATACGCCTCCATTAACCATTATTAGCCACTGCAGTGGATGCTTTGATGCGATAATGAACTCATGTGTGACTCAATCTCGCCTTGCTTATCATACCAAGGCCTTGAGGTGACAAAGAAGCAACCAGTCTGACCTCTTGTGCATCCAATCGCCTGGTCACGCTGGTCTGGCAGTCCGGCACACGGAGCGGATTATCCATTAATCCGCCCATCTGGCCGTCGCACCCGCGCTTTTTTTCTGGCCACATTCCATCACGCCCAGTGTTGAGGAGCCATACAAGACCGATCTGTGTACTGCATCATGCATGATTTGGTCATCAACCGAGCCAGCCACTCCTCCAGCCCAAAATCACGCATGTGTCACGGGCGATAAGAGGAAGAAGCAATTGCCATCTATCGCAAAAGGCGAGATCTATCCCACGAGCCATGTGCACACCCGTGGTATTTATACTGATAATGTTTCTGTTCAATGACCTATTCTTCTTTTGCTCCCCCACGGCCGGCTCGCTCAGCGGCCTCAATGCTGGCCTTGTCGCTCTTAGTCTCGCCTTGGCCCATGCCCATCATGCCACCAGACGCCTTCCATGGTCGTTTCAGTTCACCCACTGCAGGCTTGCCAAAGAGATGGACCTTGACCAAATTGCTCTCCAGGGCGCCCTTGACCGGGATGATGGACTGGATGAGGAGTGGGTTGGTGTACTTCATGTACACATGCATGAATGCCATCATGGCGATGCCCATAAGTTGAGCCTTGTAGGCGGCCGACAGCTGGCTCTGATCATACTCTTGAATGGTGGTGGTCACAAGCTTCGGTTCTTCGCCCGAGCCCATGGGGGCAGGTTCGACGTATTTTAGGGTGGTCATGTCTGTGGAGCACGTGTGATCAGTATGAGGCACTTTTGGTCTCGTTCAAGTTATGCCTGGACGTACCTCTCTTGGCTTTGATCTTCAATCCGAGGTAGTAGTAGAGACCAAAGATGATCAGGTTAGACGCCACGTAGAGAATTCGGACTCCCGTCAGGACTTGCGGGTCGTCGAAGGGAATGCGCTTCGACACCTGCATCATGCCGAGGATGATCACCAAGTTGGTGCTGCATGCGATCAGTCACGAGCGCCCTTATTGAAGGAGATGGAGAGGCGACAACAACTTACATTTGTGGGTTGAGGGGGTTCATGATGGAAGCTCGGTCTGAAGCTGTCAGTGGCTAGGTAGATTAACGATGTCTGATCTCAGTGATAGAGGATAGAGACCGTCGCCAGCAGGATTGAATATGGAACGATGCGGTGGTTGTAGGACAGAGGCTGGCGAACTGGACAGATCGCAGGCGACAAATTTCCCATTTACGCCAAGCGGGGCCTCAGACGGCTTTCGATGGCGTTGGAAGAAGGGAGATACGGATGCGGATGCTACGGTACTACTGCTAGTATGTCTCTGCGCGCCACCGTAGCTGGAATCTGAGGAGAGGTCACGTGAGTAGACATCTGAGCCAGTACACCTTTGGGTGAAGCAGGAATGTGTTGCTCCTCATCTCTCTCAATCAAGCTGAGTTCCCGCCCCCCAGGACCGTCTCTTTGTACTAGCCTGCCCTCAGGCGCCGGCACTATGACGCGAAGCGCTCACAGCTTTAAATCCCGTTCGCTAAACCAGTCGTCAATAAGACCCACGGCTTTGCTGGCCGAGCCGAACGAGTTCTGGAAACTGTCTCATGTGTAAGCGAGCTCCATCTACGCAGCTGGGGACGGTGCTGGCTTACCCTCCGCCTGCATGTCCATACGCATGGCAGACCACTCTCTTGGATTGCCCATCTTCACTCTTCATCTCCTCAATCTCGACTCTCGGGCCTCCTTTCCGGCCGGGTCTGAATGCAACATTTACGCTCACGACGTCAAACTCGCCGTCTTTGTTGAGCAGTTCGGGAGCAAGCGGTTTACATCTTCGGAGAATCGTCTTCGTCACTTCCGGGTCGGGTTCACGATCCCAGTTTCCAATCTCATAGGTGCTTCCCAGCACGCTGACCCCGGAACCTGCGCGAGGGGTGATAGATGCATTTGCATCGGGGTAAAACATGGTGGTGATGTGCTTTGCTTCAATCTTTACCGTCACTGTCTGACCCCGGATGGGGAAGACACTGCTATCAGGCACAAGGTGGCAAGCTCCGAGACCAGTGGCGTTGACCACCAGACTCACGGGTTTGGTGATCTGGTGGCTGTGCAAGATCGATTCGGCCGCATCAAGGGCATGCAGAAGCCCGCCTGTCGTGGGAAGCTCCCCTCTGATGATGCTTCCGCCTAAAGAGCGAATTCTTCCAACGAGCGATTTCAGGTAGGGAGTAGTGTTGATGGCGATACCATCGTGAATTGCGCCCGAGACGAAGGGGGAAGGGAGGTCAGATTTGGGCAGAACCTTGAAGTTTCGCACGTGTGGAGCATACCAAAGGCTTGCCGGACCATTGGGGATGAAATCGTGGGGCCCCGTCCTAGAGATCACGTATTAGACCTTGCTTGACGTTGCGACGCCGAAAAAGTGGCAGTGCAGAGATACAAGACAGGATCGATACTTTCGGCACATGTCTGCAATATTGGGACGTAGATGTGATGATACTCACCAAAGAAGTCTCATTGGAAATTCCTGGTGTACAGGTCGTCAGCAAAGAGCTCACATGCTGGAGATGTGGACTGGATGGGATATGTACTCACTGTGACCGCATGTCCCACAGATGCCTTGTTGACTCTATCGCAACATGTCCAGAGCCACCTTCGGTAACTTTCTCTGTCCCATTGCTGAATCTCTAGCTCATTCGGAAGTGCATTTGACCGCCACATAGCTGCAGCCCTTCCAGATGATTAGCTAGTCCATGATGAAGAACACAGGCAAGCTACTGAAACTCGAACGGTGAGTTTTCGAGCTTCTCGGGCCCCGAAATGCGCTCGACACTCACCATGGCGAAGTATACTCGACTGAGTCGTCGCCCGGTAGATGCTCAGCAAGTATCGTGACCCTGTAGCCGACCTCCAGGAGGGAGATGGCCGTTTGGAGCCCAATGACTCCGGCCCTGTACCATGAGTCAGTGTGAACAACTCAACGACGAATTCATCTTACCCTAGGACCAAGATATGCTTCTGCCGAGCCATATTGAGTTGATGTGGAAGAGAAATGGCGTTGATGAGAAACAGGCATGTTGACGGAGTCTTCCGGCATTCGGCTAGGGCGTAGATGATGTGCCAGGGGCTCGAAGAGACCTTGTTCTGATGCAGGAAGCATCTCTAGAGTGGATTTCAACCACATCGAGGTTGCGGAAAGAGAACAGGCCCCGTCGGGTTGAAGGCGGATGCTCCCTCCGTATCCCAGTACCAGCGACGCATATCAGCGTGGAGTCGGTCCACTTTACTCCATCCTCAAATTGCGTGGTAACGGGATCCCAAGCCGAGCTCAACAACCGGGGCGCGAAGGAATCCCACGCCTACCGTGATCCACCATCTTCAAGGCCAAGACAAGAATCTGAGCCAGGAAGTACAGAGATAACCTGTTTTCTAGGCTTCCTTGTCGTTGTGAGTTGGGTTTTCCATGGGAATGTACAATGTATCCATCCAGGGAGGTAGTGGGCGATGTGACGATGGCCCAGTCCATCAAGTGTGTGGACATGCACACCACGGGGGAGCCTACGAGAATCGTCTACTCTGGCTTTCCAAACCTGACCGGAACACTCCTCGAAAAACGTCGAGAGGCATCTGAGAAACATGATCATATCCGGAGACGGCTACTATGGGAGCCCCGGGGACATTGGGACATGTACGGCGCCGTCCTGATTCCAGAGACCGAGCACGTTGCCAGCGGGAACGCCGACATGGGCGTGTTATTCATGCACAACGACGGCTTCTCCATGATGTGTGGTCACGCAACTATTGCCCTCGGTCGCTTTTTGGTCGACGCCGAAGAACCCGTATTCCCCGGGAGGAAGCGTCTGAGGCTGAACAGGGACAATTCGATGGTGCAATTGAATCTGCATGTGCCGAGCGGCATCCTCGAGATCACTGTTCCGATACTACCCAGTGGGAAATCCGACGTGTCTCGGTCTGTGTCGTTCCTTTCGGTGCCTTCATTTGCAACGGGAATGTCAGTCCCGATCCCGCTTCCAGAGGCTTATCGATGGCCAGAACTGGGAAACCGTACCTCGGTCACGGTTGACTTCAGCTATGGTGGTGCATTCTATTGTCTGATCGATGTCGAGGAGTTGGGATTTCCGGACAGACTCGTCAAGCCCGACTTGGGAAGAACGAGCCATGCTACCAAGCTGCTCAAGGCGGCAATCAATGCAAATCCCAGCCTCACAGAGTTTGCGAAACACCCAGATGTCGACCAAGCAGGTTATTTGTATTCCGTCATGATAGTCGATGCAGAACAAAAGCATCCTACACGCATCGCCGACGGCAGTTTTGTCGGCGAGGAGACTGGTCTTTGTTTCTTTGCAAATCAGCAGATCGATCGATCCCCAACAGGCGGCTGTGTTGCGGCTCGAATTGCTCTCGCTTATGCGAAGGGAGATTTGGCACTGGGCCAAAGATGGCTGTACCACTCTATACTGTCCAAATCACACGCTGGTATTGGCGGGTTTGCAGGATCGGTCGCCGAAGTCCTCCCACGCGCGGCAAAAACGGTCTCGCCATTGGGGAACAGCCCGCAGGTCAGGGTTCGTGTCGAGGGCCAAGCCTTCTACACGGGAATGTACACAGTCGTGGTGGAGGAGGCGGATGTTTTAGGGAAAAGCGGCTTCGTGTTGAATCCGATGGAAGGATCCAGGAATGGAGGCTGATCACCGGGTGCTGGACAAGTTTGAGATGAACGGCCTTCCGTCTCAGAAGAAGCGGTGTTCTTGCTCACTTTGCAGCTCGAACCACCAAGTCCAGGGACTCGTCATTGCCCAGTCATGGTCAACACCAAGGTCGCCACCGGTAGATGCGGACCCTTGGACCTGAGGCTCCAACTGGTCGGCAATGTTCAACATTTGCGCCGGACTTAGGCCACTCTCTCCAGGAGCGGCGATCCAGCCACCGAAGATGCCGGTGTCTGGGCTGAAAGAGTTCGTAATTTGCTCCACATGGTCGAGGGCCCCAAGTGGCCGGGGGCCTTCACTACCCAACAAAGGTCGGATCATCTGTTCGAGACAAAGTAATTCCTTCTTCCTGAGCTGGGCAGGGACACTGCCTTTGCGAATCATATAGTCTATGATCCGATAGCTTATGGTCCTATATGCGGCAGCATCTGAGATCATGGAAGGGACAACGGCGGCCGCCATAGTAATGATGAATGCAGCAGAAAAGACGCTTTCAAGGTCAAAGGGGAGGAACGAATCTCGGCAATGTCAGTGCATCCTGGGCATGAAACGTGGACAAGTAAACAACATACCCAGGAGATGATGTTCATATAGGGTGACTAGGATTTTGAGTGTGGTTCGGGTAGACTGGAGACAAGTCTTTAAGAGGTACTTTGTCTGCGGCCGAAGTGTCTTCTCCAAATCCTGCGGATTGAACGTGCCCTTCAACCGAGCAATCAACAGGTGGAGTAAGAGCGGTCGCGTAGCGAGAAGGATGCACTGGGAGAAAATCGAGGTTTAGTGTTGCTCCTCACCTTGTCTTTTTAAAGGCATAAAACAAAGCTCGACTTCATACCTGATGATATGACAAATTAATGTGACCGGCGACTGTCGAGACGGCGCCAACGGAGCCATAAGCCGCAGAGGTGAAGATAGCATCCATTTCGTGAGCCATGGCTGCCATGTCCCGGAGAGCGGCCTGAACCACTTTGACGAACGGGCGACTCAGGCGCTCGACGCTGTAAACAGCTGAAAGCACGGTCAAAACAGAACGGTCCCGGTCAGGGATAAACCTACAGTTCAGAATCTGGGCCATTAACCTGGAGATTTTAACATGGATATTGAGCACTGCCCCTCGCTGCGACCGATCGTCCACCGCTGGGAGGGGACAGGTGATGTCGGAATCCTGGATTGAACAAGGGGCACCGATCATGCATGAAAGACGGCGGTCGAGGATATAGACGGTCCACCATATGTCTCGATGGTGATTTGCCAGTCGATCACCCATGACTTGCCTTGGACTTTCGCGATGAAGACCTTCAAGCAAGCAAATCCGGACGGCCTGACCCACCTGTGCAGCAAGACACGTCTTGTCAGGCTCTGGCAATACAAGAGAGAAACAAACAAGAGTTGGGCGCACCTACATATCCATATGCCGCCTCTTTCATGTCGATTGACACGAGGTACAAGGCGACCAGGCAGAGGACCTGAACAGCCAGGTTGGGCTCCCGTAGAAGACGAACAAAATCCGGGAGGATGGACATGGCGCGTTGAAACCACGCCGAACCCGGCGCCGTCGTCGGGTCCTTGACCACGACGACCACGGCCTTTCCGAGGGCTACGATCAGTAAAAATTGGACAAACCACAGCCTGGAGGTCTGGATCTTGGCTGTGCCTTGTTCGTGAAATTCGTAGAGGTGACGAGTAAATTCCTCCTCGTCGAATGGACGAAACATCTGACAGGTGTGAAATTTCACCGCGTTCATGAGATACAGTGTGTAATCGATAGAGGGAAGATCAGTGGTGTCCGGAGCTGCGTCGGAGGTCGAACAAGTGTACTCTAATTGATAGGCAGTCCCGTCGACGTTCACTGGGATTGAGGAAGCCTGGTTCTGTGGCACTGATTCCTGAAGGTGGCTGAACACTCGCTGGCAGAAGGTCCAAGTTGAAGAAGGCCCGAGGAATCCTTGGAGGAGAAGGGGTCAGACAGTCTAGGGCTGGCATGGGAGCCCGACGACGACTTACGATATCTTCCCACCGAGTCTCGGACGTAAGTTGATGTCTGGGAGACCAGGGGATTGGTGATCGAGTCTGACGAATGTGGAGAGGGCCGTCTGGCGGGAACATGTTGCTGATCGCTGACCGTCTCCGACCCTTCATCTGGAAATCTTTAGGCTGACCCAGGCCTGGGACGTGCTGAATTCACCACTCACCTTGTACATCCCCGTGGTTGTTGTGGATTGGGGGATGGGGAGACTGTGAGCTGCTGTCTTGATTTGAAGGGTGCTCCGGCCGGGTGGTTTGTCCTCGTTCCAGCTGGCGTAGATATCTAAGGGAGAATCTGAGTCCGCGTTCTGGTCCAAAATGAACGTGGAGGCCACTGACCTCTCAGACACGAGCACCTTCTTATCAATCTCCTCGAAGACGCAGGAGACTTTGCGTCGACTGCACGTGATGCATGGCTGGGTGCCGGAACACCTGACCTTGCGCTTCTTGCAATAGCGGCATCTAGGAGACCGCGTTAATACTCGAGATTAGGAGACCGGTGGTGGACGACAGGCTTGAGCCAGTACTGACGCGTTTGATACTCTTTTGTGCGGCTGCTGGTCCTCTGCCGCTGCCGTGGCTTCTGTCGCCATCAGCCAGCCAGGTTGGGAGGAGCAACGACCCGCGGCGTATCAGGGAGAAGGTTGTGGTGTGGTTGAGACCGAGGACGGGCAGGGTATCCGTTAATGAAGGATTTCTCTGCCGTGTTCCGGCCATCCACCAGTGATAGCCACCGCGTCACCGTGCCATGGCGGAAGCTCCACCCGCAGAGTGGACTTTCCTCACTACCAACCTTATCATCTGGAAAGTCTAAAATGAGCGGATAGCTGGCCCGAAGGGAGTGGTGGAATGTATGCTGTCTGTTGCCACGGCCAGACTCAGACTGTCCCAAGCCCAAGCACAACATGGCCATCCTACCGCCTTGATCTTGTCCAGAGCCAGTCATGGAATACCAACTTGAAGTCGGAGGTGAAGAGCCAGGCGAAGACCGACGTCGGAATTAAGGTGCGTCACGTGATCCATCTGAGCGTGACCATGCCCCTTTCAGTATAGCGTGGCCTCGCGGTCAACGGCAGCCGCTTCCGCTTCCAGATTTTCCTGGCGCGGCAGGCCTCTCCGTCCAGGTGTACAAATCAACTGAGCGCAGCTGGGCTCGGCCTGCTTCCCTGTCTGGTTCGAAGACCTGAACCAGATAGGGAACCAGATACGCGGGGCTGTCCCAGTTTCTGGTGTTCGCCATCTCAGGATCGGTAGGCATATGCACGATGGCGTCGAGTCGAGGAGGACCATCAACCATCGTCTCTGCTCTCCGTCGTCTAGGCTGGCATGAATAGCTTGCAACTATCAGTACCGTGTACCATATCAGCCAGGTAGTGGAGATCTCATTGGCAAGGTGGGTGCGCGCAGGACGATTGCGCCATCTCGCCATTTCGCCATTCCTCTGGTATATATTTTCTTGATCTCCCGGCCCTGGAGAACCGGTCACTCCATTGACCAAGGCAGAGACGATTGTCCAACTCTACCACCCGATCTTCGGCTAATCCGGCTCCTGGTCCCCATCTCCCATCTCCCATCTCCCATCTCCCTCCCCCTTCCCATGCAGCCCGCGACCATATGGGCTCATCAATCACCTCCGCCGGCAAGGAGGCCAGGGAGTCGATGACTCCCAAAGATGACTTCTCAGCACACGAGGGCAAAGGCGAGGGCCCAGACGCAGGCGTGTCTTTGGCCTCGTCCAACCGAGCACTGGAGCGAAAGATCGTGATGAAGACAGACGCCGTCATCCTCACCTTTGTCACGTTGATCGCCTTCCTGATGTTCCTGGACAAGAACTGTCTGGCCTATGCCAACATCCTGGGCATGAAGGTCGACACCCACCTCCAGGGGCAAGAGTACAGCTGGCTCGGGAGTATCTTCTACTTCGGTTACCTGACCGGCATGCCCGTGTCAGCCTTTCTCATCACCAAAGTCCCCGTTGGCCGCCTCCTCGGAGTGGCGGCTTCTCTCTGGGGAGTGGTCATGATGTGCATGGCTGCATGTAACAATTTCGCCGGACTAGCGACGGTGCGATTCTTCCTCGGATTACTGGAGTCGCCGGCCTTCCCCTCGGCCATGATTCTCATCGGCAACTTCTGGAAACGAAGTGAACAGCCACTCCGGATTGCACTTTGGTACAATACATTTGCCGGCATCTTCGGAGGCTTGCTGGCCTTTGCCATCAACACTCTCCATGGCCACCTGGCCAACTGGCGCTATCTCTTCCTGATCTACGGCTCGGTCACCGTCCTGCTCGGCATCCTGGCCTTCTTCTTCCTTCCCGTGTCGCCGGCAACCGCGTGGTTTCTGACGCCGACGGAAAAGCAGGTGGCCATCGCCCGGCTGGCCGACACGCAGCAAAAGAACAACAACGACCGGCCCAGCGAGTTCAAACTATATCAATGCCTCGAGGCCCTGCGGTCCATCAAGTTCTGGGTCATGATCTTGCTCGTGCTGGCCCAGGGCATCACCGCCGCGGGCATCACCAACTTCAACCCTCTCATCATCAAAGGCTTCGGCTTCTCGACCCAGCGGACCAACCTGCTCGCGGCCCCGCAGGCGGCGGTCGGCATCGTCGCGCAGGTGGCTCTCTCGCTCCTCGCCTACTTCATCCCCAACTCTCGTTGTTTCTGGTGGATCGTGGGCACCATGCCCGCCCTGGCCGGGGCCATCGTCATCCACTCGGTCGACGTCAACACGCAGCGGCCCGTGGCTCTGGGCGGCGTCTACCTGATGGGCTTCTACAACGTGGCCTTTGTCATGGCCATGGCCATCATCACCGCCAACACCCGCGGCAGCACCAAGCGACCGTTTGTCAACGCCTCCATGGGCGTCGCCCTCTCGGTGGCCGAGATCGTCGGCCCGCAGTTCTTCCGCCAGAGCCAGGCCCCCTACTACCAGCTTGGCATCTGGGCCTTGGTGGTGTCGTATGCAGTCATGATCGCCACGGGCGGGCTTTACTGGCTGATTGCCGTCATGGAGAATAAGATCAGAGATCGGAATGGTGGCGGTGGCGGTGACGGTGACGGCGTTGTTGCGGGAGAAGATCATGATGCCAGTATGGCTATGGATGTGGACCTCACCGATGGCGAGAACAAGGCACATAGATTTTCATACTGAGGAGAGAATGATGGAAATGGAGATGGATCTGGATCTGGCTCTGGATTCCAGCCCGACACCGACTTTGGAGAGATACCGTCCCAAAATGTATAGTTCTTTCATACTGTACGGAGTACTACTACTGTACAGGCCTACGGGTCTACGACGTCGTGTATGGTGTATCCACTGTGTAGGTACGGTGTTGATATGTTTTCCTATTACAGTATAGAGTACAAGCGTCAGTGTAAAAAGATGGCCACAGCCGAGCGATGCCTCCGTCGTCCTTTTCTTTCTTTGTGCCACGTTTGGATGATAACATGACATACTGGAACATGGGCCGTCCAATCCCAAACCCGAACCCCGAACTCGAACCCACATCAGACCAGAGTCCAAACTGCCGTATCTGACGGGCCGGCCTGGGAACTGATGCCATGGTGGTCTGTTGACAGGCTCGACTCGGCTCGGCTCGGCGCAGCTCAGCAGCTAGCAGCCAGCATCGACTCCGACTCATACACATACTGTAGAAGCATGGGGTTTCGGCTCCGTGGAACACTCGGGTCCCAACCTTGGCCGCGCAAAACCAGTGTATGAGACTTTGGTGTGTATCCCATCCATCCACCCGTTCTTTTGATGCTGATTGCCGCCCACCTCCCCTCCCCCCTCCTGCCAAGTTGGAACATTAAAAAAGCAGAAAAGAAAACTGCTGCAAGAGATTCATCTCCAGTCGTCGCGCTTTCCACTCGAGTTGTCCTTGTCGACCAGTTCGATGACGTCCGAGTCCCCCGAGCGAGGCATGCCGCTGACATTGACACTCATGCCCATGGATCGTTTCACGTCGCCGGTGTGCATGGGTGTGGAGATGCGGTAGTTCGTCCCGTGAGACTCCGGGTCAGACGAACTGCCGAAGCAAGTCGGGAAGACTCGTCGAAGTAACGATCGGATCGCAGGTAGACAGCAGCAGATGATGCTGACAAAGGCCTCCAGCACACTCCAGTAGGCCGTGGGCACATTGTCATCTGTAGTCTCGCGTTAGAAATCGACGGCTCTCAACTCACACGCCCACAAAACAAGACACAAAACACAACACAACGGTGGACTCACAAGTGGCGTTCTGACTGTTGGCGAAACGAACGAGGGATGTGAGACGCACAACGCTGACAACGGTGATGCTGCAGCAGAAGTCAGTCAAGCAAGCTTCACATGTCCTGCAGAAATGCCACTCACAAAAGGCCAACGCTGAACATGAGGATAAGATGGACCTTCTTCCTGCGTCCGAGATGAAGGTGTAGAAGTTCGGGGATGGGGAGAAAGATGACCCATAAGTCCAGGATGATATTGATGATGGCGTGTCCCCATGCGAATGCATTCAAATTAAAGCAATGGCCTTGCGTCTCGCCGGTCCACCCAGTCCAGCCATAGGATAATGGCACGCAATGGAAGGCGATGGAAAGTGCAAAGGCCGGAATGTATGCCACACAAACCACCACGCTGCACATGGCTAGCTTTCGAAACGGCTGCGTAGGGAAGACTTTCAAGTAGAGCAAGAGGATGGCGACCTTGGTCAGTCCCAACACACACATGTAGAAGATTTCCGTCAGCCACGTGAACTTGACGCCGGTCAGCAACGGGGTGGCCTAATGGATCGTGGGTCTGTGTCTACCTTGATGATTCGAGTGATTTTGTCGAATGGGAGGGTCCAGATATCCTTTCCGAATCCATCGCTGGACACTGCCTACAGTCAGTATGTCCGTTCGGTCGGCCCTCGGAGGAACCATGAGGCTTACTGAAAAATTCCATCACTCCCATGGGTAGTGCAAAGGCCTAAGCAGGGTCAGCTACCAGTCGAAAGCATCAGCGGGAAGGAGACGGACCAATGCAAGAACGACCGCGACATCGGCCCACTGAAAACGGTCCCAGCCAGGCAGACGGTCTGCCAGTCGAGCTATAACGCACACGATGGCCAAAATCCCCGAAACCGCCGTGAGGATCGGAGTGACTGACGTGTTGTCGCGGACCGGTTCACCACAAAGCGTGGCGGTGGCATTTCTCGCCGCTTGAGATACCACGAATCAGTACCAGATGAAAGTCTCGTCCAGGAGAAGGGAATGGCTCACAGAGAGACTCTTTGACGGTGCAGCTGGACAAGGTGCAACCCTGTACTTTGCCCATCAACGAATCGTCGGCGCAGATGCAAGCGAAATCGGTCGGATCGCAGGAGGATTGAGGCACGAATGATTGAAGGCAGTCATTCTGTGCCCGGTCAGCAAGGCCGTTGCAGTTGGGCGAGAGAGAGAATCTGGATAAGCCGTACAGCACATGCTGGCATTGATTGTGCTTGGACCAAGGCTGAGCAGCCCACAGCGAGAGGGATCAACCAGCTGATCCTCATGACGACGGTGGTGTCTTCTCGGAATGTCAAGACTGGCGTGAAGATGTCCTGGCTGCTCGACTTGTTCCTGGGCTACACCCGATACCCCAAGCGGCGGATGTCTTGTGTCACATACACATAGGCTGCCTTGAAAGAGGATAGGTGCAGACTTTCGCGACTCCCAAATCGACGCTCTGGGAGTCTTGAAGGCGAGTTTCGGTGACGACCAGCAATGCTTGGAGAGAAACCAGCAAGTTTCTTGCACGGATGGTCGGACGGGCAGACGGGATAAGTAACACGGGTCTTGAGTGTTAGGAAAGAAGAACTGGTCGATGCTTGCGTAACATCCTAGGGAGGCCACACCAGGAAAAAGTCCCTGAGATGAACGGGCCCTGGCTAACGGGTTTGAAGCAGGGGTATCCATTACACTATGTGTATGCGAGGACCCAGAAACGCAAGGCTAAGAGATTTTCCAAGCACATGGATACGCCTCACCAACCAGCGGCGCCGCGTTTAGAGACTCCTGGAGAGGTAGGCCCTGTAGGGACCGGGGTAGAGTACGGAGTACCGAGTAGTGTAACGTTCTCGAAGTGGGCTTTCCCCAAGAGTGAGTCTCTCCATGGCTAAGCGGAAACGGACGGTGCCTCTTGGTCAGAGGGCGACATTGGGATGGTGGTCGAATAGTCGTCTACCCGAACAAGTCGCGTTTCCCCATTCCGACAAGCTCGACAGCAGGGAGGAGACATGATTGTCGGTGGTGAATCAACGGACTGAGGTTGGGATTGCGGTTTTCGCGAGCATGTGCGATACCGATTCCACTTCAATGGGTAAATGTAAGCAATGCGGGACGGACGGTCCTGCTTTCGAGGCTGGCTCGTCGGCCGCCGCAGAGCTAGGGCGCAAGGCTTGCACCAGGCAATCACTGTGAGACGGTCCTCTGGACTAGAGTCGACTACCCCTGAAAATAACGAGTGGCGACCAGTCCTGTAAGCCATTGGGCCTTCTAGCGGGGTTGCATTGCATTCTCAACAGCTTCCCCGGGACAGGGGATACACTTTAGATCGCCTAGGCCGGAGGAAGACGGGAGGATCCCGTCTGCGATAGTGGACCAGACCAGGCTCCTGACTAGCAGGGGTAATTGGCGTTTGAAGATGGGGTACAGCGGAAACGTGTCGATCCGGAGGCCAATCATCAAGCCACCAATGTCCTGAGACTTCCCATTTGCATTGTGCGCCGTCGGAAGCAGCACCAACATTAGCGGTTCTGTCCAGCAAGGTGCGTTATCGTACCAGACTGTCTCCCCTCGCAGGGCTTGGAGAGGAGGCAATCCCTATCCGACGTCCGTCCACAAGGTCCCTCCTGCTGGTGTCTATCGGCATTGGGCCCGGCAGCCCTGGTGCAGGTTAGTATATCAGCCATGATCTGCCAGCAGGCGAGCAGAAAAATGCTGGAAGCCAGCCATCTCTCACTCGACCCTATTTCGAGCATCTTGTCAGCCTCGATTCATTCCCACCATGGATCCAAAGCTGTTGTCTCTGCTGGCGCCGGTTAGCAGCTTTTTTTCCCTCTCATCTGCCCTTGTGCTCTCCGGGGGCCTGGTGGTATACTGGATTCTTTGGGTTGTTTACGCCAGGCATTTCCATCCCCTTCACAAGATCCCTGGACCATGGCTAGCGTCCGTCAGCCGACTGTGGTACATGTTGCAGATTGCTCGAGGCGATATGGAATACACGCAAAGGCGGCTGCATGCCCAATACGGACCACTTCTCCGGATTGCACCCAATGAGGTCGCGTGTGCGTCGCCCGATGCCATCAAGACCATCTATCGGATCCAAGGAGCTCTGGACAAGACCGACTTCTACAGTGTCTGGAACACCCAGAATTTCAGCAAACACCCCGACGTGTTCACATGCATCAGCGACAAGGTGCACGGCGAGAGGAGGCGCATCATGAATCATGTCTACACCCTGAGTAACGTGCTCAAGTCGGAGGAGTACATTGACAAGTGCACTGGGCTCTTCCTCCAACGGTTGGCCGAGTATCAGGATGGCTCCAGGCCATTTGACCTCGGCGAATGGTTGCAAATGTATGAACAATGGAACCACCGCCCCATGTTCCTGATATGCCGCTGACGTTCTAGGTACGCTTTCGATGTGATTGGCGAACTTTACTTCGGCCGTATGTTTGGTTTCATGGAAACGAGCAGCGACCATGAATCGTGGATCCATTCGCTAGACTTGCTGATGCCCTTCTTGTGCATGACAGCCGTGGCCCCAACCTATGTCCGCTCACTCATTCTCGCTTCAGCACTCGTGGTCCCGGGTTCTCTGGCAGCGCTGAAAGCGATCGAGAACATCGGGACATCGGCGAGAAGATGTGTAGCCCAACGGTTTGCCGAGGAATCTAAGGACGAGGGCCAACACCGGAGTGATATTCTCGACCAGCTGTACAGAATCCATCTCGAGAAGGGTGACAAGGTTGACTTCAACCTGGGCGAAATCGAGCAGGAGGCTTACGTCGCATTGTCAGTCCGACACCCAGTGCAAATATTGACATGCTGACTCTTCTCAGGTTCGCCGGGTCTGACACCACCGCCATTGCTCTGCGGTCTGTGTTTTACCATCTCTTCAAAAACCCCACCGTGTACAAGCAACTCGTGCAAGAGATCGATGAAGCCGCGGAACGAGGGCAGCTCAGTTCACCTGTCAAATATTCGGAAGCCATCCAACTGCCGTTCCTCTGTGCCTGCATCAAAGAAGCCCTGAGAGTGCATCCCGGGGTTGCGCTGACCATGGGTCGGACGGTTCCTGCCGAAGGTCTCCAGCTTTGTGGAACATACATACCAGGAGGTTACCGCGTGGGTATGAACGCCGCGGTGATTCATTATGACAAGTCCATCTTTGGACCTGATGCCGACCAGTATCGCCCAGGCCGATGGCTTGCGGACGACGCAGCCGCCCTGGACAAGTACATGCTACACTTCGGGGCCGGGACTCGCACATGCATTGGCAAGAACATCTCGCTGGCAGAACTGCACAAGCTCGTGCCGTCCGTGTTGAGAGAATTCCAGCTCGACTTGCGGGAGAAAGGCCAGGTCTGGCGGACCAGGAATCTGTGGTTTAACAAGCAGGAGGGTGTCCAAGTGCGGGTGACAGCTCGCCAATTCGCAAAGGCAAAGGGAGACCGCGCTGAGCCAGATGTCGAGATCTGACAACTCACCGGGCTCGGGCTCGGGCTCGACTTTTGAGTTGCAGCTGGTTCTCGAGAAGGAGAAGGTGAAGGAGAAGGAAACAAGAGGTCGGAAGAGGAAGCGTCACGTGAACGTCATCTCACCTCACACAGTGTACGCTAGTACGTATGTGGTATAGCTCGTAAATTCGTCAGCCTCGTCTTCCATCAGTCAGCCACAGCCTTGTACCTACAGTATGTGGGTATGTACATAAGTCTTGGTGGCAGGCTCGAAATCCCATGTCAACCCCGGGGCTGCTCTGTGACCCTATGGCCGGGGAGCTACATGCGGGCCAGGAGAAACATAAACTTGTGATACCATAGAGGAGCGTCGTCAAGAGACTGGCAAATCCGAGTTTTCTGGCATCGAATTTATTTCGCCCCCTCTCTTTTCCCGTTTGCAGAGCCCATGCGCGGCTCCAATATCCCTATCCCTAGGCACAAGCAACGTCCTCTGAAGCCTCGTTGTCGCGTCATAATCTCGCTCATGCCACCCATTGGCCGTTGTGAATGATGTAGACGCTGCTGTCAATTCCGAGACAATGGCCAACTTGATTCCCCACTTCGAGCCTCCGTCAGTAGTAACCTCCTCAGCTCGAGTTCAGCGACTCCCTGTCGGCGAACAGCATTGACAGACAAGCATCTGGCTCATACTGGGTATCAACGCGTCCCTGTTCCAGCCAGTAGGCGAATTATCAACGGGTCCTCGTCTCGTCGCGAGTGTCGCCCAACGACGATCATGTTGTCGAGGGGCTTGCCGGTTAAAAAGGTGCCTGATCATCCGGCTGCTGGAACATTGCTTCTGGTTAAGAGTCTGGTTCTGAATCAAAGCTTTTCCGACACATGACCGCTCCATGCTCTTTCTGTTCAGTGTCCATTCTCGACTTTGATCTCATCGTCGTCCTGTCCCTCCTCCTCCTGCCTCGCGTGTCCTGGATCCTGCGTCTCACTATCCCGCGAACCGGTCATTGGTAGCTGAGGCCCTGGCAGTGTCGGCCCCCCGCCTGGTGTAACACTGCTCAAGTTCCCATCCTCGTCGACATACTCGAACCTATACTTCGATAGATAATGCGGGATCGCGCTCAACTGGGGCCCATACCGTGCACTGTTATCATAGAGCTCGAACAACGGCACAGCCAGAAGTTTCATGTTCTTCGGCACGCTGAGCACCTTGTTGGGTGGGAGATGAATGAGATACAATTTCTTCAGCTCCTTTGGCCGTGAGACATGGGCGGGAAGAAATGGATAGAGGAACGTCTCAAAGTTCGGCCGCCACCTGGACCAGAATCAAGAGTCAGTATGGCGCGCACAGCTGCGTTTGTGCCGGGCAAAGTTGGCAGCTGAGGGGTTTTCAAAACTACCATTGTGCAAGACAGTCTCCGATCTCCCACTCGGTATCGCTTTCCTTGGGATTTGTCGGTGCTAGTCTCTCATTCAACCGAATTTTGAAGCCTTCAATTTCGTCTGCGTCGTGGGGTAGGTAGTCGCCGGGTCTGTTTGTGCGACCTAGGTTAGCAAGTGACATCCATTCCGGTCATTTCGCTCTAGGGGAGCTGGTGTAAGACACGACCTTTCCCCGCCAGTTCTGCCGGAATAGGCGGTCAGAACGGGTCCACCTCTTCTGATAAAAGCGGACGCGAGACGTACAGTTTGAAGAATGCGTTGGCGATCTGCAGCATCAGCACGTGGGGATGATTGTGTTCGTGGCAGACCAATATGGCCTCACATGTCCGACGCATGCCATATTTCTCATAGTGTTCCTCCAGTCTTTTCAGCCGCGCCGACACTGACGGATCTTCCTCTGGCTGCGTCTCCTTTGTGCCAAAGGTATAGTTCGAAAGAGGGTAGAGTCGGATCGTTGGAGGTTGGTTGGCCGTGAACGCAGGTGGAAGGATCGGACTATAGAACCCATGTTGTGAGTTGCTGCGACGGGCCCTTGGGCCAAGGGGGAGAATGGGAGTCCGTACGGGTAGGACGACTTCAGTGTCGTCGTCGTGACGGTCGACATGGTATAGTGCGGTGCGGTGGGTGAAGCCACACACGCTCTCTCACACACACGGAGCCTCAGGCTTCGCTTTCAGTTGAGCAACAGGAAATTTAGCCAGTCCGAGAGAGTGTGGAACAAGACACAAACCATTCGTTTGCACTGGGCTTGGGCAGTTGGGCAGTTGTTCCCCAGACTGTATTCGTACTCTGAATCAAGGACCTTACCTATTAGGTGCCTATAACAGTGCTATTACACAGGTACTCCTAGAGTCCGTCCAGAGTCTAGCGTCGGCATTAGCGGAGGTAAATCCTCGGCTTGATGACACAAGTAGCCATACTCCATACCTAATGGAGTACCAACGTACCGACTATGTATCTACAGTTGTACTAAGAGGGTTGCAAGGGGAACTATCTTTTCAATTATGCATCTAATCTACATGGATCTTTCGAGAGAGTCATGCCAACAACGCCTTCGCTTTGTTCTCAAGACAAACCACAATTCTTCCATGTTAGAGACTAAGCCAAGGCCTTTCCTACACCCGTGGCGCCTCCCAACTCTTTGGATAGTCTCTCTGTCCTAGAACTTACTCTTTACGAATGCATCTCTTGCGCGATCTGTCATAGCTTGGATTCTAGGTCCTCATAGGCCCGCACATCTTCGATTGCAGTGGGTCCTTGACTGACCTGCAACCCAGCCTTCCACCGATAGGGGTCGGTGATGACTACAGGTATCGCCGCTGTATTGTTCGGGGCCTCGACCGGCTTGATCTTTGGTGTGAGCTCCTTTAACTTTTCCCGTATCTCTTCTGTCTTTGAGTCGGAGACCGAGGTGCCAAGGTATTCTTGAATCGCCCCGACAACACTGGTCTCATCCGCCAGGTCGACCTTCGCGAAACGTGTCTTGAGTTTGGCTTCGTCAACGTCCACGTCAAGACTCTTCAGAACTTTGACCAGTTCATCTCTCTTGTCTGCTGGAAGCTGTTCCACTGGAGCCTTGAGAGCTTGTGCTTCGAGGTGCACCGAGACTTTGGCTCGGGTGGGTGATTGTGGATCAATGTACTGCGCAAAGAATGCTTTGATATCATCCTTCGTGAGTTGCCGGATGACGGCAACATCCCGATCGACTTGGTGAAAGTTGTAATATTCACCGCTGATATAAGCCCACAGGCGATTGGTCTCGAAGTCAAGGTTCTTGAGCTTCTCCAATCGTTTGTTGATCAGACTGCGTTTGTGCCCTTCAAAGTCCTCTACCGACATCGACTCAAAATCCTCCTTAAACTTGAGCAAGAACGCGTTAATACGGGTCTCAAGGTATTCCGGATCTCGCTCGCTTTGTATGAGGACTCGGTATCCCATCGTGACTGCCGCCGGTCTCACGCCACTCCAGACCACGTAACCGAGCTGCTCCTTGGTTCGAAGTTGGTCAAAGGCAGGTTCGTCAGTGATTTGAGCAAACAGCTGCAGCCTCGATCGGAGGGGAATATCCATCACATGACCGACGTCCAAATAATACTCAATCGCATTGTTGATGTTGGCCGGGTCGCCCAATGTGTGCTTGTACACAAAGTCGCTTCCCGGAGGGACAATCACGTTCCTTCTAATCTCCCACTGTGACACAGGTAACGCGCGTGGCGCCAGTATTGACTCGACCAGACTCGCAATGTTCTTAGCGTCCTCTTTGTACAAATTGCCGTGAGCCAGCACCTCGATATGGGCCTGTTGCAGGAGCTGAGGCGCAAAGGTTCGGACATCGTCGACCGTAATGTACGGGAGCTCTGCGGCAAAGACATCGTTCATCCACCCCCGTTCACTCAGGATCCATCGGGTGTAATCCCCAATCTGATAATATGGCTGCTGAAAGGCCCAATTTTTGTACTTTCTGGCCATGCGCTCCTTGATGATCTCGAATCGATCAGCTTTGATCTCAAGGTTCTTCAACGTGATCAAGATCTTCTCCAGGAGAACCGCCATTTTGTCGTTATAACCGTGCACGCTCAGGTCCACGCCTAGTGTATTGGCCCCAACAGCATACGCCAAGCCAGAGATCTCAGCGTCGTAAGAATAGCTCGACAGGGCATCCCTAACCAGACTGACAAACAAGACGGTCTTGACATAATTGGCAGGGTTGGCGTAGGTGACTGGGTTCCGGAGTTTGATGTTGAGGTTGGCCTTGGGGACCCAGAAAGTGTCATCCTTCTTCCACCATAGACGAACCACGTCATCGTTGCGCAGCAATTTGGGGGTCTTTGCAGGTTCTTTGACCTCTGTCTTCTCCACGTCCAACTGGGTGGGAATGAATTCGTTCTTGTGTGGAAGATGGAGATCCTCGATGGCGTGGTTTCCTGGGGAAGCCAGGGCCTTTCGCACTTCCGACAAAACATCCGTTGGGATGCTATCCACCTTGTACTCGGTTCCATACCATTTCTCCTTGTGGTCCCAGTCACCGGGGTACTCTTGTGCCACCAGCATGAGCCGGAAGTTGTCCTCGCGGAGATATTGCATCGCTTGTGTGATGGCTTGGGCATCAAACTTCCTGAACTTGCTGGTACCACTCAGGAGCCAGTTACGGGGTAGTTCTTTCTGCATGATACTGCTCGTCGCACTTGTGAACCGGCTTGCTGGGGACTTCTGGCGGAATCTGAAGTCAACCTCGGCCATATTCTTCATCTCCTGGTGCAGCCACTCCACAGGCGGAGTAGCCTTCATCATTCCGATGTACTGGAACACAATCTTGACGATCTCGTGGTAATTCTTGAGGCCGTCGGGCGTCAACCCAATCTCGATTTCGAAGAATGCCGACCCAGGGCAGACAGGGTGATAACCGGCTGAAAGAGTCTGACCCAAGCCCCTCTCCTTCAGATAGGCGAGAATACTTCCAGGTCCCTCATGGCCGATGAGGTGGCTGATGTATCTGGCTGGCTGGGTCTCGTACATCTCTTCTTCGTCTTGCCATGGAAAACTGATTTCCAGGGAGCGTGATTCCATGACCGGCTTCGCAAGGATCTCGGTGGACAATTGATCTTTGGTCAGCATTTCAACACCATCCCAGCGGTTCTGGGGCAAATCTTTATTCTTGACCTCGGAAAAGAGTTCCACGACCCATTTCTCGAGCTCGTCCAAAGATTCACGGCCCAAGACAACCAACTTCATCCGATTCGCAGAATAGTGTCGTTCATAGAAACGGATAAACTCGTCGCGGATCCTGACACCTCTTTTCTCGGGATCGTCCCGTAACGTCTGCAGGTTCCCCGTCGAGAAGTGGTGGTACGGATGACGGGGATTTGACAAAGATTTGGCCAGCTGCGACAACCTCCATGCATCGCTCTGTAGATTCTTCTTATTCTCGGAATCCACGGCCCTCAACTCACGATCCAACGTACTTTCCAGAAACAGAGGCTTGACGAAAAACTGGGCGAACCTATCAAGCGCGCCATACAATGGACCTGCGGCCAGGGTGTTGGAAGTTGCATTTCCCACGCCGTTGGAGATGTTGTCGTTGAACTCGTGCGAAGCGGCGCACTCAAAGAAGTAATTCGTCTGCGTGGCAGCGGTGTATGCGTTCGAGTGACCGGAATTGGAGGAAAGATAGGAGGAATACTCGTTCTCTACGGGATACTGGTGCTTCGTCAGTAGGGCGATATTGGTAGAAGTGGTCAGCCCACCTTCTCGGTTCCCATGAAAAGCAGATGCTCGACGGCATGTGCCATGCCTGGCATATCTTCCTCATCTGAAAAGTTGCCAACATTGACATTGAGACTTGCGCTGGCTTTATCCGTCTGGGCATCGTGGACAAGCAAGGCCTCGAGCTTGTTGTGAAGCTGGATGACCCGGTACGATCGATCGTCAAGGTCGGGCTTTTCCAAGTCGTCTGTTATCCGTTTGACGGAGTCCATGACTGTGGCAAAGGATCGACTCGCAGGGAGCTGGGGGGCTGAAACTTTGGACATCACAGTCTTTGATACTGGCAAAGGACGGTATGTCACCGGACTCGAGACTCGGAGGGAAAGCAGCGACGAGTAGAAGAGACGAGCGCGCAGTCTCATGAAGACGGGAGAGAGGGAGTCCAGGCACAGCGGGAAGCGGAAAGAGTCAAGTAATCATGGCGATGCCCAAGGCAGAGAATGATGATGATGATGCCAGTGAGGATGGCAAACGAACGCATGGGCGCTGTGGCCTTCGCCCGCCCAAACCCCGAACCCTAGGTAGACAGTGGACGCAAATAGTACGGAGGAGCATTTGGAGTCTAATGGTGGGAGCCAAAATACATTAAACCGCTCACAGTCCTTAGGCTTAGGGGCTTAGGGGCCCAGGGCTCCCAAGGCCCTTAGGCTCTAAGGCCTAATTAGGCCTAAGAAGCCCCTAAACCTCAGGCACCACCACACCCAACTGCGCCAGCACTTTACAGCAAGTATCCTGTCTCCTATCTCCTGTATCCTAGTAGTACTTCGTACTCCGTGTTGTCCATGGTATGGACCATTGTGAGCCTCTCTCGGGACTGCTCAACCATGGTGGCTAGAACTTGAACTGTTCACGGACCAGCCGCTCACTGATTGTCCACACCTCCTCCATGTACGCCTCTGCATCCGCGTGCTCTGGCAGCATCTTGACTTGACAGTCGTCCAGATACGCTCCGGACTCTGAGGCAAGGCTGGGATCCAACGCGGCACGCAGTTGGGTGGCACATCCCTGCTGCAGTGTCTTGCGCCCGGGTAGAGTAAAGGCCGGATTGTCTCTCTTGGCTGCCTCGATGGCCTTGTTTCTCAGGTCCTCGGTGAGATAGAGCTGCAGATTCGTCTTGATACTGCCCGGGTTCAAACTGAAGGTCGCAATGCCGCGGGACCGGAGTAGGTTGGCCAGTCGCTTGGCGTAAAGAATGTTGCAGGCCTTGGACACTGAGTATGCAGTGGTCGGGTCGTAGGTCGTGCCCTGCGCGTAGGACAGGTCTTTCAGATGAGGCATGAGGGCGGCGGCGCTTCGCTGCGAGGCCGAACTGCTGACCACGACGATGCGCGAGACGATTCGGCCGGCCTTCAGCAGCAGGTTCGAGAATAAGAAATGGCCCAGATGGTTGGTTGCAAACTGGGCCTCGATTCCGTCCTCGCTGAGCGCATAAGGACAGGCCATGATGGCAGCGTTCAAGATGAGCACGTCGATCTGGTCATCCCCCAGCGTCGCCTCCACGTCGCTGACCGCCTGTCGCACAGACTTCTGACTCCCCAGGTCCAGCTGGATGAAGCTGACCCTGACTTCTGCATGATCTCGACCGATCTGCTCAACGAGAGGTGCAATCTTCTCTCGCGATCGTCCAGCCAGGATCAAATGCTTCGGGCTGGCTGCAGCGAGGCTCGACGCCGTCTCAGCGCCAATGCCACCGGGGGTCGGGCCTGTGATCAAGACTACACACAGTATACACTGGTTAGCTAGCTCACAGTAGAATTCTCGGCCGTCGGAAGCGTGTCCCTTACAAGTCTTGCCGGCGACTCGGTCCTTGAACGCGTCCACGATTTCTGATCCGGTGGTCTCAAAGCCGAACGCCATAGTGACAGGAGGCAACGGTTTTTTAGTTCAAAATTGTGGTATCAAGGGCAAGCAAACCATATTTCCCAAGCATCAAACAAGGTTCTCACCCGGCCGCGGGTGCAGTCTCTTCTCTTTATACTCCGTATGTGCACACAGAATCTCGAATATGCACTCACATATACATATCCCCGGTTAACCCCGGCCGAGGCTGTCAGCAAACGTGCTTAACGCCGGCCATCCTGCTGACCGCCACCGTTGCGGCGCAGCGATGACGAGAAGGAGGAGGAGCATGCAGCCAATGAAGACGATTGGAAAAAAGGAGGAAATGTGAACGTGATCCCAAGCTCGCAGAACGCAATCATGGGGGTGACGATGAAGTCGAGCCTGGCAAGGGATAAGCAGGCAGGTTACAGGATCCAGGAGCGCTCTTCTCTACCGCCTTGTACCAACTTCAAGAATAGCCTTCATTGTCATGCTAATGTCAGAAGGCTATACCTACCAAGGTGGGAGCAAACATGGCGATCAGTCACCTCCAGACGCGACCAGTACCGGCCTCCAGCTTGCTTCAGCGCTCGGCGTAACCTCCGTCTCAACCTGGATCCTGACAATATTGATCTTCTGGCTGCTAGGTTTAGGACCAGACCCGGTGGAGAGATATGTGTGTGCAGTGTGCACAGAAGTTTCCAGGATGCATCCGCCCCCGGCAAAGACGACTGAGACCGTGCTTATGCATCCTCGTCGTTGTCTTCAGCCTTGATGGCAGAGTCGCCTTCATCATCGCTCTCGTCGTCAGCTTGATTTCCTTCCTCTTCTTCTTTGATAACTGGCTCCTGAAGAGCTTCTTCTTCTTTGCAAGCGATGATGGCCCAGAGACCATGCTGCTGTACCTTGATCTGGCCCCTGGCCAACTCCCTTCTTCTTTGGTGAGGCGCTCTTCTTTGGTGAGCGGCAGCCAATCTGCTTCGGATCTTCTCAACAAGACCTTGTCGTGGACTGCTTCGCCCAGGTCTAAAAGTCAGAAATGCGTCAGCATGGGAATCTCAGGTTGGTTTGACGGGAAAAAGGCTTGAGTTGAGCTGTCTGGACAAACTCTGTGAATAGGGCAGACTTACTTTCGGTGGCTGAACAGTGCAGTGGTCTTCCATGCATAGCTAGTCACCTTGTTTCGCCCACTGCATCGGCTGCTCCTCTTCAATCCTGGACAGGTATTCCACCTCTTTCTTCGACAGTCTTCTTGATTTCTTACAACTGCGGGATGGCTCTAGACTGTCGAAGAAGGAGAGGGAGATGGAAATACCGTCCAGACGTTAAGAGGAGCGCCGATGCAGTGGTGACCATTCCGACGTTCTCTGCCAACATGCCCTGTGCCCTTGTCAGCTCTGGCATGTGACGGGGATCTCTACCAGAAAGCACCGTCTCTTCTCGGTCTTCATACCTTGAGGGCGTTGCAAGTTCCTAATGGCAATACCATTCTTTTTGAAAGATGGATTTGGATCTCTAAAGGTCAGCTTCCGATTTTGCTGTGCTCAACTGATGCCTTACAGAGTTAGGGTCTTCTAGGTAGGAGATCGGATTGGGAGTATGCTCGAGCCTCGAGGACCTGAAGCTGGCCAAGAGCAGATGTCGATGTTGTCGGGTCTTTAAAGGATGCAGACAATGAATAGGGAGTGAGAGTAGTGGAAGAAACAAACAAGCCCCGGGCCTTGACTGAATTTGGAGCAGCTGCGGCTTGGTCTGCGGCTGAGCGGCTTGTATCGTCTTGCGGCTGCATCATTGCCTACTTTCATTGCCCTCTTCACTGACCAGAGTGTCTCTTCCCCATCATTTCCACGTCTCAGACAAGACATGGTGATCTTGCTATCTATCTCAGAGACAATTATGTTTATGAGTGTCTGACGATCCAGGTTCATCCTACATAAAGAACAAGTCTGGCCACATAAACCAGCAGAGGGCCACCCGGGGTAGGACAGAAGGCGAGCCAGCGTGCAGGGAAACACAAAGCGGCTAATGCTGTGCTCCTAGGTGAACGATTCCGATATGCTCATGTTCACTGACAGCCAAGGCAAAGAAAATCCTTCCTCTTCTCCACTCGATTTGGCCGCTGAAGTACACACCTCGATTCTTCCTCGAGCAAGACACTATACGATTCAACACATCGTCCGAGAGGCCCCCGTCTATGTTGAAAAGGATCAAGCCCGACGTAGTGGTTGGTCGCCTTGCGGTATGAGCTGGATAGGGGCACGTTTCTCCTCGAAGATGGCCGCAAAGACCAACCTGGACATGAAAAGGCATCTGTGGAGCCCCTACTTACTGCCCGGCTTTGAAGACCCTGACTTAATTCACAGCAAGATTCGCATCCAGGATTTGTCGCCGTGCATCTGAGGTGGTTCATTCGGCAATTTTGTCAGCGAAGGGACATTCAACCTGTCACTCACGACCCAACGTTCACGACCCTCCTTAGGCTACAGGGCACATCCAATAAGACCAGTTTAGCAGAAGTGAAATGGGACGGGGGCCGGCTCTCTAGAAAAGAAGCAGGACGCACCCACGTTGGAGTGTGTTCCAGACAAAGAAGGCTGAGAATGTCCCTGACGAAGCTCAAAAACAACGCTGGATGGCCGGCTGTCTCATTCAGCGTCGCACTCCTTCAGGACAACAACTCACTGTTTTCAACCAGTCCAGCCGGTTCGGTCTGGTTGGGGGCGAGGCTGGCGCCCTGTGGGTGTGGCCACGTGACTGTGGCTGTGACTTTCCCGCCCCTGCTGCGTCACATGACGCGATAACCGTGATTGGCTCAGGGGGATTGGAGCGGGCCGGCAGGAGGGCGCAATGGAGACGCCAGGGGCCACCAGGCACCTACCAGGGGACACAAGAAACATACACCAGGGATCCTCTCTACACGCCGCTGCTCCATATGTTTATACCCAGTCCCATTCAGGCCGCCTTATTCGCCTGTAGAAGCTTTCCCCTGCCTGGTCAACATGCTTCAGGCCTGAGGAGCCGCCTTGTGCCGTGTAAGGCCCCCCGACGCGCCCCTGCGCACTTACACCATGCCGCCCACCTTATCAATAAGTAGTCGCTCGACCGACTCCGCGAGAGAAGGTGGGAACATTCGATCTCTTGGGGCCCTACAAGCGAAAATCCCGTTTCATCCCGCTCTCTCTCTTCCTCCCTCTCAACGCTCGCGCTACAGCCTCGCAACGAAGAACAAAACCCGCCGTTCGTCCCCAACGACGCTTCGAACGTGCACTCGGTGAGATGGCGCTCCTCGTCCGCCTTCTCGTGACTTGCCTTCTTCTCCGTGAAGCGACAGCAACATGCTACTTTCCCGACGGAAACGTCTCCAGCCTTGACGTTGCATGCAACCCAGATGCGGTCGATTCATTCTGCTGCTACAGCCACCAGGCGTGCCTGTCCAACAAACTGTGCTTGACCGGTGTCGAAGACGGCGTCAACCAATACGCGCGAGGGACATGCACCGACCACACATGGCAGTCGGGGGCCTGCCCCGACTTCTGTCTTGACCGTATGGACTTGTTCTCTCACCCATGTGTAGATGGCTGCTGACATGTTTGCCGCCGACAGAACAGGCACTCGGCAACCCCGTCATGAGCTGCAACGTTACGGGGTCTGATTCGTACTGCTGCAACTACGACTGCTCCTGTGATTCCGGCACCGAGGATGAAGTCTTGAGCTTTACCGGCACCCCCTATACCATCTCAGTCATCGGAGTGACGTCGACATACCCCAACCCCAGCGCCTCGACGCAATCTCCCTCGACGACGACATCAACATCATCCGTGTCGACGACGACATCAACATCATCCGTGACGCCGACGACTGCTTCGCCAACCACCGAAAACGGTCCCGTCGGCTCCTCAACTGTCAATGCGGCAGGAGCCGCTGCAACTTCATCAGCCGCCTCCGTACCCCAATCCGACGGCAAAAAAGGCGGTTCGAACAGTACGGCAATCGGCGTCGGTGTGGGAGTCGGGGTCGGAGTCGCGCTCCTGCTGGGTGGCGCGGCTGCTTTCTTCCTCTACCGTCGCCACTCTCGCTCACGCTCCCGTGCTCCTGTTCAACAGGACGCCATGCCCGCATTTGACAAATCGGCAAACGATTACTCTGGACATGGAACCAGTCCGACTAGCCAGCCCAGCCCTTACAACGCTCCGAGCCTGGATCCGAAGCAGCCGTTCCTGGGGAAGCCCGCTCTATCCAATCCAAGCGTCAGCGAACTGGACTCAAGAGGCCACGGCTACAGTGAACTCCACGCGCAGACTGACCGCACAGATGATACACCTGGAGGCTCCGACTCGGGAGTCGCAGAGCTTCCATGATAAGTGGTGCTCACGACTATTGTCTGATGCATGCCATTATGTTGATCTACACAGCTTCTCGAGCTAGTTCCAGCTAAGCAATGAACGAACGGGCTTACCTTCATCTTCTCTCTTACACTCAGTTGCATTCCGGCACTTATCTGGACCGGTTCGGGATTTGGGGGGCCTTTCTGGGCACGAGAGGAGACTCTCTGCTCTTACACACTCAGCTGCCGGAGCAGACACAGCTGCATAGTGCAGCAGATTTACCTCGTCTCTGCTGAGCCACGGCCGGGAACATGCCAGCCACCCTTCACCATTGGGATGCGCACAATCTCACCTGTGTATCATATATCAGTCGCGGCATTGCGCCGGCAACTAAGCCCAAGGCCCCGTCTTGCCGAAACAGTCGTGGCTTCCGTCGTGGCGTGGCGAGCCACGAAAAGCGGCTTCATCAAGTGAGTAGTCTATGTGCTGCCTCTACCAGTACAAAGCCGAGCCGAGATTCTTTGGATTAGTGGACTGTTGACCTGGGCGCAACGGAAGGGACATGCACAGCCCACAGTTGCCATGAGTATGCAAGCACATTGTGGTTCCTGCGTTGATTTAGTACAGTGCACACAGCGTTCTCGACGGCCTGGGAGCGACATATGAATCGAATGAGGCATTTGACATGCATTTTCATTTGCGTTTGCGTATGTGTATGCGTATGCGTGTGTGTATGTGTATGTGTATGCGTATTTGTATGAGTATGTGTATGCAACAACTGCTTCTCCTCTATAACTATAGAAACGGGAAACTTCAGAGCCACCATGCAGAAGGGGGAAGTCCGGGCTCCGGGCCAGGCTAAAAACAAAGGTCGTGTCGTGTCGTGTCTGTGCGTGCCGGTGTCGTCGTACAGTATCACCAATGTATTGCCTGTTTAAATGCTCTGTATATGTACGGAGTATATGTATTATATTGAACATCGAACCCCTGATCTGCAATGTCAAAAGACCATCATATCCAGCCAGCCTTTTTTAGTCTCTGGCCCTGCTGGTGTGTAGTGCCATGAGCCATTTCCGTCATCATCGTCCTTTTCATGATGTCCATCCTATCTTATTCTATAGGGCCTAGATGATCCAGATCATATCTTCATACCCTTCCTAGTTTCATTTCCATTTCGTGTCCGTATCCGTTTCCGTTTCCCACTGCCGTTGCCGTTGCCATTGCAATTTCAAATCCCGGTCACTCCATCTCAGTTCACCCCACGGTGGAATCGACTCATCCAATATGCAAAACAACAACTCAGTAGCGTCGAAACGTTGTGTGGAGGAAGTTGGCGACATTTTGCGACAGCAAAAATCTTGTTTTTGTGATAAAAAAACACATCGTCCTCGTAGTCGTGCTTGGAGACCCGTGAAATCTGTCGAGAGAGGCGAAAGTGGCGAACGTGACGTGTTGGCCTTTCCAGAGTCGTGAATCCCCATCAAACTATCTGAATTTGTGAGGACATGTCCCCTCATCAGATCTTAGCGCAGTTGACCCTCTTGGTCAGGAACTTCACATCAGAGCCGCAATAGCAGCCACGATGGCGACCATGGCCCCGTGTTCAGAACTCAATGGGAATTTGCTCGCCGCACCGGTATAGGTCGCGGCGGGGGCGGCTGGGATTGTGATGCTGCTTCCTGGAGTTGATGTTGAGCTGGAATGCGTGGGCTCCCAATGCGAAGTCGAGGCATGCGGAGTGGTGCTGGTGGATATAGTGGTAGTCGGAGATGGAGAACTCGTCGAGCTGGAGCTGGAGGAGCTGGTCCAGTCAGCCCAGCTGTTTGATGTCGTCCTAGCGGTGGTTGTTGCCGAAGTCGTACTGGTCGTGGTCGTGGTCGAGGTCGAAGTTGATGAAGTAAAAGTGGAAGTAGAGTTCCAGACGGCCCATGTCTCAGGGGTGGTAGTACTGGTTGTGGTGGCACTTGTGGAGGTAGTGGAAGCTGGAGGAATGATGGTAGTCCAGTCAGACCAAGTCACAGGGGGGGTGGTGGTGGTGGTAGTAATAGTAGTTGAAGGGGTGGTAGTGCTGCTAGTAGAAGGAGTGGTAGTAGTCCAGTCTATCCAGGTTTCGGGAGTGGCGGTAGGAGTGGCAGGCACCGTACTTGACGCGGCGACTGTGGTCCAGTCGCTCCAGACTTCTTCGGTAGTGGTGGTCAAAGAAGTGGTAGTTGTGGTTGTGCTGGCGCTTGATGTTGTCCAATTAGCCCATGTCTCGGGAGTGGAGATACTAGTAGTCGATATCCAGTCTGTCCATGCTTCACTACTACTCGTAGTTGACGTGGCAGGACTAGTCGTCGTTGTGGTAGAATTAGAGAAAGGGCCGGTGGGGGTGGAATTGTGAGGCGCTGTAGAATTGGCAAAGGGAGGCAGGGTCGAGTTTCCAGATTTCTGGCAATGGGCATTCAAAATGACCATAACGATAGAGACAGATTCTGTGAGGCATTCTTCCGCCACGCACGAGTGTACCGCGGCGGTAGCGTCCGGCGAGCAAAACCTCGTGGGGTTGGGAAGGGCAGAACCAATGCAAGAGAGAAGGCATTGCATAGGGCCGTTGATACTATCCGCAGTCTGGGGTCTGGGAAGAGCAAATGACAAAGGCAAAGAAGAGAGAGTAGCAGCCGCACTGACAGCGGTTTTCATACCCCGGAAATACATGGTTTCACGGAGTGGGAATGACGGGGTGATGGACGATGCAGATGTCAGACACAGTGCTATGTTCTCTCTGGGCGCCGTGCTAGTCGGTGTGGGTTCTGCAGTTGAAAGTTGAACGACCGGGCGGATAAAGGAGAAGACTCACAGACCTGAAGGCGACCTTCGACCTTGCAATATATACCGGAAGCTGTGGAACACGGCGTGCCAGGCAGCGCGGGTTGACGGTTGTCGTCCAGCCACTCGTCTGCAGCAACATCCTAGGTCACCAGTTACCAGTTACCAGTCAGCCGGGATTGACTGGGTATATCCCTGGACTGTCTCGGGCGGGCGACGAGTAACCAGGCATCAAAGGCGAGGTGTGAGAAGATGGCCGGGCTGGAGGAGGCGGAAGGCAGATGGCGGGGAGCGAGGGGACGGAGTTGCTGTCGAATTAGCCGCAGGGCTAAGCTATGCCAAGACCTGATTGTCCATGTCTATTGGAGGACGGTGCTCCAGCGTCCCGCTACTAAGCCATTCGAGGAAACAAAAACAAAGCTAAGGCCCGGTGCTGGGCAGCCTGGCTCCCCGTCTCCATGAACGTCATTGTTCTACTCCGTATATCTGTATGTCCACACTTATCGGTATTGATGGCCCTCCCTGCCAGCATTGCCATCCGTTTTATTACACCATGTGGTGGTGTTACACTATAATCCCCTGTTTAGGGTGCATGGGCATGGATCCCTTCGGCAGTCTGGCAGCTAGCTACCCTCCAATCTCATTCATATAAACCTGGCATTCTTGTCAAACCTACGTGGAATGTACGGATCAAACAACATCATCGTGGTATATTATCTTCTCTTTATACATTATAGTCATACATACATCATCACATACATAATAATACATGCCATCGCCATTGGCTTCGTCTCTAGCCTCGCACGGCCGGTTGATTATCGATCTACTGCTCTATTTTTGTCTGGAAAACATTATAGCCACCACCACATTACACGCCACCCAGTTTTCTTGCACGACGGCAGTTTGCAGAGTCCTCCTCCCTCTCCCTCTCCAGTCATCCTATGATGCAAGCACCAAGGCCAAAAGCGCCATTCTCGTGTAAAGACCATACCTCATCTGTCGGAAGTATGCTGCTCGTTGGTCAAAGTCAACCTCCTCGCTAATCTCGTGATTGCGCGGCAGCGGGTGCATCACAATCATGCCGGGTTTGGCGTACTTCAGAACGCTGTTGTCCACAATCAGGCTGTCTTTCAGTCGCTCGTACTCGTCGAGGCTTGAGAATCGCTCTTTCTGAACCCGTGTGCAGTATAGCACATCGCTCTTGGCAACAATCTCCGGGGTCAGAGTTTCGGATTCGATCACAAGCTGGCCGGACGCCACAATCAAATCTCTGACCTCTTTGGGCAGAGCTAGATCCTTTGGAGATACCAAGTTGATCCGCACTTCATAATACTGCAGCAATTTGGCCAGTGAATGGACGGTTCGCCCATATTTGAGGTCACCAGTGAACGTAACGGTGAGGCCAGTCACCGTACCCAACTCCTCTCGAATGGTGAACAGATCCAAAAATGCTTGTGTCGGGTGTTCTCGGCTGCCATTGCCGCCGTTGAGGATGGGGACCGGGGAAAACTTGGCCGCAGTTGCGACAGATTCTTCGTCTGGATGACGCAGCACCACTGCGTCTCCGTAGCATCCGAGCGTCCGAATGGTGTCCTGCAATGTCTCGCCCTTCTGTGTACTCGAGTGATCAGTGTTGATCGCGATAGTACGTCCGCCCAACCGTTGCATGGCGGCGTCAAAAGAAGCCGAGGTTCGAGTGCTTGGCTCATAGAACAGGGTGCAGAGCACTTTGGATTGGAGAATTGGCAAGATCCCTTGTCGCTGGACACCAAGTCGCATTTCTTGAGCCACTGTAAACAACACATGTAAATCCTGTCGCGTATATTGATCGACGGATATCACATGACGGTTCTTGAAGGGCGAAGATGCCAAAAGGGAGAGAAGTGACGGAGAAACCGTGGACGGAGGCTGTGGTTGCTGGAACGCGGCGGTAGGCAGAACTGGACCGCTGGTGTCGAGCACCTCGTCCATGTTTCGTGGACGGGCGATAGGTCGACTTCTCGAGGTCACTGAAGTCGGTCTATACATTGAGCTATCGAGGATCGAGGGCCGTCTGAGGACAGGGGCGTCGATCTGAGCACGCAAGACTGGAGACGTAGGCCCAATGCTTGGTGAGGTGGGTTGGATCAGATGCGACGACATGTCAGTGCCTTGGGGGCTGTCGTTCAAGATTTCACCATCAAGACAGATTGTCTTCCCCTGGAACACGACTCGTGATACGGCTCCTCGCAACGTTCTTCCGACAAACGGCGACCACACAGACCCAGCGTTGAGCACGTATGGACGATCGATGTCAATCTCCAGCGAGGTATTGGTTTGTTCGTGTAATTCAAAAATGGCCTTGGGATTGTCGTGGAGCCTGCTGGTGATGTCATCCATGGTCATTTTCCCTTCTGAGACGGCAGTTAACAGCAAGGGCAGTGCATCGGCAATGCCCACCGTCGGACCAGCCTTCTCGCCTGCGAGCTGGTAGGGAAGGCTACCAATTGAGAGCACATCGATCGTCGGCAGATGGTCCCACAAGGCCTTCTGGTCGGCGGCCGATGGCAATGCAGCACACTCGGGGTAATCAGCCTGAGATAAAAAGAGACTGTAGACTGACACGTCACAAGTGACCTTCAATCCCTTCTCCTTCGATAGAGCAATCAGACTGATGTCATCCTTGGAGGTCACATTTGTGACATGGACTTTCCTGTCATGTAGGCTGGCAAGCAAAAGAATGGAGGCCAGGTCTGTAGTCTTCGCATCTGTCACGATCGGCTTGTACGTAGGCCATGTCCCGAAATGTGCGGTGACGGTGGCGACTTTGTTGATGTTGCCGGATGAAAGGTGGTTGAAGGGAATGAAAAGAGATCCAACCTCAGCCTTGACGTGGACAATCTGCTCCGAGTTGGAATCGGTTGCCGCCACGGAATAGTTGAAATCGCAGTAGGCCCCGTTCTGCGCGTTGTGCTGAGCGACCTTGAGTGACCTTGCATCGGTCACAGCGCTGTCAATTCCAACAGGCATGATTCGAATCATGGTAAAGCCAGCTGCCACCGAAGCTCTGCTCACCAACGAGAGATCGTGCGAGCCTTTCTGAGCAAGCCCGGGAACAAAGGCCGCCACGTTGATCAAACCTGGGAGCACTACGCTCCGATGACTTGTCTGGAAGTCAATGTTGCTGATGTCAAGATCGTAGTGCCTCGCAAGCGCCTCAATTAAAATCTTTGCAATCTTGACGTTTGTGATCAACGGGGTCTGGTAGTCAACCGCCATTCGCCTAGTGCGGTACCCTTTGCTCATGTAGTTGGCTGGTCTCCTGAACCTGTTGCTGGATGGTAGGTTGATGTACAAATCGATTTTGTTGTTGGCCAAATGCTGGGTCAGCGAATACTCGGATTTCTGGTCTTTTTCGTCGCTGCCGAGTATTTCCAAGTATTTTACTTTGATGCCATGTTCCTCCAAGAAATCAGCAGTGCCGGATGTTGCGAACAGATTGTAGCCCATCTGGTGTAGCTTACGCACGGATGGAAGCATCTCCGTCTTGTCTTTGAAGGATCCGATTGAGAGAAGGATATTCTTCTCAGGGAGTTTGAAGCCTGTTGAGATTGTTGCCTTGATATAGGCTTCCCATCGATCACGTCCAAAGCAAGCAACTTCCCCAGTCGAAGCCATCTCAACTCCAAGGACTGGGTCGGCACCAGACAAGCGTGAGAAGGAAAATTGTGGCGCTTTGACGCCGACATAATCGGCAGGAATCGTGACAGGTGGATATGGAGTGACCGGTTTACCCACCATGACTTTGGTGGCCATCTCAATCAGATCGACTCCCATAACTTTGGAGACAAATGGGAAGGATCTGGAAGCGCGAACGTTGCATTCGATGACCTTGATCTCGTTGTCTTTGGCAATGAACTGAATGTTGAACGGACCTGTGATGTTGAGGGCATTTCCAATCTTCCGCGTCGCTTCTTCGATCCGGGCAATGGTCTCGGGCAGAAGATCTTGTGGAGGGCATATGAGCGTTGCATCACCGGAGTGCACTCCTGCATTTTCGACATGCTCCGAAATAAAATGCCCAGTCATGACGCCGTCCTTTGCAACAGCATCCATCTCGATCTCTTTGGCATTTTCAATATACTTGGTAATCACAACAGGGTGATCCCTTGAGACATCCACTGCCTGGTTGAGGTAATTGGCAAGATCGTCTTTCGAGTACACCGTATTCATTGCAGCTCCTGACAAGACGTAGGATGGCCGCACTAGGACGGGATACGAGACCTTTTCGCAGAACTCCAGTGCCTCATCGATGCTCGTGAGTTCTTTCCAAGTTGGCTGATCGACATCGATGCGGTCCAGCATACGAGAGAACTTGTACCGATTTTCTGCCGAGTCGATCATCTCCGGAGAGGTCCCCAAGATCTTGACATTCAATCGCTGCAGAGGGAGGGCAATGTTGTTGGGAGTTTGCCCACCCATTGAAATGATAACTCCACTGGCTGATTCAAGCTGATAGACGTCCAGGACCGTCTCGAGATTGATGTTCTCGAAATAGAGTCTGTCTGCCTCGTCGTAATCCGTGCTTACCGTCTCGGGGTTAAACTTTGAGAACAGAAATCAGTGAATGATTTGGTGAAAAGGTGTAAAAGAAGGCGCAAGGGGGCAAATAGAGGGCAAAGGTAAAGAAGCACAAACTTACATTGACCATAACAGTCTTGAACCCCTGTTGACGCAGGGTGCGGATTGCCCTGACAGAGCACCAGTCAAACTCGACCGAAGAGCCAATACGGTAAACACCAGACCCTAGAACCATGATGCCATGATCATTGAATGTAATGTCACTCTCCGACCCATTGTAAGTCAAGTAGAGGTAATTGGTATAGGCGGGGAATTCAGCTGCAACCGTGTCGATCTGTTTCACGAAGGGATGTATTCCTGCTTCAGTTCTCAAGCGTCTAACAGCTAGCTCGTTAGAGTTCCAGGATCGAGCAAGCTGACGGTCCGAGAAGCCCAGTTGTTTGGCTTGTCTTATCAAAGACGGAGGGACGGTGGTTAGACTGAACTTGGACATCAACTTGGAGAAGTCACTCAGACCCTTGAGTCTTGACAAGAACCATTTGTCGATCTTGGTCATTTCCCAAATCTTGTCAACCGTGTATCCTGCATGCATTGCATTAGCAATGGCAAACATTCTCTGGTCAGAGGGAGTCTGCAATTCATCGTCGACAGACATCAAAGGATTAGAGATATCTGAGAAGCCAAGATTGTGGAAATCGACAGAGCGAATGGCTTTCTGAATGGCTTCTTCGAACGTTCTGCCTATGGCCATCACCTCGCCGACACTCTTCATTGACGAGCCAAGCTGGGTTGATACTCTCGTGAATTTCTTGAGATCCCATCGCGGAATCTTGACGACGACGTAGTCGAGCGAAGGCTCAAAGCAAGCACATGTCTTCTTTGTGACCGAGTTCGAGATCTCGTTCAGTGGTATACCCAAACCCAGCTTAGCGGCAATAAAAGCCAACGGGTAGCCTGTAGCTTTGGAAGCCAGAGCCGAGGATCGGGACAATCTGGCATTGACCTCGATGATGCAGTATTCTTTCGAAAAGGGATTTAGCGCATATTGGATATTGCACTCTCCCACTACGCCCAGATGGCGAATGACGTTAACAGCCGTCGTGCGCAGCATGTTGTAATCTTCATCGGACAAGGTTTGAGACGGTGCGACCACAATGGAATCTCCGGTGTGAATACCAAGTGGGTCGAAATTCTCCATGTTGCACACCGTTATACAGTTGTCCCGGGCATCTCGGACAACTTCGTATTCGATCTCTTTCCAGCCTTTCATACTCCTCTCGATAAGCACTTGAGGGCTTGCAGCGAAGGCTTTCGTGCAAAGATCGCGGAGCTGGTCCATATCTTCGGCGAAACCACTTCCGAGACCACCCAGCGCGTACGCAGCTCTGACAATGACGGGAAAGCCGATGTCTTCCACAACGCGCATAGCTTCCTCGAGGCTTGAGGCAGAGGCCGATTTCGCGCACTTCTCTCCAATGGATTCCATGCTTCTGGCGAATAGCTCGCGATCTTCGGTGGTAATAATTGTTTCGATGGGCGTTCCCAGGACTTGAACTCCGAGGGCCTCAAACTCATCTTTCAGCTGAATCCCAACTTGCAAGGCAGTCTGACCACCAAAAGTACAGTAAATGCCGTCCGGTCGCTCATGCTTGATGACTTTGCGGACAAAATCGGCAGTAACAGGCAGGAAGTAGACTTTGTCCGCTAGTCCCTTGGATGTCTGTATCGTTGCAATGTTGGGGTTGATCAGAATGGTGTAAATGCCTTCTTGCTTCAAAGCTTTGATAGCTTGACTACCAGAGTAGTCGAACTCCCCAGCTTGACCAATACTGAGCCCCCCACTTCCAAGAACAAGGGCCTTCTTCACCTTGACCCGTGGATGTGCTTTCTCATTCTCCTCGATTGCGCCTCCCGGGAAGGTGACTGGATGCTGCAAAGCCTTTTCAGACGCAACACTCTTCATGACTGCATCGATAAAGACGTCGAACAGGAATTCGGTATCCCGAGGGCCGGGGGTGGATTCTGGATGGAACTGAACGCTGAAGTAGGGTCTCGAAACGTGGCGGATACCTTCGTTGCTGCCATCATTTGCATTCACGAACAGCTCATGCCAGCCTTCCGGCAAGGTTTTCGTGTCAACAGCAAAGCCATGGTTTTGTGAAGTGATGTAGCATCGGCCAGATAAGAGATTAGTACAGGGAATATTGTGTCCTCGATTACCGAATTTCATCTTCAGAGTGCTGGCCCCGGCGGCACGAGCAAGCAATTGATGACCCAGACAGATGCCGAATATGGGTGTTCTTGCCTCCGCCATGGCTTCTGAGATATGCTTGACGGTGGTTGAAAGCATGGCAGGGTCACCAGGACCATTGGAAATGAACAAGCCGTCATAGTCTTTCCCCGCCAGTCTTGGGAAGTCATAATCCCAAGGTACCACAAGGACCTCCACACCGCGGGACAGGAGACAACGGAGCTGGTTGTACTTGAGGCCAACGTCCACCACCACAACTCGAATGGGCCGGCCAGAGGGATGCAAGAGCGCTTTGTCTTTTGGAGGAGAAATCACCCGCGGCTGTTTGACTGAGACTTCTGCCACCAGGTTCCGTTCATTTTGGTCATGCCACTCGACTTCTTCCACATGCTCTCGCCAGTTCACAGGACCCATCACTACCTCGCCGTTAAGAAGCGAATCTTCTTTGGCACCGTTGGTGAGCTTCATTTTCGGAGAAGCTTGTGTCATGAGCATACGACCCAACATACTGCCTTCTTCTCGGATGATCTTGGTGAGTGCTCGTGTGTCGACCCCATATATTGCGGGGACGCCTTGCTCTTTCAGCCAGGTGCCGAGAGAAGAGGTGGCAAGATGATGAGAGTATGTTTCGCCGGCATATGACGCCACGACAAGACCGGCAATGTGGATTTGATTCGATTCAAAGTACTTGGGAAGGTCTCCCAGCAACTCGTCGGGTGTCTCTCTCGAAGGTACTCCGTAGTTGCCCACAAGTGGAAATGTAATGACCAAGATCTGCCCTCGGTAGGAGGGATCTGTGACAGACTCCGGGTAGCCCACCATTCCAGTCTGGAAAACGAGTTCTCCGGAGACGCTCTTCTCAGCTCCGAAGCTGAAACCCTCGAAGACCTGGCCATCTCTGAGTTCGAGGTAGACCTTTAATTGTTGGTCGTCGAAGGGTTGAGAGGAGGCAGCTGGGTTTAGAGCGCCAATACCGCCGCCTTCTGTGATATAGCTAGGGGAAAGAGGCCGGTCAGCATTGCCCAGCTCAACCGAGGCGGCAACTGTTGGACTTTGAGGCAGCCCACTGCCGTTGGACATGGGCCGACCATCCATGGTCGTCCGAGGCATGACTGAAGAGATCTTTGCTGTTACAACAGCAGAAGAAAACTCAAAGGGACATCGGCTAGATAAATGAGGTGCAGTCCCCTGACTCTGGACAGTTTAAGACCGACGAGAAGGATGGGAGGGACGGGAGATTGAAGTTTCAGTTGGCTGCCGCTGCCATACGAATTGAGGAATTGAGCGAAAGAACTTTTTGATGCCAAGCCTTTTTTCTGGCTCACTGCCAGATCGCATCGACCCAATCAGAACCGAGGATGGCGTTAAGGGGCCCAGCAGTTGGCTCACCCCCCTGATTTAGCGATTTAGCCCACGCCGCCCTAAGGGATGCGGAGGCTATGCCCGGAAAGCCCTAGACCCGTCATTTCAGAGAAGGTACCTAGGTGGGCACTCCATACCTAGGTAGGTACCTAACATATAAGTATCTCCTACCTCACGTATAGGTACCTACCTTGGGCACCTAATACCTAACCTATGGGACCTGGTAGGGATGCAATCATTCTTATTACCTACCTCCATGTAGGCACTACTAGGTAAGATACGTTGAAGTCGATAGGATTTTAACAGGAGTTGTATAAATGTAGGCGCAAGCTAGCATGTCTACCTAGGTACCTATACACTGAAACAGCACAAACGTTACGGCTGGTCACCGCCACCAGTCGCCATCTTGCCCTCGCATCGAGCCCTCCTCAAGCGTCCCCCACGCTTTGCTGCACTGCGCTGCGCTGCACGACAGTCGGTTGTGCATAAGTGCACTGTCTGGCTGGCTGGCTGGCTGGCTGGCTGCAGCCTCCAATCACTGACGGCAACAACCCTACTTCTTGCGTCGATTCTTATCTTGATCGCTCCTTTTCGCGGTCGAGGATGGATGATGGATGCCGCCATCTCACCCATCGCTACTAAGATGGCAAATCGTGTTCCGCATGTTTGCAGGCCAAACCCGCAGGTGGGGGGCACGGCCTGCTGAAAGAGAGCCTGCGGCCGTTAATTTATCAATTAGCAGACCAACTCTGGAACCTCGACTGTCACTGTCAACAACTTAGAACTCACCATCTCTTTTCTTCCCACCCTCAAAGCCGGTCCCGATTTCCCTCGTCCATCGCAGTTTCTCTTGCACCTTGTGTTCTCTCCGTGTGTTTATATACTAGGTAGCATTGTTATGCATTGGACTTCGTTACCCACCGTCTTCCGCCACCGTTGTTTGACGCGTTCCACGCCCTCCCTGTCCAGTTATATCGTGTCCTGACCCTCACTCTTCGCCTTGCGCTGCTCCTGGAATCCTAGAACATGTTTTCCTCGCTGCGGCGACCAGCTCGAAGCAGACCGCACCGCGATAGTTCGCCGCGGTCTTCCTCATACGGCCCGACCTCAAGATCACCAGATGCTGCCCACAATAATACCCAAACCCACCAGAAACGACCCGGCCGCATGGAAGCAGATAATACAATTTATGAAGAGGCAGAGCAAGAGTCCGGCGATGAAGAGGAGGACTACTTCCCAGAAGAAGAGGAAGACGAGGAAGAAGAACACCAGGGCGACTCTGACGAGGATGGCCCAGACGATACGACACCGCTTCTTCCCATCTTCTCAGCTGCCCATCTTGATGCCCTCCCTGTTTTTGCTCTCACTCATGCGATTCGGATTTTGGTGACTTCTCGATGCGATACGGTCCTGACTTGGGAGCAGCTTCGGTCGCCTCAAGTCTCTCAATTCCTTCTCAAACCCATCGAACAAGAAATCCGCAGCAACCACCTAAATGCTGCCACACATTATGCTCTCATGGCCAATTGTCTCCAATACGGCAAGGAGGCCGCTGTCTCCGCCGTCAACAGTGGCACAAACAAAACCCGCGCTATGGTGTGTGAGCTCCTTGCCATCAAACTACTCAGAGACTTCTCGACTAGAGAATTAATCGATGCCCTGTCTTACGATTTCGATCCTCTGCAAGGCCAATTCGATACAGTCCCCGTGGATGATGAGGCCCGTCGAGGCACAGAACATCTGAGAAAGTCCACCCAGCGGCCGGCGCGAATCTCCTGTTTTGAAATTGCCATTCGTGCACAATCCAAGCGATTCCTATCCCATCCCTTGGTTGTCAAGCAGCTGGAGGCAATCTGGGCTGGCACCATCGTGTTCCATTCCGCCGCCGATCACCTGCATCGGAAACTTCCCCCGGCCAGGCAAGTCAAAAGCTATGGCACAACCCAAGGTTATTTCAGCGTCGGGACCGGGCCTGTGGCTGGAGATGCTCAGTTGCCACGACGAGCTGTAACGCTTTACAACCCTTGTGACGCCTCCCTTTTCAAGTTGTCGCGGCTGCGAGTACCTCGCTATCGGAACATGGTATCCACATTGTCCTTCGCGGTCCTGCTAAGTCTCTTCGTCGCTGTCCTGGTTCAACGCTCACTGGAAATTACAACGCTTGAAGTCGTGTTCTGGTTCTGGGCCGCCGGCTTCATGCTCGATGAGATCGTGGGCTTCAACGAACAGGGTTTCAGCCTGTACATTGCCAGTTTCTGGAACACTTTCGACCTTGGAATCCTCCTCATCTTGTTGGCCCATTTAGCTCTGCGAATCTATGGCATTGTCATGCCAGATGTCAAGAAGCACACAGTGGCAAACATGGCTTACGATGTGCTCGCTGCTGATGCTATTCTGCTCTTCCCAAGGTTGTTTTCCGTCCTGGACCACTATCGCTATTTTTCACCTCTCCTGATCGCCTTTCGATATATGGCTGCCGACCTCGCGGCGGTGTCTCTCCTTATCCTCATTAGCTGTAGCGGCTTCTTTGTCGCTCTGACACTGTCCTTCGGCAACGGGGGGGTAGATACCCCGAGCTCGGTTGCCTATGCGTTGCTCCAAATCGTCATGGGCTTCACTCCCGCCGCTTGGGACAGGTGGGACAAGTACAATGTCCTCGGGAGGATGATATTGACCTTGTTTCTGTTCATCTGTCATTTTCTTGTTGTCACAATTTTGATTACTGTCCTGACGAATTCTTTCATGGCCGTGGTCCAAAACGCGAACGAGGAGCACCAGTTTCTGTTCGCGGTCAACACCATCTCTCATGTCAAGTCTGACGCCCTGTTCTCCTATGTGGCTCCTACCAACGTCATTCAATGGCTCTTGGTTCCGTTGCGATATGTGGTCCCATTTCGGCAGTACGTCAAAGTCAACCGCACTGTGATCAAGGCCACACACTTCCCGATTTTATTCTCGATATTTTTGTACGAAAAGACAGTCTTGCAATCTACAGTTTTCGATACGATCGATCTTGTAGAACGTCGAGGACGCTCGAGAAGGACAACAACAAGACAACTTTCCCAGCTCAATCGTGCACCCTCGATCGCCACCTTCCGGCAGGACAAAGCTTTAGAGGAAGTGTTCCGGCAGCCCTACGACAGCACTATGCGTGGTGCTCGTCGCAGTCGGGACCATCGAAAGACAAGCAATGTTGTGAATACGTGGATGAAGGAGATTGGCGATGGTGTTGCAAGCCCGCCCCTTGAACAGGATAGACGGATTGTCGACAGGCTCGAGGGCAGGGCACCCGTTTCCAGGCTATTACGGCCAGTCAGCAGGGTCCGGACATTTTCTCGCCAGACCATGTCTATTGCGTCCGATCCAGAAGAGTTCGCAACCCATGCAGATTTCCTATCCCCAAATCGTGCGCGACCGATCCACAACAACACACGCAGCGTGCCTTTGGAAGAGCCTTCAGCACATACGGATGCCGAAGATGACGACGAGTTGCGGGGCAGCGAAGACATCGATCAAGAAGAGACCACCACATTAGACGGAGACTCCTCAGACGGGACTCAATCAGAAATCATACAGCGTTCCCGTAGCCTGGAATCTTACAAGGCCCCTACGACAGAGCAACTGCCCACCATTGTGGCAGCAACCACGGGTAGCCCGTCGCTGCCCGTGGTCCAGACAGGGCCTGTACGTGTCAGTAGCGACGCAGATTCTCCCCCCGGTCCGCCACCACAAGTCCGACCCCGTCAGCATTCCCGGAACCCTTCAAGTGCGACAATGATCTTCAGACCTGTGGCAGACTCGAGTACTGATAAGTCCTCTTCTACTGGAGAGTACAGGGGCCCCTCTAGTAGACCGCAGACCTCAGCGCCTGGTTCGGGGTTGCGGACACCAGTATCTAAGCCAGCCTCCGGCGGAGCTGGTCACCGGACGCCCAAGAGGACGACGGTCGGTCCTCCTCGACTAGCACCAAGCCTCCCAAGCAGAAACGACCCAGCGTTCCGATCCGCCCCCAATCTTGCCGAAGTGCGAGGTCAACGGAGCCACTCACGCCACAACTCACCGCTCGAGATGGATCTGGTATCGGACATTGGCGACAACAGGGCAATAGGTGGCGGGTACGTTGGCGCCCTGCCAGCCTCCTTCGCCGCTCAAATGTCACAAAGCCTGCTCGGATCAAGACACACAAAGGCACAACTCGAAGAACAAGAACTGTTGGCCAAAATCATGATGGCACGAATGAACAGTCTTGAGGAAGGCTTCAGGGAGGTGATCCATGAAATGCGCAGACAGGACAATACTAGAAGCAAAAGTCGTGGCAGGCCTGGCAGACCAGTGGTGAGAGAAAAGAGAGCCAAGGGCAAAGAAACTTACCAGTCAGCCACGGTTGGAGGTGAAAAGGAAGCCGTCGACCCCGACCCCAACCCCGACCTCGACCCTGCCACAAGTTCTGGCATGGTAGTACAAGGCTCTGAAGAGTACAATGCCGCGGAGAATATTGGTGGTGGCTCTGACCGGGCTGTAGGAAGGGATTCAGTTTGATTCGAGTGTCTGTTTTCTACGGCTGGCTTGCATTTTTGAGCAGCGTGAATACGATTCATTGGGCCGGTACATTTGGGATACCCCTAGCTACTTTGGCCAAGGGAGAGTTGCAACATCAGCTCGTTAATGGCAAAGCATGTACTAGATATTGGACGGCCATTGTCGCTATGCATCACGTTGGCATTTGCATTGTTTTTAATACGATGTTTCTAGTACGATCCTGTCGCCGTGGCAGACCTGAGGGAGTCGGGCTGTGCTTGTTCGAGGACATCAGCTTCTCATAGTTCCTCGGAAATGTCGATAAATCAGCAACACCTTCTGGCTTAGCTTGGCTGGTCCTGGCATGCAATCCATGAGGTCGAGAGACGGGCCGTGTTGAGCCTGGACGAAGCTGACATGGGGTAGTTTCTCTGTTGCGCCAGAGTCTCCGCACGTTGCACACGGCGGATTCTACAGACCAGGCTTACTATTAGTAGCCTTAGGGTTAGGGTTAGGGTTAGGGTAAGTCCTATGCCTCCTAAGCCCTGGTACGGTGGCGTTTCGGGCCCAGTTTAATGCACTCCGTAGGCAGTGTGACGCAGCCGCCAGGCGGCTTGAACAACAGCCCCAAGTGCTCAGACACCACCTTCTGTTCATTCATCCAGCATCCATCTACCTCTGCATCTAATCTGTCGCAGCTTCACAAACCTCAAAATCTCCAGGTGGACGAACGCAGTCTCCGATAGAGCTGCTCATCCTCTACCGCCGCGCCTCTCCAACCCGAATCCCATCCGCAGAAAGCCAATATGGCGTCGACCTCGGGGCAATCAAACCAGCTCTTGTAGTAGGTCTCGTGATTCAGGGTCTGTGATGGGCGTACTGACAGTGGCGACCAGTGCATGCATCGCGCATGGAAGCACCATCCTGACCGAACATACCTCTCCTGGCACTTCATCCTCCTCCGCCTCTTCCCTCGCTTCGGTGATTCTTCCCAAGATCTCGCATACGACTCCAGCAAAACTCACTTATACACACGAGCGGCTCTTTGTGCACTATATTGCGGACTCTCCCTCTTCATCATCTAACAGCCCTGATGAACAACTGTCGAGCCATGCAGCCCTTACCTATCTGGTGGTCGCGCAAACAGAGATGGGCAGGCGCATACCATTTGCATTCCTTCTGGACCTGAAGAAGAAGTATTTGGCGCAATACGATCCTGACTCTACGGACTTCCAGTCCCTACCGGCATATGGCACCGCAGCATTCAATTCTACGCTGAAAGCGATGTTACAACAATACAATACCGCGCCGCCCAGCGACGCCTTGACAAGTGCACGGAAAGAGATCGACAGCGTCCGGAACATCATGACGGAAAACATTGAGCGAGTACTGGAAAGAGGAGAACGCATTGATCTACTGGTGGACAAGACTGATCGGTTGGGCGGCAGCGCGCGCGATTTTCGAGTGCGCAGCCGGGGACTACGAAGGCAGATGTGGTGGAAGAATGTGCGAGTGATGGCGCTGCTGGTGGTAGTGGTCATCTTCTTGGTATACCTATTCGTCGGGTTCGGCTGTGGCCTACCAGCATGGGGAAAGTGTGTGGGCTGATTCACGTACCTGGACTGGCAGCCAGCAAGGAGTTCGGAGTTGGGAATTGCACAACATGCTCTCTCTCGGGTACAATCGGCGTTCATACGGGTATCACTGGAATCGGCAATCAGTTCAAAAGCGTGGATCTTGCAGGAAGCCACGGTCGGTTGTCTGTCTGTCCGTCTGTCCGTCTGTCTCTCGGTGTGTCCTATCGGTCGCTATTGAAACTGGCTCGCCATCATACCAGGTCCCTTTCCTGTCTGGCCTCACACGAAAGTGGTCTAGTCTGCCCTATCCGTACCTAACAGCGTACTAGCTGTGCTAGCAATTGCTAGTCGTAGTGTTATTGATACCTAGATATCTAGGTAGTTATGAGTTATGTGCACGTGACCCAGAATCTGGGGCAGATGTTGGATGCTGGATGCGGGTTCCATTCTTCAATTGCCCTTTCTCTTACTTGATTCTTCGCCTGCGACACATGCTGCCTCAATGACCCTTCGACGCCAGCGAACGATCGCATTCCCTCTGGTGGCAGGAATGGTGACAACTGCACCCGTCTTCGTCTTCGGATGCTGACCTTTGACCTTGCGCAGAGAGAAGAACCGGACCGTTCAACTCCTCCGCGGCGTAAAGGCGTCTCAGACGCATCTACGAATGGACAGCAGCAGCGCCCTGGTCTACTCGCAGCAACAAACAATGAAGCTGTGATACAGCGCAGGGAGGCGGGACAGCGCCCTCGTTAAGGCCAGCCGCTCTCGATCGAATCAACCAGCTGGTCGACATCCCCACCATGCGGCCTCCCCAGGGCCCTCCCAGATCAGGCAGACACACTGCACCAAACACTTGAACAAAGCACTACACTCGCAACCCCCTCGCTCTCTCGCTCTCTCGCTCTCTCGCTCTCTCTGGTCCCTTCCTGCAGCCTCAATCACCTGTCCTTGTCCGTCCTTGTCCGTCCTTTCACTCCAATCCCTTCTTGTCAAAATCTTTCAATAAGTCGGCCTGTAGCCTAGCCAAACTGCCCTCCGTCTTGCCGCCTCCGTAACACCTTTTCAGCCTTAGGCCTGCTTACACCTCGCAAAGATCAAGATCGAATTGTTGCTACAGATAATCACGGGTTCATCGCAGTCATACCACACTAGCCTTCTCCCACCCTGTTTGGTCGTCACACGGCTCTTCATCACGAAAGCCAGACCGACATCACTGCCCTCTACAACAGTGCCGACTCGTTTTGTTTTATGGCTTGAAACACCGCAAATATGACGTCGCCGCACTCCCCAGTCCCACCCGTGACAGGTTTCAATGCTGCTCAAAATCCAGGGCCCAGCCTGTCAACATCTCAATCTCAGCCTTGCCCCGACAACGTCACCGGTACCCAGAACACAGTGTCCGTACGTCCCCCAACAGTTGTTCAAGGCCAGTCCAACGATGACAGAGCTTATCAAGAAGGTGTTAGACTGTCCCTTCAAGATCAGAACAGAACGCACTCCACAGCCAAACAGGGTGCCGAACTCGACAATCTAATATTCAGCCTCAACAATGAGTTCCCTCTTTTGGATGATCCAGAAGGCGATACGGTCATCTACTTGGGCCCCCCCCCTAAAATGCCAGAACAGACTGACAAGGAATATCAATATATTGTCAATCACTTTGACCATGTTTATGTGGTCAAAAGTACGACACTAAGGCTCATGGGCGAGTCCTCGAGGTTCAACGACCGCGACCTCTTAGGTCCCAAGTCGGTACGCACGGAGCGAATTTTGCGAAAGTTAGGCATCCTGGCCAAGGCAGAGGCGAAGAAGGGTCAGAAATTCAAATACCACATTGACCTCCGTCCGCCCAACGAAGGTGATGAGGCCGTCTTTCTCCTCACTGAGTTGACATGTTCTAGAGGTGTTCTGACTTGGCATCTGGCTTTCGACAAATACGGACTGCCGCCACTCGCCGTTTCAGGCCACGATGGATATGGAGACTGTCCACAGGCTGTGAATGACCCCAGTCCATCAGGCTCTTCCCGTGCCACAACTACAAAAACAAACGTCTCCAGCGCCTCTCACCCGGTATCCAAGCATGTACCCTCGGGCACGGAAGCAGCTCCTCCCGTTGACGCCCCATTACTCAAGATTGGCCCAGAGTACTCTCCCATCCGCCATTGGTCTGCCATCGAACGTCTTCTTCATGCTATCCACGGCAACGATCCAAAACTTGATTCCGCAGCCAAGGTCTGGACCTACTTCGCCATTGCTAGATATTTTCGCTGTGCTCATCATGAACGGGTCTCTGGGTGGATCACAGCTTGGATCTACGAAAACAACAACGTGGATTTCATCCAAAACAATCCTGAAGTGGCATATCGAATGGGAATGGGAATCAGATCATCGGTCCTCGTACAAGATGCATTCTCCATTCTCGTCGGAGAGAGAGCTCTGACTAACGTGCTTGGAGAATTCAATCCAGCCATCCTCTCTCCGCTCGACCAGAGCGTGCATGGGCGCAAGCTCGAACTCCTAGGGGATGATGAGCGTAACCGCATTGACCACGCAGCCGCTTCTTTTGTCACAAGAATCCGAGGGGTTGTACACTACCTTTGCCAAGACATGGGCTGGCTGCTCAAGTGTAGAAGTTACGCACTCCTCAACGAGGCTGGTAAAGTGACTCCTACGGAGCTTGAGCTGCTAGAGTCGACGAAGCATCTTGTCAAAGAGTACATCCGGTCTCGGATTTATTATGTTCTTTGCCAGGATCAAGGCACTTTTTCCGAGCTGGAAGGCGATCCAGAGTCAACTCTCCCGTTTCGGCCAAGTACAGGAGAGCACTACCATTCAGTGTACAATTCTCTCAACCAGCCCATGAGGATGTTTACCAAGACCTTCTGGCTTGCACTGCAACGCACAGACTTCGGAGCAGCTTCACACAACACTACACACAAAGGTACAGTCGGCATCCACACTAACACCTCGCCTTATATTGACGCGCTTCGCGAGCTCTGTCGGGATGATCCGGAAAATAGAATCAAACCCATCTCACGAAGTACTCTCGACAAAAAGATTGCTGCCGTCAATCGGATCCTGTGGAGAGTGCCTCTCGATGAGGGGACCCAGGCACGGCTGGACCTCCTGAGTGGATTCGGGAAGATCCCAGAGAGGCACGCGGAATCAACACAAGTGGAAGCAATTCCATCGGGAATTCCAAAGCACAGCTTTGACAGGTCTGAGCACTCTTCACCTGATGTTTCGCTGGCGAAACGTCGGAAGACTCTCGAATCAAAGGATATGCCGCAAAATCTACCATCCGCCAGCAGGACTAGCCTTTTTTCTGCATCGCAAGACCGAAGTCCTGTGAAGTCGCGCAAGACAAGTGGTCTGAATACATATGGGAATCGGAGCTCGCCGATGCCAAAGGATGATCAGCCCGCCGTTGCTCATAGGCCGAAACAGAAAGGTGTGCTTGAAAATGTCAGAACCTACGTCCAGAATCATATCTCCCGCCCAAGCGAGCAGGCAGACGAAGATCAGGAGCCCCTTATGCACCAAATCCGAAGTACATCTGGTCCTCAAACTCACGCTCATAGTCCTGAGCCCTCGGTGAGCGACGTCCAAAGTACCAACGACGCTTCTGGGCCCGAGCCTGACCCCCCAACTGCTGGATTTCCTATTGAGCCGACAACGGCAGCAGTAGTAGAGGCTTCCCATTCTCTGGACATGCAATTCAACGCGTGGAAAGGCATTTGGGAAGACTGGGGAACGCCTGAGAAGAGCGAAAAGGACGCTTTCATGGCATGGGGCGACGATCCCACTAATACCACCAACACCACATGGACCTTGGCCTATCCCATCAGCCCAGCAACCCTGCTTCACCAAGTCAACAACGAGATCTCCAACCTCTGCTCCACCATTCTGTACCCTTCTCATCTGTTCCACCAGAGCGGTCTGCTTCCGACCAATCTTTTCGACAACCTGCTTTGTCTTGACGCGAACGAGTTCCGATATCTACCACTGTGGAACCCCGACGGACTCGATGACGGTTCAGGAGGAGTTTTTGACGAATGCCCCGTCCCCAACCTCGACCCACTGAGCTCCAGATATGAACCCTTCGCAGCTGGACGAATCAGGGCGCCATACGACCAGGACCAGAATCGAGAGACCGATTCCGAATTTACCGACATTGCCAGCGAGGCTATTAGTACCGTTGGGAAGGCTAGTAAGCTCGCTACAGACGGCACCGAGACCGTCAAAAGTTTGTCAAGCATTAGCCTTGGCGAGTCTGCGCGAGGGGACGGCGACGACGACGGCGAGACGGTGGTGCTGAGCTGCGGATTGGGCAGTGTCGTGCAAGGGCTGCATGACATGGAGATAACTCGCGCGGACAATGAAAGAGACACAGCCGTCGGCATGAGCGACGACGATGTTGAAGCAGGAGACGGTGTCGAGGACAAACCTGAAGACGACGATGGACTGTATGAGGACGATGACGATGACGATTACAATGACGGTTATGGCGGAGATGATGACACCAATACTATGAACGGGCATCAAGAGACCTCGACGACCTTACAGCCCTCCCCCACTTCGACTGGTGACCGCGGTGACAGGGACGACTTTGAATGGTTGTGAACGCAGACCACCCAAGGCCCAGATTAGGGTGTCGCTGAGATATGTTTCATGTATCTTGCGTTGTGGACTACGCTTGCCCAGGTGTCTGTCCATATGGGACCTTCAAAGTGAAGCTCTTTTCGCGTCAACGAGCACAGAGTACTCAGATTTCTGTGCCCACAAGGCCCTTGGCCCGATAAACGTGCAGTTGCGGCGACGGTGTGGCTCCGAGTCTGAAAAAGAGCAGAAGTCAGGTGGACGAAGCAGTCGAGCTGGGATGGTGATCATTTATGCGGACTTTGAATTGATGGATGACATGAAGATGGCCGTGGAAATCGTTTTTTAAGACATGCGAGAAACTGAGCGACTTGACCTAACGCAAGACGACTGGTTGTTCGTTGAAACTTAATTCACTTGAAGTATCTTTGTTGATCTGAGTTTCCTGCGTACATATCTCTGTTTGCTCAGCCGTGAATCTAATCCACCGCCAACCCACTAAGGTAAAAGGTACATGGTACATAGCCGACGTCACCTTTGCAAGGCATTGTTGTTTTGGCCCCCTTGACCCAGCCCTGCCCAAATTCCATGATTCGTCCGATCCCTTCTCCACGCAAACTAGGAACACAATCTGTATGAATGCAAACACGGGGGAAGATGCAAAACTGCCCTGTGGGGGGTATTCGGAGCCAATTGCTTGCCGAGAAGAGGACTACTGAAAACCCATCCTCTCAACTTGGTGAGTACTGGCAGCACCATCGAGGGCTCTCCATCCCGCCCCTGCCAGCGATCGCGGGTGCTCACTGATACGGGTGTCAGTCCGAACACGTTTAGCAGATAAATTCGACGTCGCTCACTGAAATCTCGTCCATTCCCATGTCATCACCAGTGTTGGCGGCCGGGGCGGCACCGTTGGTGGCGGGACCTTCAGTAGAAGCTCCAGCGGCAGACGGGTTGTTGCCGGCCCAGTAATCCGTCATCTCGGCGTCGAGTTCCTCGGCAGTCTTTTGCTTTGGTCGGGGGTTGCGACCACGCTTTGGCTTTCCAGCCTTGCCGGCAGGTCGTCCTTTGGCCCCATCCTTTCCAGTAACTTTCTTATCGGCGGTAGCGGATTTTGGTTGTGCTTTGGGATTTGCGCTGGTCTTCGTCAGTGGCTCCGACTTGGCCGAGCGTTTTGGATCTGCGTACGCAACACGATCCGCGAGCGACTTTGCTGCAATTGGCTCCGGCACCTTGCTGGCGTCCACCACCACTTCAATCTAGTCGAGGTCAGGTGAGGTTCGGGAACGGTGAGGAGGTCGTGCTTGCCTTCATCGGTCGCTTGTCAACCAGCATTCCATTGAGATCCTTGGCTGCTTTGGCCGCGGAGTCTGGCGCTGAGAAGAGGATGTCGGCAATGCCACGGCTCTGACCATTTTGGTTGTACTGCAAGGAGACTTTCTTGACTTTGCCTACAGATTTGGTGAAGTATTCCTATGGGTTCCCAGAGTGATCAGTAATTTGCTGAAATAAAAGCAACTGCAGTTCTTCCGCATCCTCGTCTCCGATGTAATAGATAAAAGATGTGTCCTCGGTAGAGTATGATCCAGGTACGTATCCTTAGAAGGAGCATCAGCGAGTGCACAGTACAAAGAGCAACAGCAGTCGGCGGTTGGAGTCCGCAGTGAATATGGAACGTCCGAGATTGCGAATCGAAGTATTTAGTGGCCATGGTGGCTGAATACGGTAAGGTTTGTGAGGTCTCGCTGGACGACAGTTGCGAATGGCCTTTGGATCGATCGTTACAGCAACTGCCGGAGCGGTGGAGAGAAGAGTATTGCCTGACTCTGCAGTTACTGATTGGTTGGTGTGGAAGGTCTTTCGCAGGGAAGTTCTTCAAGAGCATAGTCCAAGATAGGTACAGGTCGGATTTGGTGAGATATGGTGGCCATGATGGCGGTGTAGCTGAACTTTCCATGTCTAGCTGTAAAGGGTGGATGCGACTAATGCCGTGTTGCGGTTGTTCGGAAAGGCCACGCTGCTGTGCTTTTTGTAGACTGCAATGCAAACTCGCTGATGCTCCAAACGAAGAAGGGATAAGGACATCAATAGCGTCTCAGCATATTGAAGATCCGGTAGGCAGATCTGCTTCAGCACCCTACGCGGTGGCTAACCGGAGGGCCGAAATTTGCAAGACCAAAGGCCATCTGGCTCGGTGCAACGCGTCGCGAATGTGATTTGCGAGCGGAGCGTGGAGTTCAAGACGCCTGCCTCAAACAATGCCAGCCATTTTAGCGTGGCAGTAAGGTCCTCGGGTATGATCTCTCCAGTCTCGACATCTTCTTCATCTCTTCCTTTTAGACTTTCATCGTCTCGGAAGCGTCTCCATAGGAGTGAAAGAATAGCAGGTGATGACGAGTGGCGATGGAAATCCAAGGTCGAAAGCCTCTTTATCAACATACCTTGATCTGGGCTTCGTTCACGTCGTAGGGCTGTGAGAGCGCGTTAGTTGATATTGTAATGAGGGAGAGGTTATTGTTGTAAACCATACCAGTCCACTAACGACGATCTTGCTTGATCTTGCTTGCGCTAAGCTGCCGGCAGCAGGTTTGATGGCAGACTTGACTGGTCTGGTCGACTTCTTGACACCTCCAACGGGAGCGGTTGGGCCAGTTCCCTTTCCCACTTTGCGACGACGGACCTCACGCTTCGCCTTCTTCTGGCTATCGATAATGGAATCGAGAGATTGATCTAGCCGGCCAGACATCTTGAACTTGTGGGGAGAGATGAGTCAGAGATGAAAGCGTAACGTTGAAGGAGGGGTTTTGTGGAGGATGAGACTGATTGCTGTGAAACAAGTCGCGCGGGTCAGGTTCAAGTGAGAGAAGGTGTTAAGAGTGGCGGGAGTTGCAGTTGACACGTCAACTATCAAGGCTCGACGAGATGGAGAAGATTCCAAGAGGCAAAGTGGTGATGGATGCGAGCAGAAACGTGGTCGTTAGGAGATGATGAGATGGAATGAAGAATGCAGAAGTGCAGGCGGCTGGGCGAAGGAGCAAGGCAGACAAAGCAGCAGAGTCACGGAGGCGCAGGGGGCGAATTTGACACAGGAGGCAGCAGCCTTCACCAGCCACACCACTAGGCCGTTTTCGGACGGCACAACGCGGTCACGTGATACATCGCGTCTGGAATACACCAAATTTGTTCTGGAAGGCCAACGGAAACGCAGGCTATATGTTGTCCGCCCCGAAGACTGGTATATGGTTGTAGTTCATGCCAACAAGGTGGCCGACCTCCACCGGAAGCAAGAACCCCATCAAACGCCGCATGTCTCGTGGTTGCGGATTGGCAATGTTAACCCGCTCTCCAGGTGCTCAGCAGGTGGTCTGCTTCATCCCATCACTGGTGTACCTATCCTAACTCTTCAGTGCTTCTAACCTCCCTCGCATCTGCTCCAGCTCTGCCTCTCTGTCCTCGTTGTTTTCTTCCTCCTCTTCCTCCACAGGGAGTTGTGGTACCTGCTGTGTAGGAGTAGCCAGTTTCCCCTTGAGAACCTCTCCCAGCACTTTATCAACTTCTGTCTCTGCCTCCTCGTCTTCTGCCTCCAACAACTCGTCATTGGGCAGAACATCGTCGACCATCTCTTCGATGATCCCCGCCTTCATCAATTCTTGGCTAAGTTCTTGCATCGTGCCCGTCAACTCGGGCAACCGAACCAGGGTGTTGACATCCTTCATAATGCCCGTACTAGCCTTAAGACTGCCTTCGATCTTGCGCACAGAGAAAGCTTCATTGACCTGCATCTCCACACTCTGCAGCTGTGCTTTGCTTGTGTGTAATCTTGCCGCCTGTTTCCGGATCCTGATCAACTCGCGGGCAAATATTCGGGCTTCGGCTGCGCCCTGTTTGGCCTGCGACGGGTTCTTTTGTCCTCTTTTTGACGCATTTAGAATCAATGTCTTCGTCTTTTGCTCCGTCACTTTGAGATTGTTAATGTCACGGTCCAAGGCGCGAACATTTTTGCGGATAATGTTGCTGCACTTCCGCTTCTGCGATAGAGTCAGCCACACCGGTCTGTGTAAGGCGTAGGAACCAATAGCTGCACCTCACCTGCTCCTGGGGATCCGGCTTGAAAAACACCGCCTTGAATGATTGCATTATGATGATAGTAAAAATGAATTGTATGCGCGTCCGAATAGCATCTGTCTGTTCCTGGTGGCAGACTTCTAGGCACTATCATGCAAGACGGCTATCGACCCATGGTGGAAGTCAACTAAGGCTCGTACCACTCCGGCAAGGAGAGGCGGTGCTGTTGGATGGCGCGGTGGATGGTAGCTACCGTGAGGACGACTTGAGAACGCAGATGAACCGGTGATACCGGACCAAACTGGACGTTTGTAGGGCTGATGGGAGTACGGATACTGTAGATCGAGTGCCCCAACAGGCAAGATAAGGGCACTTAAAGGGCAGTCTGGAATAAAGCGTCCTTTAGTGCAAGTGGCCGGTCGTACTACTGTGTCACAGATAGTCGAAGGCGGGGGGAGAAGGTGCAGTGCCTGAGGCGCAGTGCCCGTCTACTACTACTAGGCTGCCTGGAAAAAAGGCGATGATGACAGACATCCGTGGGCTGCGGGACAACCAAGCTACTACTACGGAGTACTAGTAGCAGGCCACACCAGCTTGGTGGGTATTTTCGATGTCATTCGTCGCAATTCGAACAGCCTCGTCGTTACTCAAGTAATTGCCCACACAAACGGTGAACAACTTACCAGCCAAAGCCAAAGCCCTTTTGCTTCCTCTTCGCCGTCTTTCTATTTAGGTTCATCGCACCCTCCCGTTGAACAGCTTCCTCACTTCTGTCTACGGTATCGCACAACTCAACCTAAAGTACATACATACTCCCTCTCTCTCTCTGCCTGAAACATCTTGAAGATGTCGTCTCAGGTCACTCCAGAAGGTACGTCCTACAATTCCATGTCCCGCCCGTCGGGTCGAGACTAGCCTCGCAAGCCGTTATCACGAGCATCATGAACTCGGATGATTGACTGACGTTCGTTTCTTCTAGTCCTATGGGCTCAGCGCTCCTCGGCCGCGGAGCCTGAGAAGAACTACGTCTACCTGACAATCAACGTTCCCGATGTGCCTCCCAAGAATCTCAAGCTCGATCTCAAGCCCACGGGCCTTTCCTTCACAGGCACGTCAGATAGCAAGAAGACTACCTACCACCTCGAGTTGGAGTTCTACAGCGAGATTGACGTTGAGAATTCCAAGACGAACCACACTGGAGCCAACATCCAGATGGTTTTGAGAAAGAAGGAGCTCAAGGAGGAATACTGGCCACGGCTACTTAAGAATTCCGCTAAAGTCCACTGGTTGCGAACAGACTTCGACAAGGTATGTCAGAGTTGCCGTCTAACAATAATCTTGGTGGTCTATGTACTGATTCTCATTTTTAGTGGGTCGATGAAGACGAACAAAATGAAGCACCGGAGGACGACTACTTGAACCAGTTCGGAGGTGGCGGTCTCGGCGAAGATGGCGGCTTCGGGGGCATTGATTTCTCCAAGCTCGGAGGTGGCGGTGACGATGCAGGATTGGAAGGCCTTGGCGGAGTGGAAGGTGAAGGTGAAGGTGGTGACGAGGATGAGGATGAAATGCCCGACCTGGAAGAGGACAAAGATGATGGTGCAGAGGGGGCCAAAGGCAAGGGCAAGGATGCAGATGCCGCCTAAATTGCGAGTTCCAAATGGCAGCACAATCGATGCACCGTCCGGAGAGAAGCGTTGACCTTACGACTTCTCCAACCCTCAAAATGCTGCATCATTACGACTCTATCACCTCTTTTACCATCCTGACCGCCCCGAACTATGGACCTTACGAGCGCTTGTGTATCCTCGTTGCCTAGATCCACTACCGCGCGTGTCTTTCATTAACGAACTGTGGTCGGATCGAATGACAATCTCAACAAAAGCACGAGTATGGAATAACGGGGGGCTTGAAGCGGAATTACACCGATGAAAATCTTCCTGGACATGATATCGGATCACTTATGGCTGCTGAGACTCCCCATTCAAGTCTTGTTGGATGGTCACGGGCTCATGGTGTTGGGTATCAAGAGGAATCAACTCTACCGGGCCAGATAGTTGTCAACCAGTCATTCATCAGAAATGCTCCTTTCTCTTAACCTACGTAGGACCTTTATTTTAGAGGACGAGAAGACCGACTTTTGCTTGCTTGCTATGGATCATTGGATATAGTACAGTAAAGGGCACCTCGGGGAAAGTCATGCTGCCCACAACGAGGCGTCCTGCGCCGTGGACTCCAATAAGACCTTGAAGCATGACGCTTCTCCTCAGTGTGCGCGCTTAGATGTAGATTATAGATGTAGTGCGCAGTGTTTGATTGTGCTGTAGACTTCACGTGTCATGAAAAACAGCTACCATACACGTCGTATGTGATTCGATTTGGCTTGATTCGTCATACGTTTGCAGTATGGTCTTGAAGTCTATCGCATGACGGCCGGTGTACCTAGACAGTAGTGGTAGTGGTGCGCGCGATTGCGCCAACCCGTCGATATTTCGTAAGGTCGGTGGCCGCCCCTGCTGTGTGTCTAGGTACGTGGGCATGTTGGTGCTCAATGAGAAGAGGCAGGATGGCTCGGGTCAATCAGCGTCACACATTCTGTGAAAGACCAAAACAACAAGACATATAGGCCACCCTATTCTGTCCATGTAGGCCAATTACTGATTTCTTCTGCGGTCCCAGGCACTTGACCCTGAGCCTGATTCTGTGGCGTTGTCTTGACCGGATTCCACGGCGCGCATTCCTCTGCTGTATTCGTCGCTCCCGCTCAAGCGTCGCTCTCTTTCAAGCATCTCGTCAAATTCCTTTTGAGACAATTTCTCAGTCGTTTGCCCTGGTGATTGCTCCGGCGTTCCTCTGCTCCCCCACCATTCTTTTGAGCTTGATTCTTCTGTCGACTCCGACTGCAGCTCCGACTCGGATCCAGGTGGCCCTGATCGCTGCGTGTTGCTTGGCCTGTTGCCACTGCGAATACGGGCCCAGGCGCTGCGTGTTTGGGGGGTAGATGTCGCGGTGGGGGAAATAGAAGCCCAATTTCCAGCTTTAGGAGATGCATCGTCGTCGAAGAATGGGTCTGATCCAAAGGAGCGGTCCTGACGTTCAGGTTGAGTCTGCTGCGTTGGCGCCGAACGCTTGGTGTAGGACGAGTTACCAGATATGGCGGACTCTTGACTTCGCCAACTGGAATCACTCACCAACCCAGTGTCTGTCAAGCCTTCACCTTCACCCTCGTATTGATGAGTAGCAGAGTAATCATATGGTGCACCGGTCTCTCTGGTTTGGTAGTGATCTTGCTGTTCTGAGCCGCTGTATTGGCTTTCGCTCCGTGCCTGCCGCCTAGGCTGCCGCTGAATGATGCCTGCAGGTTGTGAGCCACCATCTGCCTTAGCTCGGTCGGAGGAATTTTTATCAGGACGAAACGTTTGTATAACGCGCTGAGTACGTTCGTCCAAGTAGATTCCGCTCCATGCTGCAAAGTTGCCCATGGATGAAAATATAGGCGTCAAACCCACGATAAACAAGCCAGCCCACATATTGGCCCGTGTAATATGCCACAGAATCTGTGCATATCTCCCTTGTACAAGGGGAAGGTGGCGGGTAGGAAAATTGTTATATCTTTCCAAGGGCTTCGGTGACATAAAAGGGAACTTCATTTTCTCTCGGTTTCTGTAGGCAATGAACCCACCCAAGGAGCACGCCACGAAGTCTCCCCTCAGCCTGTAGAGCGAGGCCTTTGCCATGTGATACGTTATCCCTTCAGCCTCTCTTTGCGTGACTGGTTCGTGGCTGACCTCTTCCACTTTACGGATCACGTCGAGCACTTGAGAACCCGTCGTCCTTGCCCTCTTTGGGCCGCCATACAGCAGCCATCTTGAGAAGCCCCTTAACGGCATAGACTCGAAGGGAAGCCGGTACATTAATGATGTACCGTTGAGCTCATAGCCCAGTTGAAGGACCTCCGATTCCACCGTAACACTATATTTTGACCTTATCTTCATAATCTGAGCCATAGCTGCCGGTCCACCAGCAGAGTCGCCACGTTGTACTGGTCGGGCACCTGGGCCCATTGAGGGCGGCACGTTGGACGGTGGAGGATCTTGAGATGCCATGATGCGAAGTCGCAGGAAGTCGACGGTGGTAGCCTAATGCAGAAGACTAGAGGTAGTTTATACTGCTGATACTTTCATTGTCATCCAAGAGGGGGCATGCGACAAAATGTAGCTCGTGGAATAAAGCAATGCCTTGATGAAGTTCCCGAGTGCCTTGGTGGTCTGGTGGTCTCATGCTCACTTCTGACGTCGGCCATTCACTTCCCCACAAGACCAGCAAGACGCACCCAAAACCCAACAGCCACCGGCAAAATAGTGCGCAGCCCACCACTGAACTCTTCTACGCCGTCGACAACCCCTTCATTCATTTCGGGCTGTATCAGCGAGACTGCCGCGACAATTGGCGTCGATAATCTTGTCTCAAATTTCAATTCATTCCCATTCTTTCCTGCCTCGGACTTGGCCAACAACCGCTGACGATAAAAAGCTTTGGCGCTGCCGTCTTCGACGATTTTGAACCCCTCCATAGCAGATATTTGGCGGACAGTGCATCCCAAATCATCAATATGGCTCCAAAAGCAAAGGGCGGCGATCAGCCCAAGAAAACGAAAGCCACAGTGGATGACAAGACCTTTGGCATGAAAAACAAAAAGGGTGGCAGTGCGAAAAAACAAATTGCACAGCTCCAAGCGCAGGCCAAATCAAATAAGACTCCTGAAGAGAAGAGGAAAGAAGCCTTGAAGGAGCAAAGAGAAAAAGAGAAAGCCGCCGCGGAGGCGGCGAAAGCAGAAGCTGCGGAACTGTTCAAGCCGCTTCAGATCCAGAAAGTGCCCTTTGGCGTCGATCCCAAGACTGTGCTGTGCCAATTTTTCAAACAAGGCCATTGTGAGAAGGGGAAGAAATGCAAATTCAGCCATGATCTCGACGTGGGCAAAAAGGTCTCGAAGAGGGATGTGTATCAAGACACTCGGGACCAAGAGTCAGAGGACAAGGAGAAGGACAAGATGGATGATTGGGACGAAGAGAAGCTACGCAAAGTTGTGCTCAGTAAACACGGCAACCCACGGACAACGACGGACAAGGTGTGCAAATATTTTATTCAAGCGGTCGAAGACGGTAAATATGGCTGGTTTTGGACATGCCCCAACGGAGGAGATAAATGCATGTACCGACACAGTCTGCCACCTGGGTATGAGGATATCTTTCTTCTGCTTTTCTGGGCTTTACTAACTTGCTTTCAGCTTTGTATTAAAGACTAAGGAACAGAGACGTGCTGAGAAGGCTCTGATGGACAAGTCGCCGATGAACACACTGACGTTGGAGGACTTCCTGGAGTCAGAACGTCACAAATTAAGCGGAACCCTAACTCCTGTGACGCCGGAAACATTCGCAAAATGGAAGAAAGAGCGTCTGGACAAGAAGGCTGCCGAAGATCAGGCTCGGCAGGCCAAGGAGGCCACCGGCAGAGCCATGTTTGAAAGCGGGAACTGGAAGGATTCGGAAGATGAGGACGACGAAGATGACGAGGACGATGAGGGGGGCGATCAGGACGCATGGGACCTTGAGAACATGCGCAAAGAAACAGAGAGGCTGCGGACGCAGCAGGAAGAAGACCGATTGGCGAAGGCAAACGGTGAACCGGTGCCGGATCGAAACATCGACACAAACAGCCACGCGGATGAAGGTGACGGCGATACTGGAGATGGCGATGGCAACGGAGAAAGCAGTGCTGGGCAGAGCTGAATCTGACACAAGATCCCTGGATCCCAGGGCGACGACCATCAATTCATTTCGCGTTTCTTAGCGACCAAGCTGCCGGATCTGGCAGAGTTGACGAAGGAGTTTCTGATTTGAGGGTCTACCACCACGGGTTTTCGAAACGTGCTGGAGGAACACTCGAGCAAAAGCCACGGTTGGTAACCGTTCAGCGTCGTTCGGACTAGATACGAGAGGACGATGAACGAATATGAATTTATATACGTACACCTCACCAAGGGAATACTATCACACGCCACCAAGAATTGCAGCTGAGTGACACTGCGCTACATCTCCCGACCTGTAAGCAGGCTGTAACTGCAGGCATATGTATATCTCAATACTCTACCTACCTTAGTAAGGGTGTATAGACAGATAGCAGTACCTTGGTACCTGACCTACACACTCCCAGCTCCATGCTGGTGCCGGCTGACTGACTTCGATTGTTCCCCGCAAAATGCTCCTCGGCTGTCGTACTCCATTTCAGCTTTTCCCCGATGCCTTGAACCTCGAACCTCGCATCATCCAACGCCTATCGCCCTGCCTGCGGCTGTACAGTACTCCTCCTGCTGGGTTCTCGCTTCAGAGTCGAACACAGGACCGGGACCTGCGAGATTCACCCCGCTTTACAAGAGCCGCTTCGAACCCATGTCTTGTCTCCGTGCTTCCTCCTCTTGAAGACAACCAGAACCAAAGGGCGTGACCGTGACCTGAGCTTGCGGCCGGTTTGTGAGGAATAATCCCCTTATCCTGCCCTAGTGCGTCCTCCTACCAGAGGTGCCTTCCAAGCTGGTTCGGAACACTCGACACACACGCGCATCACCTTGATACACCGCCAACAATGCCTCAACCGCACCCGCAACCGCAACCGCAAAGCTCAATACCAGGATACCGCCCTAGTCCATTTCTCTCGTTCGTTCGCCCCCCTCTGCCCTTTCCCCCACCTGTCCTGAAGTATAGCGGGCCACAGGAACTAACAATGTGTCTGCACTAGCCGGCCAAAGAAGTTCCTCCTAGCTTCCGTCTTCGTCGTCCCATTATGCAGCTACATATGGCTCCGGCGGCTCGAAGCCAACTCCAGAGAACAAACAAGGCTCCTTGAGGAAGAAGGACGCCGGAACTGGATCCAAGCCGAGCGAGACCGCTCTGGGCGCAGGGACTTGAGTGTCCCCGTGGGAAGAAGTGGCGGTGGCGTCTAGACAAACACCGCGCTCCTCGACCAAGCACTGAGGTTCCGTCTTGAGAGACCGATCAAAGCACACAAACACTCCAACAGCTCGACAATGGGCTCGAAAGAACAGACAAAAGAAGGCGACACGTCGCACCAACCAGCCAGTCGTCCCCCGCAACCTAAGACTTATGCCATTTCAAGACCTGTGCTACACCCTCTCAGCAAATGCTAACCCGGATGTTGCACGTATTATATTATGCCATTACCCAGAGCGGTCTCGAAGCCAGCCAACGACTGTAGTCTACTGCCGTCAACTCCTCTCTCCACAGTCTTCAGATACGAGACATCTCTCGGCCTACGACAGCTCGAGCTGCTAGCAATGCAACGATGAGCGGAATAAACACCGAATCAACCGATCAGATGGGAAATTCCCGACAAGATCTCAGTCGGGCACAATGGAATGGGGAATGGGTAGCCAGTCGGGCACAATGAATGGGTAATGCGCGCCTCAAGCACTGGTTCGTTTTATGTTGAGGTCTCGCCAGAATCTAACTGCCTCGTGTGCGTATGGTTGATGGCTGTCGTTGACTTCAGGCCAAACCGAAGTCTTCCGATGCATCAGGGTCGCCTGGGCTCCATCTCCCAAGCACATCCGCCGTTCCGCATCAGCTCGGTGGGCGAAAGATGCGACGTGTACAGAGCATAGGGCGGGTTTCAAGAAATCACGAACATAGGAATTCATATCGCAGTGGAGTGGGCGTCTTAGTCTTAAGAGGGACGGTGTCCTCAATCAGATGTCCCAAGCAATTTCCGACCATGCCTTGATCATTTAATCAATGACTTCAATCCTGGAGTAGGATGGCGAGGAGCGTCGCCCATTCAAGGCCTTAGGCTCCTCGATGTTGGTCTTCACCGAACCTCCACCGGTGCTCGTGTCTTCGGTGCACTGAAGGGTGCCTCTGATGGCGGTCTTTACATCCCTCCCTGGGAAGGGACGGTCAGGCTCCAACAGATATGTCATCATTCTTCACTGTCACAGCCGGAATGACCCATGACCCATGACTTCTCCTACACAGTTATCGCGTTGTTCACTTCGAGCCTAAGCCATTGATTCTCAGCTGCTTACCCCCCTTTCCACCTCATTGCCCTGCCATTTCCTTCTCTCCACCCCTGGACCTTAGGACGGAGCGGGAACTGCCACCTTTGTCACGTACTGGCCGCTGAGTGATCGAGAAATGAGACATACTCATGTTGAATTACTCCATTTCCCTTTCGACACTTACAAGACTCATACCCTAAAAACTCGGCGAAGGACCGTCAAGAATTGAATGACCGTGAGGTCCAGGCTCTCGCGAGCCGTCCATCAGCTTTCTTTGCGAGACTTTTTGTTTTTCACGCCACAGCAAAAAGAACCAGACTGGCCCGAACGCTCACACTCGGCCCCTTGTCACAACACCCCCTTTCACGAGTCAACTGCCCATCCATCCCCTTGTATCAACTTCACACAAGATTCTCAATTGCGACTTCCAATACGAAGCCTTCACTTGTAAAGCCCTTGCATATCCACTCTTCACGTCGTGCCAGACGGAATACTTTCGTATGGTGCAATGCGCTCAGTGTTGGACCTGGGACTCATTGCTTGATTGTCATCGCCTCTACGCCCTCTGGACGGGCTACGCACCCGGCCAGCGAAGTTTCTGATCTTGTCCAACAGTTGAGTGGAAGGACCACTAGTGGCTTCGTTGCCAGACCGTCCTCGTCGGTGGCCTGTAGACATCGAGATTGCAGAAAGCGAGAGTCCACTATTAAGCGCATCAGGGATGGCTTCAGGGCCCGCAGACATTGGAAGAGGAATGTCAACAGCACTACTATCGAACACACGCAGATTCGACAAGTTCAGACCCTCGAGAGGCCTGGCCACCTTGGGAGGAGGCGGAGGCGGAGGTGGAGCGGCCAAGTGCTGTAGTTCCGGTAGGATAGGCGGGTGCTGCTGCGGTGGTGAACCGGCGTAGAGTGCTCCTTCAGCAGGGCCCACTGACATAGGCGGTGCCTCTCGTGGTGAAATGCGTGTCCGGTCGCGGGAGGTTCCACGGCTTCGAGATGATCCTCGTCCATCAGCACCCTTGCTGCTTGACCTGCTGTTGCCTATACGGCTGTCGTAAGCAGGATGCTTAGGAATCTGAGACAAGAACTCCAACGACGCAGGAGCACGGGCAGAGCCGGGTCTGCTGGGCTCATCTCGCGTTGGTGGTCGATACACGTCGCTCGTCAGCAGCTCGGTCGTGCCAATTACGGCCGGTATCTCTCCGACGGGGATTGCATCTATCTTCTGCGTGCTTCTCGGCGTTCCTGACCGATTTTTTGCAGCAACCAATCCTAACATTTCGGCGCCGACCTGTGGCTCAAGAGCGGAGGATTTGATACTTGTTGCATCATCCGTGTAAGCTCTTGTAAGGGGTGGGACATCGCCCGTCGAAGCCGACTTGGTGTGCCCACTGAGCTGACTAGGAAGGAGAACAGTTGGTGCAGAGGGTCGACGGGCTAATGATTGTCGGCGGGCCTCTAGCTGTTCAGCTGCAGTCTCTCTCCGGCCCCGGTAAGTCGAGGATTGGGGCTGGCCACTAGACCCGACATCCTCTTGACTTGGTGTGTCGGCCAGCTGACCATCAATTCGGGTACTCCGCTCGTCTACCACGTCGCTCGGGCGACGACGGCGTCTCTTGCCTTCACTACGGCTTGTTCTTCTGTGAAGCGATGTCTCGTCTGCCTGTCGACTGCGCGACCGAGTCCCGCCCCTTCGGCGGTCGGGAGAGGGATCTCGTCTGGCACTCGTACCACGCTCAGGTTGTCGACTGGTACTTCGCTGCAATCGATGACGGTCCATAGAGACAAGCCTCATGGAAGAATCTTTGTCGAAACGGCTCCTTCGGTCTTCCTCAGAAGGGATCATTGGTCGTGGGGAGGATGGAGATCGATGCCCAGGATTGTCCCTACGAGAGGAACTTCGGCCTCTCGGTGAGATCACAGCAACATCTGGACTAGGCTGCCGGCTTGTCCCAAGGCTCCCTGTTTTGCCCCTGGTGCCAGTGTATCTTGAGTGGGATCTGTGACGATGCTTCGTGCCCTTAGCTGTGGATTGAGAGCCACGCCGGCTCAGCTTAGAGAGGCTGACAGGTGTTGAGCTTGGATCTATGCTCGACATGTTGGAGCTATACATCGACTCGAAGCTTTCCACGCTGGTACTGTACATTCGGACATCTTCAGGCGACATCGGGATGGGTGAAGAAGGAGAACGCTTGGCTGGCGGAATAATACGTCGAGTATCCCTTCCCCTACCGTCGTCCGCATTGGTCGCCCCGCTGCTCTTTTTCCTCTCTGAGTGTTCGTCTCTTGAATTCTTGCTGGTACTGCTGTATCCACGGGCACGAGAATGTTTTCCAAAATATTGAGCCTGTTCAAGGCTGCTGATGAACGGATCCGTGCTTCGAGCTGTGACCATGGGACTCTTCATGATACGCTGGCTCTGACCCGTAGTTGGTGCACTTGTCGTATCGATTGAGGTATCGAGCTGGGTATTAGAATAAGAACCGGTTGTCGTTGGTCTGCCTATTGACTCGGCGAAGCTGGTAGCAGGGAGATATTCCTGCCCAGGCTTGGCTTCGTGTACTGAGGTCTGGATTGAAAGCCCGTCAGGTTTACGATTCTTTGATCCCGTCCTCCCGCGCGAGACGTCCATCTCACCCGCATCGTGAACTGTCACATGTGAGCTGGATTCAGGGAATCTGACTGCCGTCTGTGGTCCGAGGGCCGTCTGAGGCGTCTCTCTTATTGGAGTAGTAAGCGGTTCGTAGCGCGCGGAGGTGAGCAACATCGGCGCCTGCTTTCCCGTCTGGCTGGGGTGGTTGCCGGAAGCTACCAGCCCCTCCTTGTCGTTCGTTTTGCCTGCTGTCAACTCCGCAGGCACGGAGACAGACCGTGGAGGAACTGAATTGGGAAATTGGGGAGCTTCAACATCAATCGGGGTCTCACCAATAGATGGCAGCCTGCTTGGTTGAAAGCCACCTGGGGTTGCCGTCTTGCCTGAAAGAGCGCTGTTGATGCTCCGAATATTGTTCAGACGATACGAGCCGAGGCCTCCCGGCGACAAGGCGGATCGATCAATAGCGGACTCTGCAATAGGGGTGACTGCTACACCAACGGTAGGGGTGCGGTCATCAGGTTTCAGCCCCGGGAATTTGAATGTATTGTTGGCTTGGGATCCAAAGGAAGTGATGAGTTTGAGAGCTGACGTCTGGGGAGTGATGCGAGTCCCCTGAGTAGCAGCAGTTCTATATGGTGTCGGCGGTGTCGGCGCTGTTGGCAACAAAGGCGGAGGCGGCATAGCCACTGGGGTCGGGGCATCCAGCGTTCGTCGTCTTTCCAGTGTTTTATGGTAGATGGCTGGGTACTGCATGTGCTCCAGAGATTCCACTTGAGGCATTGTAGGACTCGTGACTGGTTGCAGCGGGGATGCCCAGGGATCAGACAGCTCGGCTCCTGTACATGAGAAGCACCGTATAGCAAGCGACTGTTGCGAATTCTCGACCACATGTTCACCCCATCGCCGCACCAAGTACGACTGACGCTGCCAGTCATCCGGGGTAACCAGACAGGTCAGCAGCACCGCTTCCATATATTGATTCCTCGTGACATATACTTCAATGGCATCACTCCGATCGCCAAGGGCAAGCAGTAGGGTAGCTGCGGCGTGAATGTCGCCCTTACTCAGCAACTTCTCAATGAAAACCTGAGTGAATTTCTTCGCCTCCACCTGGTTGCTGATGGTGCCTAATGAAAACAACATCCAGTCAAGGTTTGATGTCAGACCCGTTGAGCCCAAGATCTCTGCGAGGTAGTCTGGGTCTTCATCAAGCCACTTGGCCAAAAAGATGGCGTTCTGGCTCTCGTTCGGGTGGCGACTCAACTCGTCTCGCACGAGGTCCTGGATATCCTCCTCCCAACCAAAGACGACCTTGAGCATCTGCATTCGTAGATCCCGCGGTGTTAGGAGAGATTCGTCCATTAACCTCGGCTGTCGGTATGGGACATCGTGTAAGCGAGCCCTGGTGAAAGGGAAGAGGTCCTCGACCGGTTGATCTTCTGGGCTCATGACAACCTCTTGTCGGAGACGAGAGCCCTTTCTGGTAGACTTGGCGGTGATCGGGGATTGCTGCCAATAAGCTTTGTTGGAAAGTTGTCCAGGTTGATTCGGGGCCAGCTGAGATTGTATTCCAGTGTCGATGCTTGTTGTCGTGTATTCAGTTCTCCCAGCTGGTGAGATCATATCGCTGCCTTCGTGCTTGAAGCCTGCATTTTGGGATCCCGCGGTCGATTGAGGGCTTGGAACGCGGACGTTATTCCGATCGTACTTGCCAACTTCGTTAGCACGAAGGTCTCGACGGGCGCGCGCAGGAGGAGATGCCAACTCCTCTTCGCTCTCAGAGGTAGCCCACATTGGGCCTCTGCCATCTTCCGGCGGGGTGGGAGGAATGGTAATTGGCATGAGGCGAACGTTTGCCACCATCAAAGCTCTTTCCACATCGTACTGCTGCACAGTATAGTCGGGCCCCAGGGTGAACAGTTTGCCGGTCGGACCGTGAGCAGCAACGGCTCTCACTCCATCAACCGTGGGGATGGGGTCGGCAGTAACATGCTTTGTTCGGACATCGTAAGAGAAAGTCTTCCCATCGGAAAACTGCACGATACGCCCATTCTTGGACCATGATATCCAGTTTCGGCCCGGCACATAGCCATCAGAACCTTTCATGGCGCGAATCACTCGTGGGGCTTCAGCGGTTGGGGGTTTGGAGACACTCCAGACCCTTAGGTCTCCATCCGCGGTTTGCGTCGCAAGCATGTCTGATCTCTGCTTCGAGGACGAGGCGTGCCATGTCAAGGAGGCAATTGGGGACGGAGCACGAGAGGTAGTCAATGTGTGTAAGATGGTAAAGGAGGGCTGTAAGGCTGCGAGTAAAATGGAGCCGTTGTTGTACCTAAATGGTATCAATTTAAAGCCAAAACAACACCAAAGGAACATACCCGATGGCATAAGTTTTACAATCCGATGAAGGGGCTATCGCCGTAATAGGGTCGAAGATGGTTCGCGCCGAAATGTGATCACTCGTTGCCGGCTCGAACAGGATGACCTCTCCCTTTGCATTGCCTTGCAAGCGTGAGAAGAGATGGGATTGCATGGACACGGGAACTTACCAAAGGCGACGTTTCCATTTCTCATCCAATGGGCCACTCTCAGAGACTCGTATGACACAAACCGTGACAATTGCTCGCCACTGGACAGGTCCCAGACTATGGCGGTTTGTCCTACGTCGTAGCTAACGACTAGCTTTCCAGCACCGGTCTCGCTGACGCTATCGGCCGCTATCAACTCGATGTCCTTGGAATGTTTCTCGAACCGTCTCTCGACCGTTAAGGTGTCATGGTGGAGACATACAACGGTTGAGCCTTGGGCGAAGAGGAGGAGAGAAGCCGTCGAAGCACAAGGTTCGAATGGCATGTTTTCGGCGCGCGACTTCGCTTTGGAGCCCGACGGGGCCATCGCTCCTCTCAATTTGTTCGAGACGGACCGTTGCCGCGAAACGCCAGCGCTCCCAGACATTCTCCCTCAGGTCGATCGGATGTGCGACTGCTCGGGCGTCAGCGGTGTATATGAGGGAACCCGGAAAGACATCTGCGCGTGTACCTCTCTTTCCCTATGCACCGACAGAGTATGACATGATTCCGACCGAGTAAAGCCAATATATCCAGAGCGTCGGTTATTGGGATCTCGACTGGTTCTTCGGCCGTGCAACAACGAGGCGGGTAGGGGCAGGATATGTTCTCTTTGGCCCCGGGTGACCTGGACTCGGGAGGGCGCCAAAGTAGCCGCGCAGAGGTTGTTCCTGCAGAAAATATCTCAAGAGGCACGACACAGGTTGGGACTTGTCTTGGTAAGGTGGTCAGGAGAAAGGTCTGGTATTGCGCAGTTCGCCATGTACCGATCACCTGGCATTGATCATGAGAGCGATCTCCACGAACGAAATGAAACAGTGAAACAAGATCTCTTCCGGCCACAAGACTATACAATCGAGGGAGTATCCAATCCACTCACTCCCTTCAGAAACGAGGCGCAGCAGAAGACGACTGCGCGGTCAGGTCCTGGCTGTACGGATATTGCGAGAAGAAGGCGGCCCTCTCTGTCGAGACTCGAAGTACCAACGACATGACGGAAACGTCGCTCTGAAGCTCGACTGGGCCCCGGGCGCTTGATTGCGGCCCCGCACTGCAAAGCAGTGAGAGAGGACGAATTTGCCCTGTGAGGTCGAACCATGGCGGTGGCCGGTTAGCTCCCATGCAGGCTTGATCTGAAGAGAGAATGGTCGATGGGTATGGAGGTGGGAGACAAGGTGTAGTTGGTTGTAGAGGCACAGGGACGATGCTCAAGCAGGGATTCGGGCGGGCGCTTACACCGACTCCATTGGCTGCGACCTGGCCGTTGTCACACAGGCTACTCGACCTCTGCTCGCCAATCATGCCCTCCAGCACACTCAAGCACCACGAGCTGCTTTCCCTGTCCAACTTCCCCATCACCTGTGAAGCCCGCTGCTAACCTAACTAATTAGTGAAGACGAGCCTTCTGGCCCATCAGCCTGCTGCCTCGATGCCAGACCCTGACCTCTACCTCCGACCTGCTACCTCGGCGGTTATACAAATGAGTATATTGGAAGAGAGTATAAATCGCCACGCCGGCCATCTTTTCTCGACTGGACAGATCTACTGACCAGCTGAAGAGCGTGGAATGTTATGCCACATCTGCTCGACCTGAAGCGCTGGCCGATTCGACAGTGTCTACGCCGTACGGATACACCGTACGAGTCCTCGCTCTCTGTACGCCATCGGTGGAGTGCTTGTGGATCGTCCTAAGGTCCCTGTACTAATACTGCTGCCGACTTATGCCTGGGCTTAGGAGGCTACTAGGAGTGACTAGCATCTCCGCGTTGTGCATGCTGAGTACTCCGAACTCCGAACGGTACTTAAGACAGGACCTGCTCATTCACGAATCCCCAGCGTACCCTCAACTCAAGACCCGGTCGATGCCTACAACGGCGAGTAACAACTGGAGCAGACATTGGATCCATAGGTACAGAAGACCATGCCAAAACACGCTGTGTTCTACAGCGCAAAGTGCAACAATATGACGGGCCTTCGAGGACTGACAGTATGACCTGCATTGGTGCCCGAGGCTCCCCGCGACAAGCGATGCAGCGCAGCCGGACCTGAAGATAAGCCATGTCGAAGCTAAGCGACAGGTTTTGCTATCCATATAGTGGCTTGGTGATTCTTCAGAAGGCGACAGCTTTGGTATCGACGTCGATCAATGACGGGGTTGGAACGCTGGAGCTCGCCTTGGGCCACGGGGCGAGCCTCCTAAGCCTGCACAAGTATACCCATCACCCGCATCTGTGGAGAAACGGTAGTAGCCCGAGAGGTGTCCTAGTTGTTACGATTCACAATCACATTGTCCAAGGTGTTGATGATAAAAAGGGCTGCCATCGCCACCCAGCCTCGAGCATTTCTGATCTCCATCATCACGCCTCAATCCTCCCTAGTTTGCGAAGGCTAAGGCTACTTACTGCTAAACGAAAGCCAGGGCGACAAGTGTCTAAACAGCGTTAGGGATGCTCGGAAGGTGATCCTGGTTTCCAAGGCCGCTTGTGCACCTACGCGCCCACGCTAGAGCAGTTCTCCCAGCTTTCCCCTCCAAGCCACTGGCCAGCCTATATTTGGTTGGCTGCATTGAAAATCAACGACACCAAAAGTCGAAAATCTCCGCTCCGCATCGCATCTTATCACCTGGCCTGGCCTGGCCGTCGAGCTTGTAATTGTGTGCACGGTTGGGTGAAGATCATCCTGTACGGAGGACGGAGTAGATGTGCTGTGCTGTGCTGTGCTTCGCTGTGCGGACTACTTGGAAACATCCCGGCATAGTACGAGCATCAAGCTCCCCGTCGGTCCTGCCACCACTGCCATCAGTTGTGTTGCGCGATAGGCTGCGGTGGTTCGAGAAGAGCTTTGGAATATGCGGCCGGAGTACGGAGTACGGAGTATGTACTTGTATGCGAGCCTACAACATGTTGTCACAGCGGGGACAGGAAGTTATATACCTACCTATAGTACCTTAGATATGCCACTCGCCAGGAGATGTGATGCCACAGCATGCTTCACGCTTCACCGCATCGCGGGGAAGTCACAGTCGATGTCTTCGCCGCTCGTACTGGCCGAGGCCTCACCCCGCCGTCTGCCGTGTTTCTACAAGTCTGCACCAGATGAGATGCAAGGGCAGGTTTAGTGTTTGGTGTTTAGTGTTTGGTGTTTGGTGTTCAGTAAAGTATGATTCATCTCAGTTCGAGATGAGATGGCCGTGGCATCAAGAGACAAACTCTGTCTTACTACGGAGAACATATATTCAAATTGCCAGCAGAGCGAAAGTTCCCTTCCCCTGTTCTCGTCAGTTCGGTCGTGGTGAAGCTGAGCGAAAATTCCCTTCCCCTGTTCTCGTCGGTCGTGGTGAAGCAGACCATCGACGAGCCAGGGTGATGCCATCCTACTAGTATCTATCGGATAGCATGACTTTGGACTTTGGTGTAGTAAGTACCTAGTCTGGACGGACTCTGCCATACATACGGAGTACAGTATTCGTGCATCTGCATTTACGAAGCCTCCCCGAAGCGCCCCCCCCCTGAGCCTCCCTCTCCCCCTCCCCCTGCAGACCTTGCTTATTTGAGCAAATTGACTGGGGTTGGTGCTTGTCCTTGAGCTTGTCCTTGAGCTTGTCCTTGAGCTTGTCCTTGAGCTTATGCTTGGCCTTGTGCTTGAGCTTGTGCTTGTGCTTGTCTTGTCCTTTCCTCGGAATCCGGCAAATCGTGAACTGGACGGAATTTATCCTGCAAACCGTGAATTGGAGGAATCTATCTATCTTGCAACCAACTGACTGTCCCTTCGTACACGGCAGTCCGCATCTTAAGCCTGTCTTGTCCCACCGGGAGAGAGGGCCGGCAGTTCCTGTCACTCATACTCACACTCACACTCATACTCACACGCACACGCACACGCACACGCACACGCACACGCACACGCACACGCACACGTACACTCACACTCACGAAATGTCCGACTCGGAGCGGAACAAGAACCGAAACAGAAACAGAAACACGGCCAAGGAGCGGTGAAGTTGTGACCGTGACAGTGTCAGTGTGCCCTTGCAGGAAGCCTAGGCCTCGGACGGCTCGTCGGACCACACAGATCCGGCTGATTGTTTCATTCGAGGTTCATCAAGATAAACATGACCTTATGACCTACCTACCCGATCAGGGTCACGACCATTCTGTATTCCAGTAGTGTTGTATGCCAACCCTAGCAGCCTGGCTGGAGACACGGCAGTAATGTCCCATCTCTTTGTACCGACCGACCGCCTTTTCATCCAGGTCGAGAGCGAATAATCAATCAGTCGACATGAGAGTTGCCCATCTCTGCCCCGAGATGCCTATTCAGGCGATTGGGATGGGATCGCCTCGTCTCCTGTCTCTGGGTCTTCTCTTGTTCTTCTCTGCAGGCACCGTTCATGGAGGGAAAGGGAACGGAGGGAGAAAGCCTGATCTTGGCAGGATCTGACACAATGCAGTGCCGTGCCATCCAGTTTTCCCCTCCAGATCCCTCCACACCGCACCGTATATGGGTAGAGGCGACGATTCTGCTCCATCATCTCAATGATTGTCCCTCATCTCGTTCTCCTCTCGCCTCGCCTTGTTGACAGCTGGACTGGCGATTTCGCCATGTGGGAGGCCAGAGGGAGCCGAGACCGAGACCGCGGTGGGATTGGGTGCGCGAGTAGAGGTAGAGGTAGAGGTAGAGCCCGGAGCCAGGGCCAGATCCATATCACTACTCCGAGCCTAGCCGCTTGATGTAGGCAGAGATGGCTCCAAGCTGTCGTCGGTTTCCCTGTTCAGCCGACTCCCAGTCTCCTGAGCAGTGTTTCCCACGCCAACGACGACTACCACCACCATCATCACCGCATCGAGTAACTTAATTATCGTTCCCTTTCCCCATCTCACTATCTTCCTGACCTTCCTGGTGATGAAAAGGGAGAAGGACAGATCAGGCTGGTGGCATTGATTTTCCAAAACACACACGCAGAAGCCCACTTAACTTATCGATTGGCCCTTGTTCGTCTGCGAGGGGGAGCAACACCAGAGCCAGAGACGAACCAAACACTGAGGCTGCTCCACGAAGAAAAGCATTCGGGGCGAGAAACATTCATAGATAGGTAGGAATTGTGGACAGTAAGTAATACTGCCGCTTGTCGTCTGGGGAATAGCATCACAGCCACGCCAACATAAATTCACTACTGGCAGTGTGTGTCAGCAGAGATCAAGGGGATTCCTGGAAAATGAGCCAGAGAGGCAAGGAACGGAGTGAGTCGAAACAACATCATCATCATGATGTGTCCTGCTCAACGATGAGATGCTGCGAGACTGAACAGATCTCAAGGAAGCTGAACGTCTGGCCATCGTTCAAGGGAGCAAGAACGGTGTGAGTGTGTGTGTGTACACAAAACGGAGCCAGCTTCACAATGCACAGGATGCGAAGTGTAACAACAAAGCGACTAGAGAGACCTGCACGCCTTCACAGAACTTTGTGTGAACTGTTCAAGTACAAAAAGTGAAAGTGAGTTGAGTTGAAGCGGCAGACACCTTCGCAGAACATTGAAACCGCCGACTGATTCAGCTTCGCAGAATTTATGATTTGTCGAAGTGTAGGAGGAAAAGTGAGTTGAGTTGAGACAAATATCTTTGCAGATATTTGAAACCGTCGACTGATTCGGCTTCGCAGACTTTAGAAACTGTCAAAGTGGAAGAGGAAAAGTGAAGTGAGGTGAGGCAAATACTTTCGCAGACTTTTAAACCCGTCGACTGATATACCTTTGCAGATTTCCTCAGCTGTCGATGTCGTTGTGAAAATGAGGTAAGTCGAGATACCTTGAACCTTCACAGGTTCCCCAGACAACAAGGTAGACACCAGCTGGCTAGAGGCAGGGTAAACAGTTCCTCCTATGACACTCACCAGTGTCCATAGTAATCATTCCAAATACCATGGAATGGGCCCGATCGGTCATCACGCACGATCCCTTGCCCGCGCGTCGAGGCTTTCGACCAGTGAGGCCCGAGAGGAGAGGTGCGAATCGAGACAAGCCATGGTCCCGTGGAGGTTGGTTCTCTTGTCCAGCCCAGCCCTGTACTTGCCAATATTGACTTGACTCTTTTGGCTGCAGGGCAGTGCCGAATGTCAAACGCCAGCTCTGCCAGACGCAGTGTCAGAGCTGATTGTCTTAAATTGTCTTGGGCCACTCCTTATCCCCCGCAGCGCCGGTGCCTTGTCAGTGTCCAAGTACGTACCAGTGCTAAATGTCAGCCCAGGGGGCAGCCAGCTACACATACTGTCATACACGTCAAATCAAGCCTCAGAGATCTGGTTAGTGTATTCTGAATGCATGCACCTATGTCATCCGAGCTTCCGCATCCGTAGTTGCATCGTGCCCGCGCATCCGCTTCCGTACCGCAGCATCCTGTCCCTGCCAAGGGCAACAAGCCACTGCGATAGGATGTCTTCTTTTCTTGTCTTCTTATTTTCACGCTTGACGATGACAGCCGTCACGGTCATCAGCGGCAGCAAGCCAACGCCAACGCCAACGCCACCGCGATCGAACATCGTCCGCTTACTGTGACGTGGGGGCCCTGCATCCGCCACAGTCATCAGTGGCGGCAAGCATGGCCAAAAGTCAACGTTCGTGAAGGCTGGTAGGTAGCTCGGAGGGAGATTGGAACACAGGCCCCAGAGAACTTTATCGAGGATGGCCATTGCTGAGCCGAATCCGAGGACACACTGTCGTTACTCGGCACGGGGATCACGACAAGGTCGTCTCAGTAGTAGTGACGAAAGAGACAGCAGAGAAAGAGGTCGGGCAATGCCGAACTGATACAGTTCCAGTTCACATTCAGGTTCAGGTCGGAGGTAACCAACCAAGCAACCATGTGAAGGTGGCGGTGGCGGTGTACGGTGCGGCATGCTGACAGCACCAGCACTGACTCGAGCACACAAGGGCAAGGACCCTTGATCACGTGCACTGGCCGGGACGTCTTGCTCGGTATTCTGGCGGACCGAGATGCAGACAGCAGACACGCACATGTACTCCGTACTAGTACTATACTCCGTACATGTACTCCGTAGTAGTAGTCAGCACCCGCGACGCGATGCCTGATACAGCCTTGGGCCGATATCGATATCCACGCACAACGGCACGACCACGGCAAATTCCAGGCCAACTTGACCCCGTGGTTGTGGTTGCATTACCCACAGGCCATGTGGCCGAATTTGAATTTGCCTCCTCCCCCAAAAAGGCATCCGAGGGTGTCTGTCGCCTTCCAAGAGGCCAGAGGCCAGAGGCAGCCCGGCGATGCTGAACACCAAACCAACCCAGACCGTGCCCACAAGCATATTCGGAATTCTGGACAGCATGCAACACGGACCCCGTCCAAGTTGCAGCGTCAGAGACACGAATACCACCGTAGCAAGACCGAGGGTTCACCGCCTTGAGCGAGATTTTCCGCCCCCAGGCCGACCATGACTGCAAGACAACGACGTTGGCACATGCCATCGCTAACCGCAGCCGTTGCCGCAGCCGCCGCCGCGGCTTCAGAAGTTTTGCTCAATAAAGGTAATTAAGGGTAATCATGAGGAATTAGCCGACGTTGTCGCTGCTCCGTAGTCGCGACTTGGCACCGACTTCAATGGGCCTATCACGACGCCGAGGACGGACGGACCCCGTTTCCGACTTTTCGGACAGAGCAAAGAGCAATGGACAATTCCGCAGCGGTGATTGGCTCGGTGCAACTGGTGTCAACTTCTGTCGTCGGGAAGCCAAATCAGGACTACCTTTGACTACCTTTGGCCCATTATTGCCTATTATGTGCCTATAGGTCATGTCGGCCCCCATTCTCCCGGCCCTTTACCGTGACCTGTGAACTGTGAAGCCCGCCGCCCCGAGGCGAGTCTGCTGGAATGGAATCGACTCGAACATGGTGCCATCATCATCATCATACACTGTCACTGGGATGTGTACTCCGACACAAAGTGTAAGTCGGTGGTCCACGACAAACAGGGTTTTGTGCGCTCCGGATGTCCGAGCAGGGCCAGGCAAGCTCACCTCAGCTACTAGAGGTACCATGTACGTCGAAATTGGTGACGGTCGGAAAGCAGCGCATATCGGTCGGAAAAGAGTCCGTCCGGCTGAATGAGGGCTGAGTGCGGAGAACGGCTCCAGTCCCAGCCCATGGAGGAAGTTTCAATTCCTACCTGTTTCCTAGTGCCTCACTAGCTAGCCCTGGCGAAAACTGCGACTTGGGACGAGCTGGATGCGGACTCCGAGAGAGCGCGCTGGAATTGAGACTGAGACAGATTATTCAGTTTGCCTGTGGCGACGGCCCAAATAATCAAGTTTTCGCCCAGCTTGTACGGATATGTGTATGACGATGACGAGGCCGACGAGCCGGGAGTCGGTAGCCGTGGCCGGAGTTGCCCCCGAACGCGCTGTGCAGCGTTGCGATTGGATGCAAACCAGGTCTGGCAACCAACCCATCGACAATCCGAAGGTGAACGTTAGACAACAGCCAGCAAAGGCTTTAACCAGGCAAAACAGTAATCACGGCCTCGAGGCACCACCAGTCAAAAGGCAATTGAAGCAAGGGCTTAGTGTCAATCATGGCATATTGAGATAATTAGACTAATAACACAATGCTCGGGGACCAAAGCCCTCGGTCCCCTCCTGAGCAAAGTGGCGGGAGTCAGAACGACTCGACCGTTCGCTGGGTCTGGGTATGCAATCCATCATCCCAAAAGTAACAAAAACATAATGGCCATATAGGCAGGGTATCGTAGACCGCGTTGTTTTCATGCCCCCCGTATACATGCACATGGTCGCTGTAAATACAGTGAGACCTGAATCGCTGGGTGCAAATCGCTCAAATAGACATACACAAATGGACAGACATCAAGTCGTGCCCGCCGCATCCGGGGGCCAGCCCCGAACCATAACCCTTGGGCCTCATTGGGGTCCATTCAGGCGTCGAAGGCCGGACTGGCGCCGTTTGAGGGAGCTCGGCCTCCGGGACTTGCCACTGCTGGCGACATCATGGTGACCGGCAAAGCGGACAACCTTGCGTCGAGCATCAGCGTCGCGTGCTTGCTGCCCGTGGCCTGCTGCCCGTCGGAGCGCGTCTTCGCGCTCTTGAAGCTCTCGCAAGAAGGCGATTTGCTCCTCGGTGGTGAGCTCCTTTTTCGGAGCAAGCGCGGGGATGGTTTCTACCGGCAAGCTCAGGTCCTCAGGCAGACAGAGAAGGTCGTCATCCGAGAGGTATGAGTTGGGTTCGGAGCCAAAGGACGACATGCACGACCGATAGGGGCTGGGAAGCCAAGTCGAGGTGCTGCTGTCGCGACGCATGGCGAGCGACGATGCCTGGGAGTGAGAGGTGGTGCTGGAGGCGTTGCTTTCTGAGCGAGTGAGAGCGTGAGAAGTCGGCCAGGAGGACGAGGACGTGGGCGACGCGCCCATGAGGGCGGCGTACGCGATGGAAGGGGCGCAGGACGTGTATCGGTAAGACGTGGAGGAAGCGGTTGAGTCGCGAGAGTCTGAACGCGACATGGCCACCGACGTCAGGGCTGGCGTGATGTTGGAAGCGGGTGAAGTAAAGAACATGTTGTCTGTGTTCGAATGGGTTCGGAGAGCGCGACAGAGTGTAGAACTCGGAACTGGTGCACTCGGAGGGGTGGTGGTATTGTTATTATATCGATGGTTTGTGTTTGCAGCCAGGGACTCCGGGACTTTTGTCCTGGCGGTGTGTTGTGGCAAGGCCGTAGTTGCGGGTGGTGATGCAATAGGGCAATATGTAGAGTTCGTGGGCGACCAGGAAATACGCGGGTCGGTCTGGGGTGAAGGCCAGGGGGGAGGCGCGCGCTGACTCGGAGTGTGATATGGGATGTGATCGGCCAACTTGACTTTGCCGCGCGTTGATCCGTCGGCGCGTTCACACTTCTACACAAATATCGATGGTCGAGAGGTGGGAAGAGAGGAAGAGTATGGGTCTGGCTCTGAATATGTATGTCCGACCAGACGGGGGGTGGGTAGAAGCAATTATACTGGAAGTAGTGGATGGGGGCCCCTTCCCCGTGCTTTTTTCTTTTGGATTTGGATCTGTGAACTCGAGCCGGGAATGGCGAGAGGGAAAACCCGGTGTGTCGGATGCGATGCGACCTCGGTCGGTCCAGAGGTTGGCTTTGGCCCTTGGATCGGGGCACAGACGGGGCTCGGTGGATTTGACAAAGTGGACCAGGCTGCCCGGCGTTCGTATTTCTGTCTGTGCGCCGGGTTGTGGGGAGGATGGCAGAAAAGGGCTTAGGAGGCCTGGCCTGTCGCTGTCTGGCACCGTGCCCGTGGTTCCGCGAGCAACTACGGAGGAGAGCCGTGAGGAGCCTAAGAGGCTGGTATGCCACACTGAGATCGCTGGTTTCAGACGAGGGGGACGAACGCAGGGGGGACAGTAGTCGTAGTCGTCCTCGGTCCTGTGTAGGATATGGTGCGCCGCTGCGGATGTGGCACAAGTGACCACTTCTTGTCGTTCTTGTAGTACGTACTTGATGGCGTGTTGGAAGGAGATCAGAAGTGCGAGAAGTTCAGCAGGTTTCCAAGCTGGAAGGGCAGGCAGACAGGATTATGTGTTGCTGAAAAGCCTGACCGCAGGGCGCATGCCAGCCGGCCAGCCAGCCAGTGCAACCACTGGTTTTGTGTGATTTCCACCGGGTGATAGTAATGGTTGATTCTGTTTGTTTGCTGCGTTCCGCCCGGCTGACTGGCAAAACGGGGATTGCAAGGCCTGACTCGTTTCGTGTCGGTCTACTGACCGCCGGGAGGGGGGGCGAACTTGGAGGACGTATGATTCTCTGGGTGAATGAATGTGACACCCCGTTCGACAGGCAGCTGGCTCGACTAGGGCTTTAGTGTCGCTAGGCTCGAGGCGCCCGCCACGGGGGGGTTGTTTGATCGACCAGGGTGGTGGAAGTGAGGGAGTGAGCAAGGGGCAAGGACATCAGAAACTCTTGACAAGGGGTGAAGGCTTTGCCAGGCCGGCACCCAAGGAGAATCAATTGATCTAGCGGTGACTAGGGGGGAAGAGCAGGGGAGAAAGAATAAGAATGAAGCTGAGTAAGAGCAGCAAGGGCCAGTGACTGCGCCCTGGGGGAGGGATCCTAGTCGTGATGAGTGACGGTTGATGGTGATGCTCACGGTCACGGTGACGGAGGGTGAGGGATGGTTGGTGGCTGAAGCCCCTCAGCCATGACACGAACGGGAGAGCGGATGGCGCCTGAATTTCACGTCCCAAGCTGAGATGAGTCGCTGGGGAGCACGCACTGCAGGGGGCGCTTAGGCTGTGGGGGGGTAAAGTTGCAGGCGACCAGGCCCCAGAGTACGTAACCTTAGGTAGGCTTAGGCCTGAGGACCCCTTAGGCTGCCAGGTAGGTAAGTAAGGGCTTAGGGGCCTTGGGCTTAGGACGGCCTTTGGGCTGAGGAGGCTTAGGCTCCAGGCTAAAAGGCTTTGGAGTGCTGTGGCAGCACCGCCTGGACAACCCCACGCCAATAACAACGACAACAATCGATGTGCAACTCTTATCACCGGGATGAATGGGATGAATGGGCCTCGACCGTCGGTTCCTCGTCCACTCCCACGCAGTGTTGGCAATGGCAGGTCGAGATTCGTCCAGGCCAGTGTCGGTGTCGTGTCGCAGTGATGCTGATCACAGCGTCGTGAAAGCAGGAATGCGAGTGTGTGAGTCACCATGTTTGAGGCAGATAATAATAGCCTCGCCGGTAGCAGTGCCCGTAGTTGGATGCATGCATGGTAACACGTTCATGGTTACTCAGAAGGCGATATTACTATTCCTACCAGGTAGGTGCCAGGCACCTACCAGGGATTTACTACTAGGTACAGTAAGGTGTAAGGTACCCCGGACTCCGTCAACACGATTACTGCAGCGTGCATTAATTACTGTACTTCCAGGGTAAGAGGTAAGCACTGCACAGCACAGCACGGTGCATGGAGGTGCATGGGAGCCTGAGATGGGTGGTGGGCGGTGGCTGGTGGATGGTGGCTGGTGGCTGTTCTTCTGCTTCCATCCCACGCATGCCATGACTCTCGAGTCTTCTCATCTCATCTCCCATCTCCTCTATGCAAGATATTGCTTCTACGGAGTACGGATACTGCCAGAGTCGATACAATGATAATGTTGTCGAGGCGATTCCCGACCCACCTTCACTGTCTTTGCCAACACATTCTCTCCCACCCTCCCACTCACACTCACTGCTTCTGCTGCCCAATCCTCCCCACCAGATCCTGTCGATGCGACTTTGAGGGGCGGCGGTCGGGGCAACTCGGGCGCCAGGACACCGCCTCTTCCTCAGGCAGAGATCCTCTCGTCCTCTCCACGATACTTTACAGAGGACTCCATACTCCGTACGGCGTATACTCGTAATAGTATAGAGGTTTAATTAATTACCCTGAATTAATCCGGGACTCCGGGGGGCGAATGGTTAATGATGGATCAGTGATCAGGGCAAATCCGTGGCAGGAGTAATTACAGGGTAGCAGAGTACGGATACACTCACAGTAGTACTCCGTTCTCCGTACTTTGCCACCACGTTTTGGCTGGGGAGGTACGGAGCACGGAGGTACCCGAGTGAATCCCGCGTTTGCAACCTCGAGTCGGTCTTCATCTCATCTTACACGCCCCTTTTGCCTCCCAGACTTGTCTCTTTCAAACCCTGCCAATCTTGTATCTTGTCCAGGATCCGTGCGGAGTACGGAGTACTCTACCTGGTACGGATACTCTGTACTCTGTAAAAGTGAGGCTGCCCGGGGAGATGTGGTCCGGCCTGGTCTTTGCTTCAAACCTTGAGTTTACAGGCCCGTCACTGGTCAGTGGTCAGCCTTGAGCCACTTCGTCCTCGGTCTTTGGTAGCCCGAGAAGTGGTGGCGCACTGGCGGCTGCTCAGTGTCAGCGCCGGCTAAATGTCGCTCAAGTCCAAGTTGGCGAGCCTGAGGGCGGATTTCTGCCGATGTTCATCCTCGTGGCCTCTTGGCGAGAATGATGGTCGGAATAATAGCATTCAAGTTAATGTTGCACTTCAGTGATCGAGTTCGAGTCATACCAGCTTGAACTGCTTACCGCTTATCTCCCTCCCTGACCCCGTCGTCAGCGACCGCCACTGCGTCCACGCGTGTCAGAGTGCAAGATGCAGGGTCTCGACCATCCATGCCTGGTCCTTGCCTTGTCATGATCTGGCTCTGGCTCTGGCTCTGGCTCTGGCTTTTCCTCCATTCAAATGTTGATGTTGATGAATTCACATACACACACCAGTAGAGCCTATTAGGCTAGCAGATGTTTTGCACGCGGCGTCTACACAGTCGTACAGCATTTCATTCTATCCAGAGTACCTCGTAGACGAGGAAGCCTTACCAACAACAACAATAATACCCGCGGCTGTTCTCCGATCTTCCCTGACCGGCCCCCGGATTCTTCCTCGATTGTGGAGGTGGTCAAGACACGAGTGCACGAGTGGACGAGTCGGCATCAGGCAGGCAAGGCACCCAGCCAGCCAGTTTCCCTGGTGAATTCCGGGGCCTGAGAACATGTGTCGGGGTCGGGCGTTGGGAAGACACACCGTCGTTGGAATGCTCTCGGCTACTGCCAGTATGTAGTGTCTTCATGGTTGTCGACCATATTACAGAGTAGAGAGTACTCCGTAGACCCCGAAAAACCACATACCTAGGATGGAAATCAAATCCACCCCCTGCCTGCCGAGGCAAACAGATGCAAACAGATGATGGATGCAAACAACCTCCGGTGCCAGAACCGGATGCCGGTCACGGCCCGGCCATCATTCACTACCAGGTATTCATTACTATGTACTCCGTATTATCATGGCGCTTGACTTGGTTTCTTCATGCGGTGAAGGGAGGCAGGGTCAACACGGCCTGTACGGATACAGGAGGCAAGAGACCTAACCCTACAGTCTAGTCCGCGGCTGGAATCCACCTCATGAAGAGACGGTGCCATCATTGTACTGTTCTGACATTCCTTGCTGGCACGCTGGCCTCTCCTTTGTATTCCAGTACTCCGTACATTCCATTCTGGCCTCCTTCAGATCTCATGGTCCATCCACCTCGAAACCAACACCGACACCGACACCGACACCGACACCGATGCCCCAAATCATGGCCTGGCCAGACCAGATCTTCAGACACTCCAGCCCCGCCTTCGGGCATGACTACTGCGCTTGTCACTTGACATATCTAGCCAGAGTCTGGATGAAGCCAGTGCTTTGTCCCCCCCATCTTTTGTGGACCGCTTTCGCCTGTCCAGACTCGACTGTCGTGATCCGGGCGCTCAATTCCCCCACGCATCTGGGCCTCGCTTCTGGACCACGAGCCCAAGCCATGTTGTCCTATCTCGGGCCGTCCGGGCTCGATCCCTCACGCTCAACCCTGCAAGAAGTTGAAGTCGCTTGCTGATCCTCTCGCGAGAGTGGCTGGCCAGCATTCCTTCTGTGCAGGCGTCGTTTCACCTGGTCAAGACATCATCCTAGCATGCCATGATACCATTTGGCATTCACCGCCATCAGGGGGGGAGGGCGCTCTCAATCTTTGGAACCTACCCCTGGGATGCGGAACACAACACAGTGACCGTACCCAGCTAACCAGTCTGGCTTCCGTCCGATCTCGCTGATGCATGCCATGACTCTGACATTATTATTGAATGAATCCGACAGTGCTGGAGGGTTCGAACGCCTACAGGCGCCCTGCCCGTCGAACGGTTTCTTACCATGGGTAAGATCACGTGATCTGCGTTGACTCCTGAGACCGAGCCCAAGGATTGCCAGAATATCCGTCTGCTGCTCATGGGTTGCTGGTTTGCTGGTTGTTTCTGTTTCCGAATGGCAGGTCATCTTCATACTGGCCTCACTTTGTGCTGAACACGAACACGCGAGCGTGAGACTGGTCGCTTCATTGACCCGAAGACACTATGGCCCAAGGGCCAGCCTCGTCAGTGTCAGCCTGACGCAGTCTCTGAATGATACCCGACCAGGCCAGATCCCAGATCCCAGATCTGTTTCTGGGCCTGTTGCAGACTCACACTGGCAGTGCACTTGTACACTGATTTGTGATGCTGCAGTGTCAGCGTCAGTGTCGTGGAAGATTGTGACGAAGCCTCCTTTGCACGACTACCTAGGTAGGCCACCTTTTGTTGATATGTGACGTATCTAACGGGCGACTGCTCTTCATTGCAGTCAGAACTCACCGGTCACCGGATGGGATGCGGCGGTGAAGCCATGCCAAGGATGCCGCATGCTCTTTTCTTCAAGTTGTCATGCCACAAGCCTGCATGTCAACAAACCCCGCGCGGTGAAAAGCAGCAGTCACGACGTTATCTCTACCCTTTACCCTCTGTTTCCGACCGTCCAAATCCAAGACCAAGTGCAAGGCCTTTTGCTCTCTCACCTCTCTCTGTTTGCCTTGAGTGTCCATCAGAGAACTGACTGGCTGACTGTCCCTAAAGTGGATTCAACGTGAGCTACGATCCGGTTTCATCCAGCGGCACGCAGCAGCCAGCATCTGCAGCAAAACAAAGAAACGTAAAGCAAACATTGATCTTTGCGACATGGAACAAGAAAGAGCAGACATGGACCGGAAGTCCTCCTTAACCTCTTCCTCATCATCGTCAACTGCACCGCAACTGTCTGCACATTCCTTCAACCCTCTTCATGCCGCTCCACCTCTCCTAGGGCCTCAACCACGAAAATTTGTCGGTGTCGGGCTTACAGACGACCGCCACCCAGAACTTCGCATCTTCACCATGCGGTACAACCTTCCAGACATGGATACCAATGCCAAAGGTCTTCCCCCAGCGACGCCCCCAAAGCAGGATCCAAATACCATCAATTCCTGGGTAACACCTGAGAAAGACTCGCCTCCGCAGCTTCGGTACTATTGCGGGGTGACGGCGGTCGCCAGCGGATCGGGGTACCTATCACTGTTTCACGACCTCGGAGCAGATGCCACTCTTTTGAGAGGCAGCGGTGAAATCGAATGGATCCGCAAATCGGCAGGTGGAATTGATGTAAGCCCAAGAAGTTAATCCTATCGCCCCATGAGACCTAACTTGTGTTTTAACAGGCATTGACAGCCCTCTTGCGGCCTGGTTTGGCATCCATCTGCCTGCTGTCCGAATCCCCCCCGAATGGCTTTCGTATTGCACAGTCTGGCTTTCGCCTCCGTCGGACAGGTGTAGATGTCGTCGTCACTTGTGCCCACTTCGCCAAGTGGCCTGATAACCAGAAGGATTTTGATGACATGGCTCGGAGTTATTCTTGCATGAAACGTGGAAGGCACGTAGCAGTCCAAGACTGGATGGTTGAGTACGATTGTGTTGGTATGTACGATACAAAGAAACATGTTCACAGTGCTAACCAAGGTCCAGCGGACTACATGAATCAACTCGAGCTCCAGCTAATTGCGGTTCACCGTCCATGGGATCTTGCCATTTTCCGGGTGAGAGAGAAACCTAAGGGGGATGAAAAGAACACGGTGATCGATTGGAGTCAGATGCACTTCATGCCCGAGGAGGATCAAGGCAAGCTGGGCTCAAAGGGACTCTGGTGGTCGGTGGGATTCAACCTTGACGACGACGAGGAGAAATTCCGGTCGGATTGGAAAGGTTTTTTCCACCGGCAACTTGACAGCGTTCAAAATGACATCCGTCGACGATATGTAAGCATCCCTTCCCCAGCCTCATCTCTATTGTCATACCTATAGGGTCAGGGCCCCCCTTGGTTAGTTTTGAGGCTCACTTTTTACAGGAATACGACGGAGACCATCCACCCCCCTTGAAATTCCTTCGAGCCGGTCGGCGAACTGTCAGCTTCGGAGGTTTGGATGAGTTGGTTGGGACTGGGTTTCCTCATCAACAAACCCATCAAGTATCTCTGAATCTCAGTGCTTGGTATGGACGTTCCGGCTCAATGGTCTGTACTCGTGAGAAGAGTGACGTCGAAGGCGCAGAGAGCCAGGTCCATGTCCATGGTCTCAGTAAGTGAATATTGTCTCTCATGTTTATGACAGATCTAACGTATCTACAGTCTATGGAGGCTCGTCTGCAAGCAATTACAATGTGATGACTAGGTTCACCAGACAGATGGAAGGTTGGTTTGAGAAAGCTTTGAGTTTCGACCCGGACTTGGAAGAGCATCCTGTTGATTTCAGTCAACGTTTTGTCGTGGCGCTTGACGTCGACACTGCGGCTGAAGTCGATTCTACAACTGTGGACGACACCGTGATGATTGATGCATGACCGAACAAGTCAGATTGCCTCAATTGGAGAGGGGGAGCATCGATGACAAAGACCACAACATTGACGAAGTGCTGGGTAGAATGAACGGTACCGGAGGAGGAGTACTAGACTGAACTGTCTCTCTTTTCTCTTGCAGTTTAGAATCATGAAACAGAGTAGCAACACAAAGATAGCTGGAAGTTATTTCTCATCCTTGACCTTTACAGAAACGTGGTATATTCGATTGGCTCGGGCATCCGGAGTACTCCTAACAGAACAGACTTGGTAGATAATAGGAGAATATAGGAGTTAGGAGGCCGCCTGAGTCAATAACATGGTATATTAGGACTGTGTTGACTTGGGTGTAGGTGCTCCTTAATTAGTGTCTTCATATCTCTTTTTCCCCCTTCACTTCTTCGGAACTTCACTACAATAATTTATAGTGTAGCTTGTTTTACCAGTGTAAATATTTTCAATCCTAATCGCAATCCAGCCGCTAGATATATCTTCCTCTTCCCACAAAGGGCCAACTTAGTCGAAACTAACTACGTAAAAGTCACCGTCACAACCAACCACAAAGTCCCTTGGGTTGGGTTATGTGACGTCTTCTAGGAATGAGTAGGAGTACCTAATACCTAATATCTAACACCGAGCACCTACGAGTAGGTATGTATTATATACCTACCTAGTACATACTCTGTTGGTGCGTGGTGCCGTCGAGGCATTACATAATACAGAGTACATAGGCACCATAGGTACATACCAAGGTGTCTGAACCAATCAGCAAACGCCCCATGTTCTTTAAAGTAGTAACGTACATCGTATGTAAATAGGTGCACAGTTACGGAGTACCGAGTATGGGTGCTTGATGTTCCTAGTCCACCAAACACACTCTCGAGAGATCTACCTGCGATCTATAGTCCATACAGAGTCAACAAACATTCATTCATTCCCTCATCCGTGTGACACCTTGACACCTTCTCACAAGACCATCTACGGCTGGTTCACAAGGTCTCTCTCTACACAAACGTCCCAATCCCAATCCCATTGCCTGTCCACTCGACCCTCGACCTCGACCCTCGTGGCAATCGCACCTCCCAGGAAACATCGTCCTGAAAGAAAAAAAAGACACAAGCCAACAAGACAAGAAAAGAGAAAAGCAAGCAAAAACACAATGATCACCGACGACCAACTCTACTCGCTGGCCATTTTCCTCGGCGCCGCCGCCATGCTGTTGATTGTGCTGTACCACTTCCTCGAAGTCAACGCCCAAGACGGTGCCGACCTGACCAGCGACCTGACCAGCGACAAGAGTGGAGTGGGGGCTGTCAAGCCTGCACAGTCTCAGACACAGACACAGACACAGTCACAGTCACAGTTATAGTCGCAGACACAGTCTCAGTCACAGTTATAGTCGCAGATTGGGGAAAGAGAACCGATGAGACCAAATCTCGATTCTGCATTCACTTCCACAAATGTGCTGTTGACAAGAACAAGAGGAAGAGCATGCCGGATATCATGGCAAACTCGGCCAGCACGCGGACCGGATCGGGTGACGTGGGGACTGGTTCCCGGATCCTTGGGGACATACATACATGCACTGCTGGGTGTGGCCGAAGATTCTTGACTTTTGAAGAATGGTTGAACTGGGGCGGGGGGCCGATTGCTGTTGCTGATGATGACGGATCAAGAAGGAAGAAGGAAGAAGGAAAAAGGGAAAACTGGACTAATTGGCGCATGTGCTAGAGGCTAGAGGGCAGGAAGAATGGCGATATTATTGATTATTATTACATTGTCGCGCATGCCATGGAGGCGGGAAAGGAATCAATTGTATAGCCCGAGCTCGCAAAGCAAAACATATCAGAGGATGGGACGGACTGAAGACACCACCACGACCACCACAACACCAACACGGGCAGCAGAGCACGCCAAGGTACAGGATGGACCGCCAACCATCCGCTCGCTGGAGCTTTCAAGGGCTACATACTTAGTAGCGACCTGCCGCTCTGATTGCAAAACAGGATTCGAGACTGAAGGTGATGATGATTCACCCGCGGCCAGGGAAGGGAAGGACAAGGACAAGCAGGACGTTCCTGACCTAAGCCCTTGCTCAAGCTGGTTTCGATGGCGTCGATGGTGTCGAGTCTATTCCTAACGGCACCTAGAGGATCTATTAAGCACCGCGAATGCGAATACAAAGCGGCGTTAGGATCGTGTCGATTCAATATCATCTCAAAATAAAGCGCTCGCATTCATGGTGAATAGCCTCACTTCCTATCTGTCTTAAGCATAACGTCTGGGGAGGAAACTTCCTGCCAGCGTCACTCGATGAATCGTAGTCCTCTGGTGTCAAGTACAGTCATTGAGAATAATCAAGTTGTATCAGTATGCTTCTCTGATGTACAAAAGGAAAAGACAAGCTCGGCAACCAAAGTCGTGTTTCAAGACTCGACCAAGGTTATCCTGATATCGCGTTACGGCATAAAGCACTTGACTTCATCCTTTCCGCCGTCTCTACTGGCCGGCCAGCCCGTCATTGCAGTCAGTCGCTCGACTCGTCCTCTAACTCAGTAGTCGGCGTCGACAACCCTCCTAATACCCTGGTTTTGTATCAATGTTGATCTCCTTGCCTCATTCACCAACACACAACCGCCCTTGTCAATACCAGGTCCGAGTGCAGCCTTTCTTGCTTCCATGGCGCGCAGAGTTTCTTCTGCAACTGCCTTCGAGCTACTCTTCTCCGGGCGGTGTGTTCTCATGAAGCTACGCTGAGCCGTCCTCTCCGCGTCGTCATGTTCTGCTTTCAGCAGGGCCATCGTGTCTGGTTCCAAGTCCTTCTGGGACTTTTCGGAAACGGCTGGTGTTGTGGTTCGTCCGTACTCATCGGAGAGGTATCGGGTTCTATCAAGGAGGATGGTCTGGGGATCTGTGTAAGAAACTGTTCTAGTTGCTTGTCTTGATTGAGGGTTGTAAAGAAATCTGGAGACATCAAATGATGTCGACTCTTGCTTACCAATGTGCTTGGTTGACGGGCCATCTCCGTATTTTAGTGCAACCGCATGTAGGTGATCCTCGTCGATGTGATCAAGCCACTCTTTGAAGGTGGGGAATGATATCTGGGGATTCACGAGGCCATTCTCTTTTACCAAGTGGCGACAATTTCTCCACCAGCATATGTAGTCTGCCTCCTTCACCTCATCTGCAGTAGGGCAATGGACTTTGGAAATATGCTGGCGCAAGGTCTCGAGGTTGTGGAGATGTGCCTTGCAACCTTTCCAGTGACATTTGAATACAGGTAGGCTTGGCGACGCTGGTGACGGAATGGTGACCGATATTTCTCGGATTGATCCTGGTTTAATTGCTCCAACACTCTCGCGATGATGAAGGTTTCGGGCACCGGGAGGACGGCCGCGCCTTTTACCACTGGGAAAATTGGAGCCGCTGCTCATCTTCCTGGGCTCAGCGCGGGGGTTCAGAGGAGTCGAAGAGGATCGGGTTGAACGCGCTCGTGGTGTAGGAACAATAGCCTTTGCATTTTCTCCGCCGTCATCAGACGTTCTGAGGTTGTTGCTGGGCCCGGTAGAAGCTTGTAATGGTTTGGCCTTCTTCTCGCGTTGTTCAGATACATCGGGCACGGGCGCAGGCAAACTGCGCTTTTCCGAATCAGGCAAGGGCGAGTCCTTATCCTTATCAGGCCGTATGCGACGTTTGGCCTGTTCGCCAAATTTGTATCGAGGAGGTTCGGTAGGGACATCCACAAGGGCCACTTGCGGAGGCCGGGGGCCCCCTGGGTCGACTGCATCCCAGTCAAATGTACTGAGATCACAATACAGGTCGATGTGCTTGCCGAGAAGGCCTGCCAGGTGAGCGTTCAATGGCCGCTCGAATGGGTGTCTGCCCGCCGAAACGAGAATGTCGCGAGCCACTGTCTTAGGATTATAATAGGTCTTGCGAAGGGCCTCGCTTTTGTTGATGGGTTTGGCAAGGATTCTCGTTGACACAGGATGTTCCGGTACAGGTGTAGAGAGGCTCGGCTTGGAAAGGGGTTGTGGCCCCGGAGGAATCGATGTCTGTGTTGGGTTGAACTTGAGAGGTATGCCACTTTGGAACGGAGGGTATCTAGGAGCTCTTGCCTCTTGTCCTGGTGAAAGACTTTGTGCAGCCGAAATCATTTGTGCTTGGTATTGTTCGAACGGATCCCGCTCGGGAGGACTTTCGACCCGTGCCTGCTTTCTTGACATCACGTAGTTTTCGTTGTCGCTCAACGCTGTCAAGTCTACCAGTTCCGAAAAATCTCGTTTCCGTGCCATTGCTTCCTTTGAACCTGGTGGCGGTTCGACTCGAGATGGTCCAACCGGATTGGTCTTGCCAGTTCTGCGGTTTTGAGAAGTAGACGTAATGTTCTCTGTCTTGATAGTCTGCTGTCGCTGCTGAGGTAGGGTTGAGGTAGGAAGAGAAGCCTCGGATGTGTTCTGCGCCGGTATATGAGGTTGTCCTGGAATGAATTGTTGGCCATTGATGAAGGGAGGAGGTGGAATAGGTGAATGGGCCATGGGTATGTGTGGAGGGCCTGAAGGGATCTGACTCGGGAGTTGAGTTTCAGGCTGAGGTTGAGGTTGGATAGCCTCCTTCGCCCTTGTTTGTGGACTATTCAAGTATGGAACATTGCTCAAGAGTTGTCGTGCAAAGTGACCTCTGTGAAACTTGAGACCTTTCCCTTCCAGCATCTCGCACAGGTCAATATAGCTGGGGTTCTTGTCTAACATTGAGTGAATGTCTGCAGGACCAATCTCGATCTCGCTATTTTCAGGAAGCGATGTTAGGGATTTGACAGCGGCTTCCGCAAGTGCATTGCGCTTTTCTTCAGGCCATATTGTGCCGCCAGATAGCACCTTTGGGGGAAGTCCCTGTGAAAGAGGGGGGGACGTTATGTTCGAGAATTTCAGGGCTACAGAGGCCGGTGGCGCCGCGATTTGAGGTAGTGTAGGAGTTGGAGGAGGGACCTCTGTGTTGCTCTTGGTCGAAGCGGAAAGGGAGGCTGCTGCGTCTGGCAGAGACTTCTTCGTGGCAGTGGACTTCTTATTATATGTAGTTCGAACTCGCCGTTCTGCAGGGAAACGGCCTAGATCGGGCAAGCCCTCGGGGTTGTCTTCTACCACGACCCTGTAACCGTTGCGTTTTGCAGCAGACCCGTCAGGCGTGCCCCCACGCACCGTCCTAGATCGTGGAGGTTCAACGATCCCGGGTCGAAGTTGAGTATGAGGTACTGCTTGCGCATGAGCCACTTGAGGCGACGGCGAGGATGTCTGGACTGCTGTTGGTATATGACGGGGACGAGGATCTGCAACAACTTGATGTTGAGGAGCCGGGATACTCTGTTGGGATATTTGAGGAGAGGGCGAATGTGCAGCATTTGCCGGAACAGTCGAACTTTGACCTGGCTTTCGCATATCTTCCCATAATTTCTGAAAGAGCATCGGATCCTTACTTCTGAACTCTTTCATCTTGTCCATCAAGGCCTTCAGTTCAGCTGCCATGCTTGCCTCGCTTGTTGCGCCATCTTGTGAAGGCTGTTCTGTCTGTTGGAAAGGTCTGTGCGCCTCTTTAGTCGTCGTCGGGGAAACCTTTCTACTGGCTTGGTCCGAAGTTCTAGGATTTGTTGCAATAGTTGGCTTTGCACCCTGTCTCTTCGTCAGGGCCTTAGCTGCTTCCTGAATTTTCTTCCCAGCAGTCTCTTCATATTTTCTCTTCTTTCGAGCAGCTTCCTCGTCTTCTCTCTTCTTTCGAGCAGCTTCCTCGTCTTCTCTCTTCTTTCGAGCAGCCTCTTCCTCTCTGCTTTTCGCGGCGGCGGGGGCGGCGGCGGCCTCTTCCTCCGCCTTCTTTTTCGCTAGTGCCTCTGCCTCTCTTCGTCTTCTTTCATGCTCAAGATGGCAGGGGTTAAAAACTTTGGATGGGTCGATGTAGTCCAGCACCGTGTTTTGAGATTCCACTGTCGGAGAATATACCGCCTGCGACGCTTCTTCCATAGTGTTACTTACCAGATTTGAGATGCTGTTCACTGGCGCCGGTGTCTTGTTTTGAACCTCACTGGTTCTTGTTTGAACATTCTGACTCGAAGTACGTATGTGCTGGCCGGTATTCCCACTTTGAGACCACTGCTGGCCCATCGTGCCGGAGGAGTTGTTGGTGGTTCCGTAGCTGGCTTGGGTAGTGCCCGAAAACGCACCCAGCTGACCCTGATTCTGAGTCAACTGAGGGCGAGGGTAAGGTGAGGCAGTTCTTTGAGTAGGAGCTGCTTGTGTCGCGTTGAGGCCATCCATGACAGGCGAAACCGACGAGTGCGGGAACCGGTGATTGACCACACCGACCCGTGCAGTGGCAGAAGACATGGCAGGTTGTTGAGAAGTTATGGAGGATGGTTCAGTTTGGTAAGGATAGTGTATGGATTGATTTTCATTATAATGAGAGGCGCTCTGCGTGACCGGGGATCGCACTTGGTTAGGAGCGCTAGGTCCTGATGTTGGAGGGTATCTGGTCGCGGAGGATACACTTGTTGGATGCACACGGTGAGTGTGCCGTTGGACCGCAGAACCCTCCACACCAGACGCATACACCAGATTGTTCAGTCCTTGTGCATCCTGCTCGGCAGAGGTCGACGAAGTGGAGTTGTAATATTCTTGTCCACTACCACCAGTTGCGCCTCCCTTCGCATAGCCGTCTGTTTGCCTCCGATCATCGTAAGATGCGTTCTGAGCGTTTGGAGCCTTCCAAGCGTCAGTGCCGTAGGTTTGGTGCCGTGAAGCATTTGTGTAGTTGTGTTGGTTTTGACTCGAATAGTCATAACCCGAAGACCCGTATTGAGCATGCTGAATATCGGAATGGTAGGGCGCTTGCGGCGCATAAGAATTGTTCGACATTGAGGGTCTCCCAGCACTGTACGAGTCCCGTATATTCTGGCCTTGATTCCCAGAGTCATGGTAGCCCCCGAAGCTTGAGCTCGACGGGTATGACATTACAAGTGCCTCTATTCCCCGACGAACCAGTTACCACCTTCTTGGATAGTTCTCATGTCATTTTCGTCCTTTGGTCTATTGCCAATAACATCTCGTCTGAGACGACCAGGAAGCCTGCTCATTCTCGGTCGCAATCCAGTCTTGTGCTCAGAGGTGAAGGACTTTGTACGTTTGGGAGAGGGGTGTCTAGATAAGATAGTTGAATCGCACGTAGATCCATCCACGGTTCCTATGTCAGCGGGCTGTGACAAACGTACACTTGCCACGAAGTTCGGAGTTGGGAAGCGACGCGCAGGTGGAGATGGATACAGACGTACCAACCTAGTATGCAGATGCGCCTCTGGGGCTGGTGGCTCGAGGCTGCACTGCACTCACTGGCCGGCGCAGCCAAGCCCAAGTCAACTTTCAGCGCCAGACGCGCCCAATGATCGACCGAAGGAATTCTTGGCGCACTTTCAATGCCGGCTGCAAATTTGGCTGCGACGTTCGCCCACCACCTCGAACATCTTCGTCGTCGACACTCATTAATCCGCCAAAGCCGCAACCATGACGAAGCAGAACACTGGTACGAACATATCTGTCGAGGCCATCTACGACCTGACAAGGCGATGCTGACTGACTTGCCAGGTCTGGCCTCCTCGAGGCGCAAGTCTCGGAAGGTGCACTTTTCCGCACCCTCGAGTGTTCGACGAACGATTATGAGCGCTCCTCTGAGCAAGGAATTGAGAGAAAAGCACAATGTACGATGAGCTGCTTCCCCCAGCCTCCTACCGATACCGTGCCGCCAGCGATTCGATCCAGGCGCGCTCTAAAATTTCCCGAATCTAACATTCCGTTGCAATGACAGGTCCGCAGCATTCCCATCCGAAAAGACGACGAAGTCACCGTGGTCCGAGGATCGAACAAAGGCCGGGAAGGAAAGGTCACCTCCGTCTACCGATTGAAGTACCTCATCCACATCGAGCGCGTTTCCCGCGAGAAGTCAAATGGCCAATCCGTCCCTCTCGGCATTCACCCCAGCAAAGTCATCGTCACCAAGCTCAAGCTCGACAAGGACAGGGAGAACCTCCTGGACAGAATCGCAAAGGGCCGTGAAGCCGTCAAGTCGGAGTAAAGGATAGATGCAGTCGTGGTTGTGGTGTTGAAAGGGGAGGTGAAAAAAATGGACGATGATTGAGAATTTTGACGGTTTCCCGGACACGATGCTGAGGAAATACCGACTCGGATTGATACAGCGGCGTCTTACATGCCCAACGTGGCATCTCAGTCTTGCCTGAATGAAACACAATTTCGAAGTGGAGAGATTTGCTCCCCGCGACACCCGTCCCCCCTGCGCCTGATTTGGTCACGTGTTGTAACCAGCTCTCTGGAATTCTGCCAGGATTATCACCTTGCCGACCTGTTCTCTTCGTGGTCGCACAAGGTAAACAACTGGCCATATAGACCCAATCATGCACCTAAATGAGCATGTTCCTCCGGGGACGTTGCTCAAGCATGACTCGCCGGCAGACTGTCTACGAGGATACGTTCCGATGACTGGCAGGATTTGATGGCTGAGGTACAAAAAGACATACAATTCTTGGTAGACACAATTCTTCTCTGATCAACTCAATCCCAAATCCGTTACGGCAGGAGAACTACCCTCTGCTGGCTCTGTCTTACCACAATGCGGTACTGTACTCGTATAAGCGCGCTGGTCGTGTCGTGTCTAGAACTGCTTTTCGCGGACTCCATCTGCAGTATTCATGGCACCACGATTGGTTTCCCATGCTGGGTTGGCGACATCGACCCCTGTGACCTTGGAAATGTGTCTGTGTAGACCCTCTTCGCCATCCTTGTGCTCCGCGTGTCCCTGTTGGATCTTCTGCAGACTATCCCTCATGAGAAACTCATAATATCCAGTGGCAAAGATTGTGGCTGGAATATTGACCAGGATAGAAATCCATGAATAGCTGCTGGACGCGGTGAAAGCTTCCCCACCGAAGAAGATGGCTGCCACGATTCGGGTACCCAGATCCCTGGCCAAATTGGTGGAGATGGTGTTTCCAGCAAATCCCCAAACCATGGTAGCATAAGCGAGACCGATGGTGAAAGGCACGCTCTGCGCACTGACGAAAGGGTTGGCCCGGTCCAGGCAAGCCCAGATGATAATGCCAATGTAGCTATCGACGAAGAATTCCTGGAAGAACAGGTATCCTTGGTTGGTCTGGTCGGGGTTGGGGAACACGCAGAGGATACTGGCCACGCCACCGTTGTATACCGCGGTTCCGTGCTCCTTGATGTCGATTGCTTTCGCCGCCTGAATCTGGGGCCAGTAGCATGCCATGAGCATCAAGCCAGCGAGCTAAACAACAAATGCGCGCGGTTAGCGCCCGTTCTTCTAGAGATGCAGGACTTTCATCTTGCAGGCTCCCCGACGCCGATCTGCAAGGTTGATACCAGTAGTAGGGGTGGATAACTCACGAAAGCGCCAAAAATTTGTGAAAAGATATAGTGTGGAACTTTCCTCCATGGGAAACCTTCCCATATCGCAAAACAAATTGTGATTGCCGGATTGAAATGACCACCGCTGACAGGGGCACATGTGACGATTGCGAACGCGATGCCTAGGGCAAAGGCCCAGCCAATCTGGAAGAGACTACCGAAAACTGTGACTCCGATCACTCCAGCGACAGGGTTTGTGGTGGCCAAAGTAAACGAGGCTACCGAAGCAATTCCCGGAAACACGTAGAAAAACACACCAGTGGCTTCGGCCATCATTTCACGCATAATCCGGGGTCGCTTATGCTCAAAGTTGAGCTTTCGCTGAGACACGGGTTTGGTCGGAACGACATGGCGCGTGACATGGCGTTGAAGCACGTCCGAGACTCCCAGCTCAATGTCGTGAGTGTGCTGGCGAACTAGGTCGTTCGGCTGGTTATTGGATCCAGCCATGATGGTCTTATTGGGGGAGATGGCACTTCGGTACTCCTGGGGGTTGCAGATCTGGGGTAAAGAAGATGAAGAGTAATCATCAAAAATCCGGGGCGGGCAGACGTAGAAGTAGCTGGGGAAATCGAGGGTTTGCCACTCGAAGCCCAGTGCCCGGTTGCATTTGATTTCATTATTTCAAGTACCGTTGCCGAACCCACCGTTACAGATTGCATGAATTGTGGGAGCATCGTGATGATGACCCAACCATGCCCGGACATTCCATACGGGTGGGTATGTCGTGGGCTTTGAAATAACCGCAATACAACCGAGATGTGGCCATCGCAGGTGTGAGGAATCAGGTGTCATGCAGAGACGTTAGGCGTCATTACGAACCGAAAAGGATGTCCGGCAGTTCAGAACGGCCATTGCTTGACTTGCTTATAAGCTTTGATCTTGCGCCACCTTGGCTGCAAGCGAATGAGAGCCTCGGACGGGGCGATGGTTCATCTGATCAGCTCAAGGACGACGGATGATGGCCGGAGATGAAGCGCGATGAGGAAGGTGGGCTCTGAGCTGGGGCATTCAATAATGGCGGCAGAGGAAGAGAGGAACAGCGAACGAGAGCGCGAGGCCGAGGTTGACGACGCAATCACGGGTCGGTCGAGGACAGAAAAGAGTAAAGAGTTTGGCGGTGGAGAGACGTCACTGGCAGTGGCCGCCAAGTCGCGGAGGAATACCGCGGGCGACAGACGAGTGAGATGGCGGGGGTTGGTGGAGGAGAGTTGACAACAAGTTTCCCCGTGGGCCGGCGGTTCCCCATGCTGTGTGGAGAAAGGCGGCACACTGCGCCTGGGCGTTGTTGCATAACAGCAAATATGGCTGCCAACGGACTGAAATGTGCCGAAGACGGTGAGCAAAAGTGCAACGACCTCGGCAGGAGACTCGTCTTTGGCAAATCTCTGGCAAACGTGACAAGAGACTATTCGTCCGTGGAGGAAGCCTGCGGGCCTGACAGGTGAGGACACGCACATGCGTACCTAAGGTAGGTAGATCAGGTACACGAGGACAGGTAGTACGTATTAGTGTTTTATATACGCCCCTCCTGGCATGTCTCACCACTTTTCAATGTATGGTCGAATATCAATCTCGTTGGTAAAGCAGGTCCTCGGCTGAGTGTGCAGGTACCAGTATGAATCGGCGATCTGAATGAGGAGCAGAGACGGTCAGCATATGTCTAGTGCCCATGCCTGATGGAAAAACGCCTACCGCTTCAGGTTTGATCTTTGCGTCTGGGTGATCGAAGTGGTACCCCTTAGTCCTTTCAATATCAATCACTCCATCAATGATAGCGTGCGCGACATGAATGCCCTTGGGTCCAAACTCTCTTGCCAGCGATTGTGCCAAAGCCCTCATGGCGAACTTTCCTGTCGCGAAGGAGGCGCACTGTGCAGAACCTTTCATGGCGGCGGTGGCTGACGTGAAGATAAGGGTGGGAGGAAACGCCGGGGTTGCCTTGAAGCTCTCTAAGAGCAGTGGCAGTACAGCTTGGGAGAAGAGGAATGCTCCGCGCCTGGTCAGGCACCGTCAACATCAGCTTCACGCAGTGGACGTGCAGCAGGTAACATACCCATTCGCTTCCCAGCCACTCTCAAACTCTTCCTCAGAAAGCTCAAGAAAAGGTTTGCGGATGAAGCGTCCGCCTACGTTGTAGATTGCAGCGGCAAGTGTCCCCCCTCCAATCTCCTTCTTCAATTGTTCAAACGCGGCCTTCACACTCTTTCCATCAGAGCAGTCAGTGCTGATACCAATGGCCTTACCGCCGGCGGCATTGATCTCCGCCACCACCGGATCGAAGTTTGCGGGCTTTCGAGCCAACAAGGCGACTGAATAATCCTGTGCGAACCGGCGGGCGACAGAGGCGCCTCTGGGACAGTGTCAGTCTTCAACAACACACTACTATCAAAGCAAAGGCATGGCTGCAGCTTAGCTGTGGCTTACGTTCCAGGTCCAACACCAGCAATAACGGCCCAAGCCTTCTGCGACGACATCTTCAACGAGTCAAATTTCAGAGCGTCAGTGCCAGCCCTATGACGGACAGTCCTGTGGGCTCTAGACTACTAGCAAATGGAGGTGAGGACAGTTACACAGCTGGCAGAGAGTAGAGGGTCCACTGCAGGCACAGAAATAATTGCTGTTAGTAGTGAACAAAGAAATGTTGTGTACGGATAGATACTCAATCATATAGCATCACAGATGATTGACCCCTCGATGATGTGATGTGCTTTGGCTGGCGGACTGACAAATCCATGGGTCGGGATGAGCCGCGATAAGTAATCCTTTGCGAAGATGAACGCTCCTCCTAGCCAAGCCTTAGGGACCCCCAGCCCAACCGTTCAGCACCAAACCTCTAAGTACCTGAGGTATGTACCTATCACCTAGATGCCTAGGTACAGTTACAAGGTAGCCAGGGAGCAGTGCCTATAGCTTGTGCCCCTTCCACTGCGCCCATGCTGGTTACTGGCCCCTTCACCCCTAGAAAACCCTTCCCCCAGGCTCTCCGCACCCTGGTTGGTGATAGGCGTGCTAGGCTTCCTGTCACCAAGCTGTATACCTTTCATCACCAAGACAATAAATGTCCCACGAGGTTTGCCCCCAGCTATCAATGCATCTTCTTGCTGCTACTTCTCAGGACACCTGGCTCACGGTTGTTGGAAGCCCAAGGAGCCCCCTTCTGCCAGGTATCATGATTCAATTGAGCTACACATATCTTCGTACCATGAACAAGTGTAGGCTTCCACCATGGACGGTCAGTCGTCAGTGGGCAAGGAATCCGTCAACCAAGCCCCTACCTTCATCTTCGTCGTTACGCTCGCTCTGCATCGCCGTTGTGTCATGTTTTGGGGGATACTGTACCTGACGAGAACCATACACACCCGTTTTCAAAGAGCGGTGAAGGACGTCCATCCCCCGAAAGGCCTCACGGTACCTGCAGATGACCCGCGACCGGTCCACCGCTTGTTTCGACGTCCAGCGCCCCTTTTCCTTGCATTATGCCAGCCTTGTCACCGAGGGGAAGGGGTAAAATACGGGAATTCGAGGTGATGGTTTGACAGTCATTTGCAAAGGCTCGACCTCCCGCCTAGCTACCTCCCGTCGGGCTCGCAGCCATCAGACATGGTTGTGTAACAGCATTGGTTCGTCCCACAGGTCTAAGAGGCAGCGACTCGAACTCGCCCGGACGTCGAATCAAGCACAGGTTGCAGCGCGGTCGCAGACCAGGCCAACGACAGCCACTCGAAGAGTCGAAAGATATCCGTACAGCGGTCATGTATTGGCGGGGAGGAAAAGTACACTATACGACACGGCCAGTACATTTCGTTTCGCTATCAATTGTGGTGGGAGGCATCCACCGCGATGACTAGAACCGGTCATCTGTTTCATGTTCTCCAGGTGACCATCCACCCCTAGTCAGTGTGCTCGTGTGATGTCTGTCGCCAACAGCCTTTAGGTTGGCATTGAGTCAGTCCCCGTAGAGGATGGGCTGATTCAGATCGTGATTGGACTACGATGGCATGGCCCAGTCGTACTGGGACAGGTCAGGTCATCCCAAAGGCGGCAAGATACGAACTTTCCGCTTAGGAGCCTGCAGGCTAAAACGCAAAGAGTGTGTTGGAAAGTTAAGAGGCGACAGGTCAAGAAGGCATGACAGGCAACACCCCTTACGTTGCCCGCAAACTCTGGGGGGTGTACCTACTGCCGTCCACAGAATCCACAGAATTCACATACGCTTCCGACGCAAGGCGCGAAGGGGGCGAATCAGGGTCACGACTGAGTCCCTCTCGAACGTGGGGTTTCTGGAAAAGGATGCAAGTGTCCAAAGGTTGCCTTGCGGCGTGCGGGCGTCAACACATTCGCTTGGAGAAGTACAGGCCTCTCCATCTTTGCAGACATGTGCACGACACAGAGCGTTCATCGAGGCTCTATCACACCCACCACCACGACAGGTGCAAGCTGAGAAGTATGATTCGTCCCAGGGCGAGGGTGGCAGCCTGCAGACCGGGCCGCATTGTTTTTGGTCAACGGAGCAGTCTCCAAGCAAAGCTTCTACGAGTAGACTCATGTCGCACACGGACTTGGTATAACTCTCACTCCCACCACGCCTCTGATGTCACGCAGCACGGCTCAAACGCGTTGCCTTACAGCCTGTGGCGAGCCGGGAAAGCTTCCAGCCAGCCTCTACTTCCCTGCTAATATTGGAGTGATCTGATTACTCCTACTACGAGCGGATGGTTTGCTGTCCCCCTTCCCGGGATTGGTAAATGTCATGTCCCAGGAGGACTGGGACGGAGCGGGTTCTAAAGACGTTTCTCTGCAGGTACTCCGTATACACGGTGCGACAGGAAGTTTGGAAAGTCTTTCCGGAACCTTGTCTACAGCGAGCCAGCTACAGTTCAAATTCCACGGTATCTCGATTCGGGGTACAGAGCACCACCGCAACCAGGGATCTGACGCGGATCCGTTCGTCTACTCTTACTTGAAAAGATATCTCAGCTGCCACAGTCTCCGTACAGAGTATGTTATGCAGATCGCTGTCAAACTCGACGGTAGAGAACATACGAGGTATATCTCACGGCTCAGTAAGCGCTGGTAGGTACTAGGTAGGTACATAGCCCACCATACGGAAGCACTTCCACGCCGCGTCGGCACAGGAATTAGCATCAACCTGAACTCTTTACATACCCTCCACCTCCAACTTGAAACGGACGTGATTGAACCTTACACACCTAGGGGGTTTAGTAGGGACTAGTTACGAGTTTGAGTTTGTCGTCGGTACCACCCACATTCATGTTTCTTCCGTACTGGTTGACCTATCAACTCCCTAATTAGTACCAACCACCCTCTTGTGTCACAGCCAACTCGTGCCGGATATGTGAACAGAACGAGTACGGAGTAGGAAGTTACCTAGGTAGTTGCCTTAGGACTAATTGGTACAACTGCGGAGGACGGATACGGATACATTACTCCTCGACAACACCCATCCGCCCATCCATTCGTTACTTCTCAGCAACACCCAATCCACCCACCCATTCGTTTCTCCTCCGCCAATGATCCCGGACTTCGCGAACACCTGGAAGCAAGGGACGGCGGCTATCCATCCGTATTCGATTCCACCTTGCCCTGCAAGTACGTCGGCCATCCATCCGTCTTCCATTCCCCCTCAACCTCGACCCTGCGACTACGAGTACGTCGGCCTTAGGCCCTCTGATCGTTGATGCACCAGTGATTTTGGATAATGTAATGTGATTCCAGTCGCATGCATGGCAGCCATGGCTATCGGTTGCGGTTGCGGCTGGGGGCACACGTCGAGACGATCCCGTCGATCGATCGACCACTCACTCACTCACTCCCAGGGACCCGGGTGATTGACGTTCACAAGTTTCCTTAGCCTTAGCCTCTGCAGTCGCGGTTCAAGGTTCAAATGGACTGAGTTCAGAGTTCAGTGGCGTCACCGTCAGTGTCATTGGCTTCGGCTTCGATGTTTCCCCTGGTCGTTGTAGGATGGTGGCGACTGTACAGAGCGCGTGCTCCTCCAGTAACGAACGTCCAATGCATTGAACGATCCTTACCACGAAAAGGCTTAGGCCTCGCGCTCGGCGTCCCCGGTCAACGAGGCCGCTGAAGTTCATGGACGTACCGTACTCTGTACCGTAGCACTTAGGGATAGTGCATGTGTATTAGGTTGATACAGCAAGCGAAAGAGAGACAGGCAACGCTTGCAGAGGAAGAGATCGCGGCAACCCAACTACTTGGCTGAGTCGAGTGAGAGATGGAAGTATAGCCCAAGGCAGTGAGTGTTCGTTGGTATGATTAGAATGGCTCCTCGGGTGTCTTCTCGGCCTTGCGGTCCGGAAACACAAAGAGAAGCAAAGCAAGTAAAAGTCAGTGGTAGAAACTGTAATCATTGTCCTAACTCCAAAAAAACTCCATTTGAACTCCTACATAAATTTCAAGCACAGGGCCCGAAACCACCCTCGATAAAGTAGCCAGCACCAATAGCATTACCCGTGATATAGTGAGCAACCAGGACCATTACCAAACCATGGTCTTCCGTTAGGGGGTATCTTTGCAATAAACAATTAGAAGACGCCGCCGCGCAAAAACAAGAAAAAAATGAAACCAGCCCAAGGCAATCGGCCGTATCGGTAGGAGTACAGAGGTCATTTGGCCACGTCGACCTTCGTGGCTTCGTGTCGATTAACTTTTGGGGACCTGAGACGCCTCTCCCTTCCCAGCAATCCTTTTTTGCCCTTCCTTCAAGTTGCATATGCTGCCCTGCCCATGTCAAGCCGGTTCGCCGTGCTCTGAAAAGACGAAAATGAATTATGATGACAGAATCCTCGCTTGCTGAGATGCATGACTCACTGATTCCATGCTGCGTGTAGATGGAATCCAGTGACTCGTCCGAGCTGGATGTTGTACAGGTGCCTAACCATAAGCGCCAATAATGCACCGCAGAGGCGGCGTGTGAAAAGAGGTGGTGACTGTGGCGAAGTCGTGTTTTGCCACACAGAAGATCGTTTCTCGCTTCCTTGAATTCGCTAGCTCCAGTTGTAGAGGTGACGCGTCGTCGTCCCTAGGCAACAGAAGGACGACGCAGCGTGTCCTCGCAATTGACATCGAAGCGCATGTTCCAGAGTCTGATCTGATTCATGATCTTCTCCGTCTGTTCAAGGTGGCGGTCTCGTCCAAAAATGGATTCGACGAACTCGGTGCCTGCGTTTTTGCCCATGGTTTTGGTGCCGTCACGTTTGGCAGCCTTCAACATGTAATGCTCGCAGTCTTTGAGAAGCGCCTTGAACCTCTCCCACAATCGATGGCCGCTCTCGATGAAGTCCTCGACAGTCTCTTGTTTGTCGAGGTTCTGGATGCGGTCCACACATTCCTCAGCCCGCTTCATCTTCCCTGCGAGCTTGATGAGCAGCAACCAGAGCTCCCCGGCCATGTCGGCGATGGGGGTTGAGGCGCCATGATGGAAGACCGTCCAATCATATATCCACTTGCCCAGCGAGTTCGCATCAAAGACACTACCCAGCAAGATGATGGGTAGCTCTGTAGGATCCCAGTGCTTGATAGAATAGCCTGAAGGGATCCCTGCGCGGATGGCGTCGTCTTCGCTTGCCTGTGGCGCGGACCTCTGCTGGCTTGGCTTAAACTTGTGCGATGGCTTGGTCGTAGACGAGGAACGTCGAGCCCGGGATCGTTTCGGATGATCATCTATAATCTGTTCCTGTCCATAGTAAAAGTAGGTGTCAGTGCTTGGCTTTCTTGTATGCCTTGGCTTGGATGGCTTTGGTTCTCGGTAGAGGTAGGTTGGCTGCACTCTTGCATATTCAGCCTCATCGTCGTAGATGTAGATGGGCTGGTTCTGCCTGCGCGAGGATGAACGGGTATGATATCTTGAGCTCGGAAAGGTATTGTGGCTCTCGTATTTGCGGGCTCTGCCCATTGCCTCACTCACATAGACATCATCCCGCGGTGCGGCGTACTGAACTCGTGGTTCATAGTATGGTGGTGGAGAGCCTGCAGGCGAGTACCAGCCTCCGACTTTCGGTGAGGGGTTGTGGCTGGCATTGCGCCCATGTTTCCTCGGCGTCGTGTCATATTGAGGCGCGTAATGAACGTACTCGCCGCTGCTGTACGGCGACGCGGTGTATTTGGTGTAATGCATCGGTGGTACGCCGTAGTGGAAGCTCATCTTGACTTCAGGTCGACGATCTCTTCTCCGGCACTGGGCGTCACTCCTCACTCCTTCCCCTGGCCGCAACAATCTTCCCCCCGATCGGGATCTATGGCGTTCGGGTCTGGTTCTGTATTTTGTCGAGAGGAAAGGTAGGTCCGGAAAATGTTGGACTGGGCGAGTATCATAGCGTATTTGGGCTGGACAGGTGGTCGAGCCGGGTGTGAAATTGAGCCTGGGACCCAATTTGATCGATGGAAAAGTAGAAGCTTGCGGTGGCGGCCTTGCGATGACGCGCGAATTTGAAGTGGTAGAGAGGGAAAGGAGAAAAAGTAAGATGGCTGGGTAGAAGTAGTAAAAGTATGTTGCTGTCTGCGGAGAGTGACAAAGGCCAGCGTTTGATGGCACTAGCGGCGCGGAGTAGACGTCCCGGTATGAGTCGATGGGCCGCTTGATGGTCTACGGACCGGGGACCGACGAACGGGTCTGATGGAGGAGGCTGCCGTCAGTCGTTCTTCTGACTGAGCCTTTTGACTAATTCGTGCTAGCTATGACTGGAACGCGGTAGAAGGCTCTGGGACCACCTGGAGCTAGAAGGGGGTGTGGCCAATAAGCAGAAACGAAGGATAGATGAGAAGGTGTTTGATGAGAAGGAAATTGATGGTAGCGAGGGAAATAAGGGGCAATTAAAGAGGGAGTTGTTGATGCGAGCAAGATGGGCGGCAGTGGGTACTCAAAGGATATGGATGTGCCCACGTTGGAGTGGATGCAACGGATTTCAAGGCTTGCTCATCCCTGAAAAGCCGGCGCAGACTTGGGCCAGGGGATGCTAGATGGTGAACTCTTGTCACCTTGGTTCTTCACCCCTGCACCCAAAGAGTCAAAAGATTCGGATGGAGTGGTGGGTCGATGACTAGGAGGTAGTGGATTTGGCCAGCCAGCCCCTGGCAATACAGGCACCTCAGGCAGACAAAGAGGCAGACGGCGTGCGTTGGTCGGTACGGGTATGATACTGTAAATACAGCACACAGTGCCAACAGACGGGAAAAGTCTAGGTACGGAGGATCAAGAGGCTCGTTGGATGTCAGAGAGTGTCGGTGGGCTGCCAGTCATCACGAAGCGAATGACACCAACAGCTGGGAACTGTGACTGTGATTGATGATGGCAGCCTGATCTGTATGTGTGTGATGTCTTGGATTTCCCTCCTCCTTCGCCTTTGATTTGAAACGAGAGCGGAGGCCATGGAAGCGGCGACAAACAACAGGTTGACGACCAGGACCAGGAAAATTGCTGGTGGCTGAGTAGACAGCCTGCGCGGCCTGAGTAATAACCATTACTATCCGCACTACCCCTAAACCTACCTAGTCGCTATCTAACACCTGCCTACGTACCTAACTTCGACCTAATTACTAAGGTACCTGATACCTAACTAATAGCGTGGGAGGGCATCGCATCCGATGGTGAACCGTCTTTCCCTGCCACTTGCTCAGCGCTCTCGAAGAAACATGTTTGGGTTACTAATGTATTCTAGAACATCTTGGGCACAGAGTCCCTCTCTTCGATAGTCCAGTCGAATCCCTTCAGACCCTCGTTGACATGATTCCCTCTTTGAGTCTGCTCGGTTCCGCAGCTGCGCGTCAGCTTACCTACGACCTTACGCTACTCGTTGGTCGCTTATCTCTGACTGTACCTCTTCGATAACACCGAGGGTGTGCAGATACTACTGGGAAGAGCGGGTTGGGTTCAGGCTTCTGGTAACTGGGCATAGCTGACGAGTGCATACACATAAGAAGGGGGAACTAACGTGGGTATTGGATCTGGCCCTGGGTTGAAGCTTGAAGTTTGACACAACTGCTGGGACGAATTTCGACTCGAGCTACAGTAGTCTTGGTGGAGCAAATCGAACCCAGGAAGAGGCCCGGTTGACCGCCTGAATTATAAACAATCCTGAGACATCCAGCCGGTACTCAGAGTGCGGAGTACTTCAGCTTCCTCGAGAATCCTTTGCCTCGTCCACTTACAGTCAATGCCCCGGTCTACTACGAGTACTGGACCGCGTTGACGATCAGCCTCATCCAATCACGTTCGGTGCCGAACTGCATTCTCTTGACTGGATCTTGATGGATCGTCCAGCTGAACCGTCGCGGTCGCTCAGATCCAATGAGCTGGACCGCATGCACGATGGAGCCTTGTCAGCTGGGAGCCACTACTACTGACCAGCCATCAGTCTGTGTGCAGCTGAGAGGCTGAACTGTACAACAAGCGATTCGACGCAGGCTTGTCGCACGGCGAGGCCTGTAACAGCCCGAGCTCACTTCGCATGCCAATGAGTCGGTCGAGAACAGTCAAAATATGACACGAGCATCATTGCCCAGCCCTGTGTGTCCCGTCACTTGCCAGCTGACACCACTAGTTAGGATGATCATGTTGACCTGCAGTCGACCTTAGAACAACAATGGCCCATTGGTAATCGATAGGTCCCATGGTGCAGGTGACGCGCCAAATGCCACTTTCGGCTGCGGGCATGAAATCCAGTCGACAGCTCGAGTCTCTCAGCTTTACGTGTAATAGTGAGTCTGTTTCTTGGAGTCCTTCTCCAAGTCGTACTGCACTGCCACTATCAACAGGTTTGCTCTTGAATTACCTCCACAGGCCCTTTCAGGCCTCTGGAGGCCCAAGACGGTACTATGCTGCGGTATTGGAACAGTTCTGGAATTTACCATACGCGCAGGCAGTTTGTCGCTGTGGGCTCCGTCACAGTCGCCGTTTGCTCTTTAGGCTGCTGGCTGCGCTGCTGGCTGCATAGGTAGAACGAGTGAGAGTGTGCCAGCACATCGCAACTTAACCTTAGCCTTGGCGAGGCTTGGGCAGCATCACTTTGTCCTTCTCCAGTACAATGCTTCCTTTCTGACCGCTTGCACCAACCCATCTTCTGCGACGCACATGTCTCCATAGGCACCTCTTTCAATTGATCAATCTTCTTTGGGAATGAGGCAGACTTGCGTGGCCGAGCAAGCAATGCAGCTTCGCCCCGACCCGCTGGCGTCCGCCTTTTGAGCCTGAATCGTCATTTTGACAGCTCCTCGGGCAGAGATGGTGGATCTTAGTCCAAGGCTCCTGAGTCAATGGTTTGTAGCGATGGAGTCGTTCCCTTCTCTCACGGTGAATTTGGATTTAATAAGACTCATCCTTTGAGGTGGAACCTTCTGTTGACGTCGATTGAAAGTGAAGCCCCATGTGCCAGTTGCCGTACTTTTCGAATCTCAAAGCAGGCGCCTTTAAAACGATGTGTCTGAGTGGCGGGACAAATCCACAAGGCGCACTGTTTGGGCTCCTCTAGAGAGCTTGAGAAGATTTACCTACCACAGGCAATCCATCCGAAAGACAAGGCATTTTGGGACCGGCACCGGTCGACACGGCCTGTGTCTACAGAGTGTCCCTAAACGTCTACTTCCAAGCTCTGCGGACCATGGCCTGATTGCTAGGTTCAGACACCTCGATGGTCCACCATCCAGAGAGTCGCTACCGGAAGCCGTCGAACTGACCCAGAAGTCTACCTGGTATGCAAGTATTGTTACGGGGACTTCAGAAACAACCGTTGTGCAAGGAACGAACATGTGCTCGCCCATCAGGACTTTCCGTGGCGCTTAGGTCCCTGGAAAGATTGAATTGCGAACCCCCGCCTCGTCGTGTGTGAACTAAGAGCAATAATCCACGGAACGAGAAAACAAGCCTGACATTCTCTAGACGATTAAACTCGACGATTCTTGATCCCCAGGTCTAAGTGACTCTCCCAGCATCGCTGTTTCTCACCGTGGGTACGTCCTGCGATATTGCTCCCATGCTAGGGTAACAGCTGCAATCCTGGCTTTGTTGTGAGAGAGGGGAGACGAAGTGGACCTGGATCTCGGAGATAGCTGGACTGGGGACAAGGTTGGCCAAATTGCAACATCATCAAGGGTAAACGGGACCACATCCTGAGGTGAAATTGTGCCTCTGCGTTGGTTGCTCGACCGAAAGATAAGAGGGTCACAATGGACGAGCGCTAGCATCGACCAGAGATGGGGAGGCTCACCTACAGAGCATGGGACATTCTGGGTGTTATGTGTAGGTATGTATCCGTACTCCGTACAAACTACACCTTCGATCCATCGGCTTCTACCAAAAGTGATTCTCACACAGAAGGTACGGAGTACTCTAAACGCGCAGGTTGTGAGACGGCGATGGTGACACTCCGACCGTTCATTACGTTGTTTGCCTCTACGGAGTATGCAGATCATCCGCGGGGCTTAGGGGCCTCTATTGGTGGGAGTAGGTACGTACCTACCTAGGTATAGGTACGCACCTGCGCCCTAATTATGTTGGGTAGGTACATACCTTAGGTAACTAGGTACCTAATAAGTACCTAATAATATATCCTTAGGTCCCCTAATCCCTACTCCGTATTGTGGTAGAAGCCTAGAAGGTCACTAAAGAATGCCCTTCGGCCCCCCAGAACACAGGCAAATCCTCCCACTGTAGTATGTACTCACTCTCCCTATCGTGATAGATAAGGTATCTCAGGCACTTAGTCACGTACCCCGAACGTAGCATCACATTCCTTCTGATCCTCCACAAAAACTGTGTACGGAATATGTACGGAGTACGGATGCTGGACAAAGTCAGCTCCGCGACATGGGTTGATTGGCCTCCTCCCCCGCCCCTGGTGTATACCACCGGTCCGGGCATGATGCCCCTCCCTCTATGTAACTCTTGTTGTGTCGTCGAAGGCGGACTTTCGCCGCTGCTGCTCATAGATTGGCATCGCGCTTGAGTCAATGACGGGCCCAACCTCTGTCGCTTGTGTTTATCAGCATTTGTCTTCTGCTTGCTTCGCATCTCCTGCTCTCCACGCAGATGCGGCCACCGTGACGGGCAGCTATCGACCTCACATGCATTGATCTAAACCTCGATTGCCTGTCCTCTCTCCCTTGCGAGATGCACCTTCTACGCCGGCCGTGTACCCGGAATCCGTCCGTTCCAAGTGACCTATCCTGCAATTGCTCCAAACTCTCACTCAGGAAATTCTTGAGCTCCTAGATGTTGCACACTATCAATGTCGGCGCTTCATGTCGAGGCTCAGAGAGCCCCTGCACCAGACGCCGATCCTCCGCGGAAGAGGAGGAAGCGTGCGCCCGCCGCGGGGGCAGCTGATGATTGCTTCACATGCGCTACTCGGAACCTCAAGTGCGATCGACGAAGACCCTACTGCTCCCAGTGTCTCGATGATGGGAAAGACTGTGCTGGTTACAAGACACAACTGACCTGGGGAAATGGGGTGGCCAGTCGGGGCAAGCTGCGCGGCCTCTCCTTACCCATTGCCGGTACACAGAAGATTACCACCGGTAGTCTGCCAATAAAGCCTAAGCGGAAGCTCTCCCAACTTCAGCAAAGGATCTCGCAGCCTCGAATCCACAAGCAACATGAGTCGCTGCCGGGCCTTTTGAATGGTTCGTCGTCCTCCAACATCAGTTGCAAGCCTCCCGATGTATTTCATGGATTTCCGTTCGACCAGCCTAATGGCCTCTTTCCGACTGCTACACATCCCAGTACCACATCTTGGTCACCCGCAATCCCTAGCGACTCGTCAACTTCCACTAGGACCCAGATGTCGCCAGTGGCAGCAACGCAATCGACAGCGCCTTCCGCTCCTCCAGTCCTCTCTCCCCTTGGTGGTTTCAGTTTCCACCCCGGCCTCCCGCCAAACGTCGGTCAAAGCCGACCCAACCATATTTCGCCCATTGATCATGTCTGTTCCCCTCCAGGATCAGCTTATTTTGGGCGTGTCCTGAGCCACGACTCGACAGACGCGCCTGATTCACTATCTAGTGCATACCCTTCCTATACGTGTTCCTACGATGACAATCTCCCTATGAATCGACAGTTCCTGGTCTACCAAAGACTTGAACCATCTTATACTCGCGATGGTACCTATACACAACTGCTGCCACCTCAAACTCTAGATCCGGCATCAGAACAGGGCGATGGCCTTGGGGAGGAAGTTGATGGTGATAGTCTTGACGACGGATGTGCCGCAGCTGAGTGCGGCGCTATGGCTGGCCTCGGCATTGTTCCACTCAACTACAGCTTGCCATTGTCCCATTTCGGGGACACGGACACCCCAGGGGCAACACCTCGAATGCAATACCTCATCAAGTACTATGCCGAAGTCATATCGCCTGTAATTGTTGCATTTGATGGTCCGTCGAATCCCTATAGGACGCAAATTCTTGGACTAGCGGCCAGGAGCGAGACGCTTCAGCACGCAATATCTGCCCTGGCAGCCAGCAATTTGAGGCAGCGGAGAGAGACTGGGGCCCTATCTACCGGGAAGACGGCCCCGGCCAGAAGATCGACGATAGCTCATTTGACACTCACGAAAGGACCGTTGCACAACATGGGCTTATTGTCTGCAGAGGAACAAGCACGAGAAGAGTTCATGCACAAGGGGATTGCAATCCGATCACTGAATAAACAGCTCGCTGATCCTGTCCTGCGAACGGACGACTCCATTCTAGCGACGCTTTTAATTTTATGCCTCTTTCATATCTGCGATTCTGGTGTCGCAAAATTCCAGACGCAATTTGCTGGTGTGAAGAAACTCCTCGCACTCCGGAAGAATGACCTCGGCAAGGAAACTAAGGAAACGAAATGGTTTACGAGGATGTTCACTTGGTTCGATGCAATGACCGCTACAGTAAACGATCGCGAAGGACAACTTCAAGGGCACCATCTCGATGTCTCTGCCCGTTCTGACGAGGAGTGGGCACTAGAGAATCTCGCTGGCTGCGATGGCCAGTTGTTCAAGACAATTGCCAAATTGGGACGACTAAATGTTCTAAGCCAGGGCAAGTCTGTCGAGAAAATGCCGATACTCGTTCCTCGGCCGATACCGAAAACCCCTCCGGGCCTACACCTCGATCACAAGAACATTGATGGGAACGGATGGGTGCGTCTAGTAGAGGATGAGAAGCTTTACACAATCAAAACTGCAGATCAAGATATCCAAGCACAATTTTGGCGCGAGTGGCGGGAAATCCGACAAACGCTGCAAACGTGGGAGCTGGACACTACCACGTTCGACTCGTTCAGCCCAGAAGCCCCATACCTTACTCTCGATCAGAGGATTGATCTTTCCAACATCTCAGAATCGTTTCGCTACGCTGCGTTGCTCTATACGGAGCGCCTGGCGAACCCGACAGTCCCAAGCACGGACGCTCGTATCAGAACCTGGGTGCAGGAATGCCTAACTCACATTAAAGCCGTCAAATCGGACGTGTATCTCCTCTGGCCTCTGTTTGTCACCGGCAGCGAATGCGTGGACGACCACGACCGCGATGTCATCCGTCAGCGATGTTTGGATATCCAGAAAGACAGCGGATTTCTCAACAACATAAGTTGCCTCGAGCTCCTGGAGAAGGTGTGGCAACGCAACGACGATAAATACAAGAACGGCAAGAATCACTCGGGGGCAGACATAAAGCCGGGTCCAGAGGGGGAGGGCGGGTTCAAGTTCAGAACTATCATGGAGTTGGAGGGGAATGAGGGGGAGTATATCGTTGTGTGAGCCCCCAGGGGTTTGAACGTGTGACTACATAGTAGCTCGTATGTATGGTGGAAAGCGCCCATAATACTCCGTACATGGCTCAAGATCTCCATTTGGCCCTTGGTGAATTCGACCTTAACAATCGATGTTCTAGCACGTAGAATTTGGCCTGCTGGACGGAGTACTACTGGCCTAAATTATACTGAGTGCTGTTCCGAGCAACCCCTGTCAACGCCATGTAACTATGTACCTATGTACCTATGAAGCTCCATAGATAGACGGCCCGTGATATAGGCAGCCTAGTAGCCCTTGCTTCTAGTAGCATTCATTCATTCTCGTCGCCGATTCGGCTTCGGAGGTGAGCCTGAAGGTGAGGTTGCCAAGGCAAGGCTGAGCTAAGGGGGCTAAGGCCTTGCCACCACCTTATTAGCGGGAAATACATAAGGAGGTACATAACATCCACCTCTCCGCTGTCCCTAAGCACTCACTGCGTGGCATCCATCCGCCCCTGGCACCTAGGTGCCTGGCTCTTTTACATAGTAAGCGAGATCGCCTCCTTCGAGCTCTCTTTGCGTCCGGCCATTGCCGAGAAAGTCGAATCTGTTGCCCTTCAGATACTGTATCTCATAATCCTCCCATCTGGGCGAGGACATGAGTTCGAGGAAATGTAGCGACGAGCCTGGCCACGGGCCCCAGACCTTGCCGTCTCGTTTGCCGTTCTTGTACCTGAGCAGCCATGAGCAGCCATCGTTAGTGCTTCTGTCTGATGGTGTAGTGGCCATGTTCGTTCTGACACACACACACACACACACACACACACACACACACACACACACACACACACACACACACACACACACACACACACACACACAC